TTGAGCACAATTATATGCTTGTCTGTGATTGTGTCCGATTAGGTCTGACATAGTATTTCCGTTGTAATTATTCTAATCATTCTTCATTGTTCTTCATTCTTCATTTACTTTACTCCATACAAACATGCATATAATACAACATACAAACGTCTTCCCTATTTTCAATATTTTAAAAATCTTTCTTTAGTGCACTTTTTAAGGATTCAATTTATTTAACTCATGTGTCAACAACTAAATTGTTTCAGATCCTGTAAAATTTAACCCCCCTAAAAATCCAAGTCCGACCCTTCCCCTAAATTCTAAAAATTTGACATTTTCTCCGTTGCAACCCTCACTGTCCCGATATTTCCAACAAGATAGGCATCTTATTGAAGAAACCATTTTTTGTTCATCCTTTTGTTCTCTCCCTATCTCCAAGCTACCCTGAGAATACTAGATTAGCCGTCCTTTCTTCTCCGTACTTACTCCAGGATTGATTTATACCAGTCCTCTCCCCCTCCTGCTTACAGTAGCGCTTGTCTTCCTAATTTGGATGAGTATATGCCGGGGTTAGAAAGATGAAAGGAGAACAAATGTGATCCTTGTCTAAGATCTGACCCCTGTGGTTGAAGGGACTTGGAGACTGCATCCCTAGATTACAAGAATTATAGTTTTGATACAATACAGGCTTCCTGTCGCAGGGTCGTTGCTGATCTTCTTGACTTTTCATCCTGTTCATAGCACCTGATTCTAGCTAGGTTTAGATCTAGCTGTACACCTGATTCTAGCTAGGTTTAGATCTAGGTGTACACCTGGTTCTAGTTAGGTTTAGATCTAGCTGTACACCTGGTTCTAGTTAGGTTTATATCCAGCTGTACACCTGATTCTAGCTTGGTTTCGATCTAGCTATATACATATTCTAGCTAGGTTTAGATCTAGCTGTACACCTGATTCTAGCTAGGTTTATATCCAGCTGTACACCTGATTCTAGCTTGGTTTAGATCTAGCTATATACATGATTCTAGCTAGGTTTAGATCTAGCTTTACACCTGATTCTAGTTAGGTTTAGATCTAGCTTACACATGATGCTAGCTAGGTTTAGATCTAGCTGTAAATCTGATTCTAGCTAGGTTTAGATCTACCTGTAAATCTGATTCTAGCTAGGTTTATATCTAGCTGTATACCTGATTCTAGCTAGCTTTAGATCTAGCTGTACACCTAATTCTAGCTAAGTATAGAGCTTTAAGTATGGATACTGTACAAGTATTAAGCTTAAGCTGTACAATGTGCATGTGCTGTGCATCTGATTCTTGCTATTTTTAGCTAAAACAGTACATAAAGCTGGTTCTATATAAACTGTAAACAACTATCAGTATGTGTCATTCTTTCTGACAAGAAGAGGGCCAGCTCAAAACTTCTGATATCCATATTTGAACATCTATTCTTAAACTTGTAGAGTTCTGTACTAGTTCTTTACCACTAGATCTCCTCAACAATGAAGATAAAAATATAATTTTGGTTAAAAACTAAATCAGAAAATTGTCTCCGGGCTGTAATCTTGTCTGCAGTCTGCTTCCTCTCATCCTTCTTTATTCTAACCATACAACCTGGATACCTGGATACGATACAACCTGGATACATGGAAACAGCTAGCTGATAATTAGATGTATGGATACCTGTATACCATAGATACATAGATACTTTGATATATTGATAACTGGATACCGAGATACTTGGATACCTTGATACCTGGATAACTGGATAGTAAATACCAGGATATCTAGAAATCTGGATACATGGACTCTGGATACATAGATACCTGGATACTTGGATACCTGGATACTCGGATACCCGGAATACCTTGATACCCGGATACCCAGATACCTGGATATAAAGATACCTGGATACATAGATACCTGGATACATAGATAACTGGATACATAGATACCTGGATACATAGATACCTGGATATATAGATACCTGAATACATAGAGGATATATGAAAATATGGTAACCTGAATACCTTGATACTTGGTTACCTGAATACCTGGATACAGCTAGATAACTGAATATCTAGATACCTGGATACAATTGATTCCTAGATACATTGTTAAACAAATACCTGGATACCTGGACAACTGGAAAGATGGAAACCTAGATACTTGCATACCTGAATACCTGGATATGTTGTTACCTGGATACTTCGATACCTTGATACCTGTATACCTGGATACTTTGACACTTTGATACCTCATATAAATGGATTTTAGGATATTTGGATACCTGGATACTTGGATACCTGTATACCTAGATATCTGGATATATGGATATATGAATATATGGATATATGGATATATGGACATGTGGATATATGGACATCTGGATACCGGGATACCTGGATACGTGAATACCTGGATACCTGGATTCCTAGGATCTAAAAACGTGGCCAAATCACGTGACATGCAAATATTGGACCAACGTTCGCTGATATATTAGGTTTAATATAGTTTTTCTTCAACTATCTAATTTCCCTGAGCATATATTTAGGGCGTGTAACGGACACAGAGTCTAGTTGATTATTTAGCATTTTTTCTAAGTTTGAATAAAGGAATCTATAATCCTGGATTGGGGGAGGTGAGTAAGGTTCACTGAATGTATTGGAAAAATTCATGCTTAACTCCCTCCCCCGCATTTCCCCACCCAACATTCTCTCCCACTCCCTCCCCCATTCTCCTCCCCGTTTATAAAAACTTTGAATCCATCTGCAGGCAGCAAAAAATGTAATTTGACCATCCCTCTCCTTCTACATATCCCTTCCTCCCATCTCTTGCTATCCCTTCTCCCCCTCCCCCACCTCCATCCATACCTCACATCCTTCTCCCCCCCTTCATCCATATCTCGTATCCTTCTCCCCCATCCATCCATATCTCATATCCTTCGCCCTCTCCATCCATATCTCATATCCTTCTCCCCCTCCCCCCACCTACATCCATATCTCATCTCCTTCTCCCCCTCCATCCTTATCTCATATCCTTCTCCCCCTCCCCACATCTTCATCCATATCTCATCTCCTTCTCCCTCTCCATCCATCTCTCACATCCCTCTTTCCCTTCGTTCATTTACACCCTCATCCACACCTTACATCCCTCTCCTCTTCCAGGTATACATCACTCACATTGCTCTCCTCCTCAAACCATATTAATCACATCCATCTCTTCCTCTCTCCATATATCTCACATTCCTCTCCTCCTCAAACCATATTCATCGCATCCATCTCTTCCTCCATCCATATATCTCACATCTCACATCTCTCCCCCCAACCCCCCTCCATCCATATATTTCACATCCCTCCCCCCAACCTCCCTCCATCGGTTCATCCATCTACTCCTGGTTGTAACTATTATTCTTCTCCTACTTCATCTTTGTTCTCTCTAGAGTTCATCCATCTACTCCTGGTTGTACTATTATTCTTCTCCTACTTCATCTTTGTTCTCTCTAGAGTTCATCCATCTACTCCTGGTTGGACTACTATTCTTCTCCTACTTCATCTTTGTTCTCTCTAGAGTTCTTCCATCTACTCCTGGTTGTTCTACTATTCTTCTCCTACTTCATCTTTGTTCTCTCTAGAGTTCATCCATCTACTCCTGGTTGTACTGCTATTATTCTCCTACTTCATCTTTGTTCTCTCTATAGTTCTTCCATCTACTCCTGGTTGTTCTAATATTCTTCTCCTACTTCATCTTTTTTCTCTCTAGAGTTCATCCTTCTACTCCTGGTTGTACTACTATTATTCTCCTACTTCATCTTTGTTCTCTCCATAGTTCTTCCATCATTTCTTATCAAAACCCAATCCTTTGTCTGCCGTTGTTAAGAAGGACATTTTTATTGTGCGTGCTTACGCGCGCGTTTTTGTGTCTGCAGGGCTTTAGTGTGTGTGTGTGTGTGTTCACAGTTTGCGTGGGAGGTTGTGAGTAATGAAGTGTAAGAACGGTTTCTATTGGCGTGGACATTTATTTTTAAATAGGTTTGTCGGTCTGTAGGTAGCGAGCGTGTGTGTGTGTGTGTGGGCAATTTGCTGCACACGCTGTTAAATCTTGTATTATTTCTAAAGAAAGCAAATAAAGGCGGACCTAGGCCACTTCCTCTCCAGGCTGAATACACCTCACAAAATTGGGAAATTTAAAATGATAAAATTTGTGAATTGAATAAAAAAAAATCATAAAAAAATTTAATTTCTAATAATCCCCTTATCCCTGTATCAATGCACAATACAATGGTTTAGACAGGATAACTGATAATTAAACTAAATTTCTCTCTCTCCGACCAGATAATAGACATTTTCCGTTGTACAGAGAATAGATGTTCCAGCCACCAGATTTAACAGTATAAAGGAGCCTCGTTAAACATGTTTAGTGATGTTGATACCACCCGGAGAAACCGCAACCAACCACCCCTGGTGAACCTCAGTAAACCTGCTTTTTGTTTCTTAACAAAAATCCTTTCTACTTTTTTATAAATTAAAACTGAAAAGTTGATTTATGTTTTAAATATACACTAGAGTATTCTACGGTTGGAAACGTCTTCTCCTACTCCTACTCCTACTCCTACTCCTACTCCTACTCCTACTCCTACTCCTACTCCTACTCCTACTCCTACTCCTTCCCCCCTTCCCGCTTCTTTCTAAACTTATATTCCGCATTATGTTGGCTGATACTAAAACATGGTTTGATATTAGATCCAATAAATTATGTTTTTCTCTAGACCAGGAGAGAACGTTTAATCCTTGACTCTCATTCATTCAAAAACAAACATCCATTCATTACAAAATAAATGCTTTCCTTCTCCATTTGTTTAACAAGTCGACATCTCCCTAAGTTCCTAACCCGACCCCTTATTACCGATAATACTAGAAATTTTTTTATATAAAACTAAAATTGAACAAATCTGAATAAAATTTAGGTTGAAAAATTAGGCTGAAAAATAAATGCCGCAAACTATTGAAAAGACGATCTCAAGTCGTCTCATGTAGTAAATACCTGGGTATCCATAAGTCCTGATTTAAATGTTCTATGATCTGCAGGGACACCCTTCTCTCCATCTACATTTAGTGCGATCTGTTCTCCTCTACTCTTATCATAGTTCTCATTCTGTGTATTCAGGGAGAGATGCATCTCAACCTACAAATAAACATACAGGGTTACCGACAAATGATAATATGATTGTAAAGACGACTTGAAAATATGACGATTGCAAGGTTAAATTAAGCCTTCAGCTTAGGAAAATAGTCTTTCAATGGCTTAATCAATGATTTAGAAAAGAATACATTTTTTCAGCCGCAGGAAACCATGAATCTAAGAAAACGGACAGTATTAATTCCCATTAGTCGTCTCTGAAGTCTCATCATTTGTGGGTAACCCTGTATATACAAAATACAAATTACACGTGACTGTTTGTTTGTGTCCAATGAACGTGAAAAGGACCGAACAGGACGAGCTCCAGTTAGATTAGAGATGAAAATTACCCCCGCTCTTTATATTACCAGTGCAATTTGTATTTGTATAAGGAATTACACAACATTTGCTAATGGTGGATGTCAAAGTCTACTACAGTCAACAAGAATAGGTTCAAACCCTTTACTAATGGTGGATGTCAAAGTCTACTACAGTAAACAAGAAAGGGTTAAAACTCTTTGTTAATGGTGGATGCGAAAGTCTATAACTACAGTCAACAAGAATGGGTGCTAATGGTATCTGTCAAAGTCTACTACAATAAACAGAATGGCTTCAGAGTCTACTACAGTCAACGAGTATGGGTTCACACTCTTTGCTAATGGTGGATGCCATAGTCTACTTTTGTCAAAAAGAATACATTGCTACTTTTGATGAATCAATATGTATTTATAAGTTCAATAAATGCATTCCTGGAAATGGTTTACTTATAAGAGTGCTGACTATAAGTATCTACTTGTAAATGCGAAATGAATGTTTATTCAGTTGAGATTTCAATATGAATAGTTTGTTTCAACATATGCCGATCAAACAAAATTAAAATAAATAAATAAATAAATATTTTATTAGGCACATAATCCGATCATGAGAGCCCAAGTAAACCTGGAGAATAGACAACAAAGCAATATATTATAAGAAGGTATTGTACTTAGACCCTGGGTACAAGCAAACTAAACAGTGCATAAGTAACAGTTACAATCTATGCTATAGCTTTCATCAAGTTTGTGTAGAAAATAAGATTTTAAATTACTAGAAAACGTTGAGCTCTTAACAATTATCAATCAAACATTATATTTTCAATTGGCTCACATTAAATTTCCTTTTGTATTTTGTCTTTAGCTGAACCATCATACATTTTTATTTTGTATTTTGTGTTTGAAAATAAAACTTCAACAATTAATTGATCTTTTTTATGTTAAATGTTGTGAGTGTAGAATTAACTATACAAAAATGTACTTTTAAATTTTTGATTTTATGTCAACATGATCTTATTTTCAAAATAATGAAAAATAAGTCAGAAAGGGCCAAATATGGCTTCTAGTTCTAAGGGAAAAAAACAATAACAACCAAAATGTTTAAAAACATTATATTTTAGCTCGTTTCTAACTAATAGTTTTAGATTATTTACAGCTGGTGTACACTATAAATAATTATAAAATGTTCAATATCAATCACAATTGGTTTAATATTAAGAACCGCAAACAGTGCCGATACAGTGTTCCCCGGAAAACACTGGAGGAATATAATACGTGTATTTTTATCCAAAACTTACAAGGAACCAGATGCATTTGTTTTAATAATGCTTATAATATTAATGATGCATACAGTTTTGTTTATTATTTTTAATCTTTTAATAATATTTCCAACAATCAAAGCTGAATTCAGTCAATGTCTGCTTTTGCAATATTTTTATCCATAAAAAATGGAAACCCATCCTTTTAACAGTTTTTTTCTTCAAATATTTTACCTCTGGGTCAAAATTTGGAATTGTGTAAGAAAACAAATGTTTAGAGTAAAAAACTCGAGAGTTGTACATAATATTGCACTTAACAATAATAGCTTCCACATTTAAATAAATACTGCATCTTCATCCTGTAAGGAGAAAAGGATTGCACACACCCTTTTAACCCCGCCCCCCCCCCCTCCCTAATTCGACCAGTTTCACACAAATGAAAAATGTAACAAACTATATGATTTACCTGTTGGTTTTTAGGCCTAAATTCGAATTTCTGCATTACTGCTGAATCATAGGACATAGAACCAGGACGTACTGGATACTAAACATGCGACATTGAACTAGGGCGTACTGAATACTAAACATAGGACATAGAACCAGGACGTACTGGATACTAAACATGCGACATTGAACTAGGGCGTACTGAATACTAAACATAGGACATAGAACCAGGACGTACTGGATACTAAACATAGGACATAGAACCAGAACGTACTGGATACTAAACAAAGGACATAAAACCAGGACGTACTTGATACTAAACATATGACATTAAACCAGGACGTACTGGATACTGAACATAGGACATTGAACCAGGACGTGCTGGAAACTAAACATAGGACATTAAACCAGGACGTTCTGGATACTAAACGAATGACATTGAACCAGGACGTACTGGATACTAAAACATAGGACATTAAACCAGGACGTACTGGATACTAAACATAGGACATTTAAAAAAGAAAATATTGATCCTATACCTATACAACTATACTTTCGGCTGGTTTACAATTTAAAAATTAAAATTCAAATGTTAAAATAAAATGTTGCAATACCTAATAAAGCAGAATATAAAAATACTGAATATTGGAGACATGGTAAGTAAAAAACTTGGTTCGCAATAAAAAAGGAAACAAAAAGAGTTCATAAAAAATAATTGAACATCATTTCAAAACTAGAATTTTTGGCTGACCTGGAGAATATAACAATCCAACCCTTTAGCCATATACACAGGGATCTCTGAGACTACGGGGTCATCTTCATCTTCACTAGATATATAAAATAAATAAATATATAAAATATATAAAATATATAAAATATATAAAATATATAAAATATATAAAATATATCATCTACATAATCTTGATCTTCACTAAATAAATAAAATATATCCTCTACATCATCTTTATCTTCACTAAATAAATAAAATATATCATCTACATCATCTTTATCTTCACTAAATAAATAAAATATATAAAATATATCCTCTACATCATCTTTAAATATATAAACTAATTAAATTAAAAAATCTAATTAAAAAAATTTGTTACCCCCGTGATAACCCTGGGTTCCCTCAACAAATTTCGTGATCACCCGTTTGGCCGGCTATAAAGGAACATATATATGAATGTCTTATTTCATTATATTAAATATCATCATTATCTTTATTAAATATATAAAATATTTAATATCTTAAATTGAAAATACACAGCAGACAATTCCTAATTAAATTATGTCTTGAATTCTCTATATTCCACATATATTTATTTTGTAAACTATTTCATGATACTTTATGCAGGGAAAATATATAAATATATATGTATATATTTATATATATATATATATATACAGTTTCCCTGCTCTGTAGTTTATTGCACCAGGAAAATTCCTACTGGTCAATCTTTTAGATTAAATTGAAATAAAATCCAACCATGCACAACTTCTCTACTGTAACCGGCGCAACTGGGGGATTTGTGAAAGGGGTGCGGACGTGAGGTTTTGTACAAATAGACGCTATTCCAAAAAAGATAGTTAAGTATTAAAAAAAGGAATGGTGGGGGTTAGAGACAAATTTTTTTTAGTGGGTTTCTAAACTAATTTTCATCACAGAATAAGAAAAGAAAACTTTGTGTTTAATAAATAAAAATGATTTTAAGAAGGGTGGATAAATTCATTAATAATACATAATTAGAATTTTTTTTAAATTGATTAAAAACTAGGTCTAGGAAAGTAGTTAACCTGTCTGATGTTATATTCATTTCCCGGAATTTCTCTGGTTCTGCACTAACCGCCATATTTAAATATTTCTGAAAATAACTTAGGTTTCAATCAGAGCTCTGACCTAGATATTATATATACACAATACTTAAAGGAAATCAAAACTTGGTTTTCAATAAATCCATCAAATAATATATTTATACTTCAGGACAAATAATTGAGGCGTAATTGATATTTACACAAGTATAATGTCACTGTGACAGTCTTCATTTATCATTTTTCATAAATAAATAATAAGAGGACGGACTCTTGGCAGAGAGAAGGAAAACTTTGGTTTAAATTTATATTTTAGTCTACAACAGCTTTATCTCCTGATTAAAGTAAACAAGGTTAATTTCCTTTAAGAAAATTAAACATTGTTTCATTTCCTCCCTTTCCTTAGGTTTCCGTGAATAATATTCCCTTGGGAGAATTTTAAACTTTATAAACCCCAAACTAACCTCGTGAATTGTAATATTTTATCCCCTCCCCCATCCACCCACTCGGGAAACCTTCATTCATCATGAAATCTTTTTTTTCCCCACCACCAAATCAAATTAAATGATCTGAACAATTTTTTATCAAATAAAAAGTGACTCAAAACACCCTAAACCCTTTCCCTCCCCCAACGACCAACTTACTACCAAGAAACCCCTCCGTAACAACCAATTATGCAATATTTAACCCTTTACCTAACATAACCAGGTTCTCTAATAACTATCAACTGTTCCGTAATCTACTCCAAACCCTGACCACGGAATACTGAATTCTACTCCCCACCCTTACTACAGAATATTGTATCCTACACCCCACACCCTGACTACAGAAAACTGTATTCTACTCCACACCCTGACTACGGACTACTGAAATCTACTACACACCCTTACTACAGAATATTGTATCCTACACCCCACACCCTGACTACAGAATACTGTATTCTACTTCAGACCCTGACTACAGAATACTGGATTCTACTTCAGACCCTGACTACAGAATACTGTATTCTACTCCACACCCTGACTACAGAATACTGTATCCTACCCCACACCCTGACTACAGAATATTGTTGTATCCTACTCCACACCCTGACTACAGAATACTGTATCCTACCCCACACCCTGACTACAGAATACTGTATCCTACTCTACCCCACACCCTGACTACAGAATACTGTATCCTAGTCCACACCCTGACTACAGAATACTGTATGCTACCCCACACCCTGGCTACAGAATACTGTATCCTACTCCACACCCTGCCTACAGAATGCTGTATCCTACTCCACACCCTGACTACAGAATACTGTATCCTACTCCACACCCTGCCTACAGAATACTGTATCCTACTCCACACCCTGCCTACAGAATACTGTATCCTACTCCACACCCTGACTACAGAATACTGTATCCTACCCCACACCCTGAATACAGAAAACTGTATCCTAGTAAACACCCTGACTACAGAATACTGTATTCTAGTCCACACCCTGACTACAGAATACTGTATCCTACCCCAAACCCTGACTACAGAATACTGTATCCTACTCCACACCCTGACTACAGAATACTGTATCCTACTCCACACTCTGACTACAGAATACTGTATCCTACTCCAGACCCTGACTACAGAATACTGTATCCTACTCCACACCCTGACTACAGAATACTGTATCCTACTCCACACCCTGACTACAGAATACTGCAAACTCTTCCGCAAATTCTAACCTCTGGCTGCGGGGTGTCCAAATTCATTTCTAAAGGAAAGGGGAAAAACTCGTTCAAACAATTCCATAAAAAAACTTTATCACACAAATAAATCTTATATCGGTAAAAAAGTGATAAATATTTAAAAAATATTTTAATTGATTATCAAAATTGATCGCTTGACATTAAATATGAATGGCAAAAGACCCTCCATAACCTATTTTACTTTAACTAAACAAAACTAAAGTCCTGCATGCAATATGTAGGAACAAATTAGATTCATGTTAAAACCACCGAGGTAGAAAAGTAGAAAAAAAAGAATTTTCAACATTTATTCTGTTTATCCAATTGCTTAATATTTTTAATAAGATTAAAATAATTATATTTAATATCAAACTCCATATCATACCAGTAATTGACACTCACACAACCCTAAAATGAGAAAAATATGTTTAGATGCAGAAATATAAAAACTAAATAAACATAAATAAATGCTCAACATTAGAATAGAGAAAAACTAGACCCAAGAGATCCCGAGAGAAAGAGTAAAATATGAATGAGTTCATTATACCTTACAAATTACATTTTAGCAAAACAAAAATAATCACGTAAACCGCAAATTATGAGAATCTTGACGTTTTATCCTTAAAGGTACGCTTTTAAATCCATTTAACCTTATTTAACATGTTACACATGTTAGATAAGGTTAAAGGGACTGTAAGCGTAATTCCAAGTGACCCTCCATGCAAAGATGGTAATGCCAGATTCACAACAGACTCCTTGATACCTTTATCTGATCAATTTCTCGAGATTTTGATTGTTTAATTCTGATAACTCCTATACATGTTTCCTGCAGTAGAATTGCGTAAGACACTTTTGGAGAGAAACATTATAAAGATATATATATAATTCATACTTGACCAGACAAAGCTTTTAAGGGGACCATTGTGAATCGGGCATTGTCATCTTTGCATGTAGATTGAAATTACACTTACACTTTACAGTCCCATTAATTAATTAATATTTAATATTATTAATTAATAATATTAAATATTTACAATTTACAACATAATTTCCCCCATTACTGTTTCTAACTATCATTTCAGGCTATGTTAAGAGTCAGTACTGCTTAATGGGACAATAGACGTAATTTCATGTGACACTCCATTTACAGAGTGGGATGTCCGACCCACAGTGTTACCCGTAAACTCAGAAAACCTTCGCCAGGTCAAGAATGAAACATGTTTTTAAGGAAATTAAAAAATGTTCAATTGTAGTTTTTCTGACAAAGTGACTTGTGGGATTACTCCAACAGATACTATAAAGGTAACTGTCAGAGTTAAACACTTTTCAATCTAGAAAAACGTAGATATCTTCCACATTATTATTGGGTACCGTTGTCAATTAGGCATGCCCCTCTTTTTACAATAACAGTCCTTTAAATACAGAAAGCGCTACACCGCTGGCAAGCTATGGGGACTATGACCAAAGCATAAACATAACTAAACTCTTATGACATGTAGATTTTTAGAAACACCTTTCGAGACCCTTTTAAACTGTGTTTCTCGTTTTGACTTAATAAAAGCATTTGAGACCTTAATTTTAAAAAGATTATTAAGTGAAAGTAAACTTTAAGTTCCACCTATAAATTAATATAACATTAGGATTTTTATTAACAAAACAATAAAAGTCAGTCGACTCGTAGTGATCAATCAAATATTCTTAACCCTTAAAATCTCGGATATTACTGAAAACCCAGAAAAAAGGTTTCAGGTACCATACCTGGCTCTGGGATAGATGATGAAACCATAAACTTGGCAGATACAGAGTTTCTCCAGCATAAACCCTAACCTAGACAATACTTTGATGTATACTGATACCTATAAGGGTTGAATTAGATTATTCCGGGTAGGGTTCTAAACCAGTTACCTCGATAAGTACTGCGGGTAGGAGTCTAGACTAACTACCTTGATAGGGGTTGTATAAAAGTACTCCAGGTAGGAGTCTAGACTAACTACCTTGATAGGGGTTATACTTACATTAGAGTATTCCAGGACCGGGTAGGAGTCTAGACGATATACCTTGATAGGGGTTGTATTAGAGTACTCCAGGTAGGAGTCTAGACTAACTACCTTGATAGGGGTTGTATTAGAGTTCTCCAGGTAGGAGTCTAGACTAACTACCTTGGTAGGGACTGTATTAGAGTACTCCAGGTAGGAGTCTAGACTAACTACCTTGATAGGGACTGTATTAGAGTACTCCAGGTAGGAGTCTAGACTAACTATCTTGATAGGGGTTGTATTAGAGTTCTCCAGGTAGGAGTCTAGACTAACTACCTTGATAGGGACTGTATTAGAGTACTCCAGGTAGGAGTCTAGACTAACCACCTTGATAGGGACTGTATTAGAGTACTCAAGGTAGGAGTCTAGACCAACTACCTTGATAGGGGTTGTATTAGAGTACTCCAGGTAGGAGTTTCAACTAACTACCTTGATAGGGGTTATATTAGAGTACTCCAGGACCGGGTAGGAGTCTAGACTATATACCTTGATAGGGGTTGTATTAGAGTACTCTGGGTATGAGTCTAGACATTGGAGTACTAATTAATGATAATTTAAAACCGAGTATGCAGTGTCAGAAAGCAGCAAACACAGCTATGGCTGTTCTGAACCAGATCCTGAGAGCTTTCACCTATAGAGATAGAACTACATATATAAATCTGTACAAGACATATGTAAGACCTCATCTTGAGTTCTCCTCTACAGTCTGGAATCCATGGTTAACTTCAGATGTTGAAAGGTTAAAAAATGTCCAGAAAAAAAGCTCTAAAACAGGTTAATGGATTACAAGAAACGGAGTATCTAACAAGGGTAAAAGAACTTGGTCTGACTAAACTGGAGGAGAGAAGAACATACACCGATCTTGTACAAACCTACAAAATCATACATGGAATAGATGATGTGGACAGAAAGATTTGGTTTGAGCTGTATGGTGACACTGAAAGGAGAGTAACCAGAACAAGTGAACAGTCCCTTTGTATAGTAGCTTCCAGACCCAATTTGGATATAAGAAAATACTTCTTCTCCAATAGAATAGTTCAGCAGTGGAATGCACTACCTGAAAACATTAAAAATGCAAGAAATGTCAAACAGTTTAAAAACATGTATTTGAGCCCTGTGCCCCTACCCTGATGAAGTAATCTATCAAACCTCTGTTCTCGGAAATGGTATGGGTCACCAGTAAAGCTGACACTTCTTCCTTGGATCAAGATGGTCCCTTAGAAGTTCCTCTTCAAGTAAACAAGTTAAAAAGTAAGTATACCTTGATAGGGGTTGTATTAAAGTACTCCGGGTAGGAGTTTAGATCTGGATTAAGTGGATCAATACAAATCCATGGAACAGTTTCCCCTCCCTCTATGTCCTGAACAAACATTTTATTATTGTCCAGAATAATAACTTTCTGAGCAAATAAAGCAAATTATTCTACAAGTATGAAATATAAATGATGAAAAGGAAAAACAAACTTCTTGGTAATTGGTTTTAAGTTAATCACTAGTTGACTTGAAATAAATAAAATATTATATAAATATCATGTAGGTTCACAATTATCAGTTAATAACTAGATCTTCGTAGCAATTATGGAAAACTTTGAAAATTTACGAAGATAAGTGGAACTAATACGATACAATATTTATCATTCTTACTGTCGAAAGTACGTTGTAGAACGTGTCGCATAAAATAATCCACTTGATATTTATAACACGCGCTGGAGCATTTACAGGATACCCTCAACTAAGGTTTCGGTCACCAGTGTGTTCTGCAGTAACCTGCAGTACTCTGACCGTAGATATAGTAGTGTTTAGTGGAGAGTAAGTAAAGAATAGTTTCATAACTGGCCAGGCATTCCTCTTTTCCTTTATCTCAGCGCTACTCTGGTGGATGTGNCCCCCCCCTACTCAGTGAAGTCAATACAAATATATGAAGCTGTGATGTATGTGATAAGTAATGTACGGGGCTTGACGGAACGGTAACAAAGTGGGATGGTGAGAGATGGGATGGGGCGTAAAACCACCTTAAACAAGTGACATTCGGACACAATGTCTTTATACCTTTCTATCACTTGATTCACTTGAACTTAAATTATAAGAAGTAAAATTAAGCATTTAACTCGGGGAGTTCTTAAACAAGAGAGAGGTAGTTTTTAACTAGCTACAACTAGTTAAACTATCTCTCTTTCAGCAGAGATGAACTAGTGGTGAAGGAGAATTAGCTTGACTAGCCGTATACCTAAATCAAATCAAAGGCTTAAACAATAACATAACCTGTATACTGAAGGTTTTATCTTGAGAAGATTTATAAACTGCCTGAGTAAACTGTCTGTAGGGTATCCAGGGTAGATCTGTTGGAGGATGAAGCAGAATATCCTAGAATTGTAAACCCTTAGTTTTCCTAATCACAGAACCAGTCCCTTAGGATCCATTTCATTTTGATGGATCCTGGATCCGCCCAGAAAAAAATAAATATCATGATATTTACTGATAAGATTTACCGATATCTTTTAACACAAGAAGAATTTTTTAATTAATTTTCTACTTTTTTGCTTAAATTTATGCGAATACTTGATTGACCTAAATCAAATAAAAAATTTTTCTTCAACCTTTTAAGTTTTGGATTTTGAGAGTAAAAAGTGTTTTCTTGCAGTTTTTGGTTGGTAGGATCCGGATCCAGGAAGCCAAAATGTTGCACATCGAACGGATCCGGATTCGGATTCTAAGAACGGTTTATTTAAACAACTAGAAATTCAAGGCGCTTCGCTCCCTTCTTTCTAGCCTTAGAGGGCGCTTCGCGCCCATCTTCTAAATTAATTGTAAACATGTTCTCTTTGTGTACATCGTAAAACTAAACAAAAATAATTCGCGGATTTTTACAAAAAATTTCGCGGATTTTCAAAATTTTAAAAAATTTAATGACGATCGAATTTTGATAGAGACAAATATTTGAAATTTTGATGATTCATAAACCTTCCCTGGGCTCCCTAGATGTCCCACAAAAAATTTGGGCCCGATCGGTTCAGCCGTTTTGACGTTTATTGGATACAAACAAACAAACAGACAAACAAACAGACAGACAAACAAGCCAAATTTATATATAGATTATAATCGAAGGGTTGGGAAAGAATCATCAAAAAAATAATTCAGCTTTAAATCGTTTAAATTATAATATAAAGATAAACAAGTAATACCTTATAACCTCGAATAACAGTATAGATATTCTCATAAGGATCTTTGTGCATTGACGTCACAGCTCTTTTATCTCCTAAACCATATATATATATAATCCGTTTTTCATGGTTAATGAGATTACATCAAATATTATAGAGATTCTTTTAAGTTTTGAAGAGATTCTATCCAAGTTTTATAACATTCTAACAAAGCTTTATGAGATTTTCTCGAAGTTTATGACATTCTTAATCCTCTGATAGAAATCTAAATAATGCGCTGTAAGTTGATCCAATAAATTTAAATATTAGAACTTTGTCGCCATTGATCTACATTTAAAATAATTAGACTGTCTCAAAAATTCGATATTTTTATGCTGGATCTTTTAAGCCGTACAGTACACGAATTGCCTTCTTCTAATATATTCAACAAATCCATTAACATATTGATTACTTCTTATTTATATTCAAATCAAATCGCTGTAAATGTATAGTAGTATAATAATGGAAACATAATGAAGTTATTTACAGATTAGAGGAGATCCAATATAACTTTTTTGTTAATTTTTAAAGATCAAATAATTTTTCTGCTTTAATTAAATTTCAGCTTTATTAATAAATAACTTTTTTTAACCAATGATTGAAGGAAAAAATTATGAATAAATTGGGCCTTTGCCACAATCTCAAATTTTCTACTCCCTATATCTTTGAAACCTAGTGTAAAACCTTTGATATTTCAAACTTAGATTATTTGATTTAACTGAATTCACAGTTTGAAATATTCAAGGTCTACGGCATTGGGTTGCTAAGATATAAAGGATTAGAAAGTCAGAGTTTGATGTGGCAAAGACTCAATTTCTTTCTATTGAGTTAGTTTATAATGACTACCTAGCCAGAAGTTGACCGCATCTGGTGATTTACCAAAAGCTTGAGATGCCCAGGAGAGTTCAGGAACCTGAAAAATGTATTCAATTGTAAACAATAAAAAACAAATAACTATCTTCAATTTACAAAGACAACCTAATGAATTCTTTCTTTTAAATGAAAATAAAAACGCACAAAATTCATCGAGTTGTTAAAATTTTTAAATCTTTTTTTAACAGTCATTGGATATGAAGTATAGTCAGATTCTTCAAGATATCTCCAATTCCTCCAATCCTTCAGATCTGGTTTACCCTGTGTGAAGTGTATACGAGAGCTTAAGATAAGTAACACAAATTTTCGGTGTCAACTAATAAAAGATCAATAAATCTTTCCTAATAATAGAATGGTTAAGTTTCTAAATAAAAATAAGCATAAGGAGAAAAAATATTGTGTGGAAATTTATTTCGGTAAAAAATTGTAAGCTGGATTCGGATCCATTCTTACAGGATCCAGATTAGTCTCCGCATCCTGATCCGCTTTCAAATGAAATGGATTCTAAGCACTGGAGTGTTAAGAGAAAATGCACTCTCTGTGTCCGGATAAATCTATTAATCTAGAGAATCAGTTTAAAGTTTCTAACGCAAGAAAACCTTAGAAAGGTGGCACCGAATAGATTATAAGATTGTGATAAAAATAATAATTGTTACATGGGACTGTTCAGCTAAAAGAACAAATCAGATAAAATAAAAAATGTAGGGAATTGCCTTTGGATCAAAGTATCAGATAGGGAGTTAAACATTGTTTTTTATTTTAAGCCTGAACCTCCTTAGTTGCTTCGACTGAGTTTTCATAGAGAATGAGTAAATTTCAGCAATGTGACTATGTCACCGTTTCATTTATAACTATTATTGCTGGTAACATTAACCAATCTTAGTTGCACAAGAGGATGTACTTATGAAACACCACTTTTTCAGATCAATTCCAGTGGGATATCCTTCAAGTGACATACGTCTTACTAAAGCTCGGATACACTAACAAATAGAACTCACATAAGCATAGTAAACATACTTAAATTAATGCAACGTAGTACGGACCGAATTTAACAAACTAGGCCTTTTCAATTTCAATTGTGAACATGTTCTCTTTGAGTTCATTGTAAAACAAAACAAATAAAAATTCGCGGATTTAATAAAAAATTCGTGGATTCATAAACCTTCCATGGGGCCATGCGAGGTCTCACAAAAATTTGGGCCCGATCGGTTTAGCCGTTTTGACGTTTATTGGACACAAACAAACAAACAGACAGACAAAGTATGTATATAGATTTGATTTGAACTTACTACCGCCGGTTCAAATTTGAATCGCCGATTCAAATCTTTTCTTAATCTTTCACTTTAAATCAGTGGTTCAAATTTGAACAGGCAATAGTTAGTTCAGCGGCGTAGTTCGAATTCATTAAATTCGGTCCCTGGTATAGGATACAGTATCATATTTTTATAGGAAATGTATCTTCTCTACCTGCTCTACCAGCTGTGGTAGTTCCTGGGTAAGATTTGAATTCTGTTTTTGTATATAGAATATTCCAGGTTCAGATTCAGGATTCTCTAGGATATCCAGGAACTTGGAGAATTTCATCCGTCTCTCCTCTGGTAGGACAAACCTTGCTTCAAACAGGGATATTCAGTTGACGGTAGTTTATTTAATACAGAAAAACTTAAAGCTGTATTCCTTGCTTCAGTTTAATGTTTAAAAAGATGTAAGGTACTTTCCTAAAGGCATTTTCCCGAGCGACAACTTCCCAAGGTTATTTTCCCAAGTATGCAAGTAATTAACTCAGTTTCAGAGTATCCTGCCTGTCTCCTACTGGACTATCCGCCAAACCGTTTGGAGTAACCGCAACAGTCACTTCAGTAGAACCTAACTCACGGCGGAAGTACTCGTTTGTCCGCCATAGGTCTAGAGCTGGCCAATGAGAAACTGCAGAACGAATGAGGACTGGACGGTTGTAGCTCACGTAATCACGGTAGAACTAAATGTACGGAAACAGATTTTAGAAGAACTGGGTGAATATTGTTCAAGTTGCCAGTCGTAAAAAGTTTAAAAGCCTTATAAAGATGTTAATTAATTTTATTAATAATACCCCTTTTAATAAAAAAAAACTGATTACCAAAAAAGGGTGAATTCTTGATATTGAATGGTAGGCTAACCTGAAGTGGGGTTGGAGGATGGTCTAATATCGGAACTGTCCTACTCAAATACAGATCTAGATAATACAAAGTACAGATATAGTACATTATACAGTGTACTACTCAAATACAGATCTAGATAATATTAAGTACAGATACTGTACAGATTAACGCTCAAATACAGATATAGATAATATAGAGTACAGCTACTGTACAGGGTGCTTCTCAAATACAGATCTAGATAACTTAAAGTAAAGATACTGTACGGTATAATACTCAAATACAGATCTAGATAATATAAAGTACAGATACAGTACAATATACAGTGTACTACTCAAATACAGATCTAGATAATATAAAGTACAGCTACAGTACATTATGCAGTGTACTACTCAAATTCAGATCTAGATAATTTAAAGTACAGATACTGTACAGATTAACGCTCAAAACGCACAAATACAGATAAAGATAATATAAAGTACAGATGCTGTACAGTATGCTTCTAAAATACAGATCTACATATCATGAAATACGTACAGGGTGTCCCACATCATATTAGATCTCAATCGGTCTAAATTATGATCTTCGGGACTAATAAGAAAATTTAAGAAGAATGAATCATTTTGAAAAATTTAATAAGGCTAATATAAGAATTTTCTTGTGGAAAATACTAGTTTCATCGAGTATTATGGTTTTATTTTGGCGTTAAACTTGGAGATAATCTAATATGATATGGGACGCTCTGTACATAGTAAAGCGTACTTCTCAAATATAGAACTAGATATGTTGAGGCAGATATGGGATTTGTACTGTACACTGTGCAGTAATCAATAAACATCTAAAACTGTAAAAAAATTATTATTTACTTACATACACATTTTGATTAAATTTATAAAAACAATGGATTTTCTTCCGATACCTCTTGCCTCCGTCGACAAAATCTTGAAACAATCCTCAAGAGTTTCCGGAATTTGCTCTAGAAAATCCAGTTCCGAATCTAAATCTCCAGTTACCGGAATATTATCACAATTTGGCAACATTTTTCTGAAAACATATTTGAGACTCATCTCTATGCTTTGTGAAGGAGATATCAGGGACTAGAAAGAGATCAAATCCTTTCTTTCTTCTTGGAAAATATCACAAATATAAATAAATATCTAAGGTACTGGTACAGTTATGTTTATGTTGTAAAAGATAAAATTACCGATGCGTTCGATCTAGAATTTACACTTGTATAAAAACAATTAAGGAAGAATTTTACATTCGAAGTTTTTGTTAATTTATCAGCTAAGCGTATGTTATAATTTTTGTTGTTGTGTTTTTTTTTCAGTGGAATGTATTTAAACCTAGCATATAGTTAATCTGAGGTTGGAACTATTGAAGAATGAGGTAATACAACTATTCGTATCTAGCTCAACTACTTCTCGTTATTCATTAACTCCAACTTTAAATCAAGTAAATTGTGATTATGAACCATTGATCTGATGTTGTGTATCCTGAGCAATGGTTACAAGAGTATTGGTTTCTGTAAAGTTAGATCCCAGGATGGTTGCTCCGACAGGATAGGTTTCCAACAGCTCTTCATCCGATAAATCTACATCCCACACTCTAAATAGTTCAAATATATCGTAAATATAAATACTAATAATCTTATTAAAAATGTTAGACATTGTTTGTGGTATTGGTTCAGTCCTTGTCTCCTATCCGATAGCGGTCCAATACAAGGTTGTATAGAAAAGGTTAGATACTCTGGATGCGCTCCAATGTACTAGAAATGTCGTCTTCATAGTAATTGACAATCAATATCCTTATACGACGTAACTGATTATTGGCGGAAGGTGAAGTGCAATATTGCTTGTAAGAGGGGGAAGGAATTTCTTCGCTTTTTAAAGCTGACAAGCGGAGAAAATCCCTAATAAGGGGCGGATACAGAAAATTTACCAGGGGTGAGTCAAATTTTTTCTCTATTTTCCGCAGCTCCCCAAAATGCCTCAGGGGGGAGCAATTTTTCAGGGATGAGCCTTTGCTCCAAATCACAACTAAGCTTTCGGTGCGTACTGCAGTAATCTGTGTTTATCATGTGCTTTTAGTTTCCGAGACTTTATGACTTAGTTTTAGCCTATAATTTTAAGTCTGTAATTCTTGATCCTCATGTCTTAGGTCCTCAGTTTCTGTCTTCTGTCTGTTTGTGATCTAGGCTACCTGAGAGATCCGTCTAATCCTCCACTGCAGAGTAGTCTAGAGTCCCCCCATACCAAGCTTGTAACTGTATCTGTGTGTCCCTTTAATTCCTTGACAATAGAAAATAAATTTTTTTTTTTAAATTAAACCTTTCTACGCATCAAACTTTTAAAGAAAAATCTACTATTTTTTATCATTAATTTATTATTGTTACCTTTATTTGCTTCCCCATGGCTAAATCCCATATCCTGATCTTTTTATCCTCACCAGCACTTGCTGCCTTTTCTCCACATGGAGAAATCTTAACAAATTCAAGGGTGTAATGCAAGGAAAGTTAATTGCGGTCGTGTATACTCTGCGTACATATTGAAACCAGTTCTCTTTGGGCGGCATTTGTAAACAAGAATAGATGCATCAGTGTTCGTGTTCGTGTTGATTTTTTTATGTGAAAGATGGATCCCATGTCAGGCTATAACATCCGTCTTGTGTTTACATTACCGCCCAGAGACAGTACACTGCAGTACAAAAGATGCGTACACTTTTGAAATAACTTTCTTTGCATTACATCTTTGAACAAATTAATGTTTAAAGGGACTGTACGTGTAATTTCAAGTGACCCTCCGTGCAAAGAGGGCAATGCCCGATATACAAGGGTACCCTTAAAACCTTCGTGAGTTCGTCGAGTTATATGTGGGCAAACTTTTCGAACCTCAATTGTATTCAGCTGCAAATTCCGGTGTGCGCTGTGTTGAGTTAAGACTGTACGCATAACACACCAGAATTTACAGCTGAATACAAGCGGGGTTCGATAAGTTTACACACACATATCTCTGTACTCGACAAACTGACAAGGTTTAAAGGGTACCGTTATTATTCGAACATTGTACTCATTGCATGAAGGGTCACTTGAAATTATGCTTTCAGTACATTTAACAGTGTTATAAAGCAATGCGATACTTTTGCAAGGGGAAAAAGTTAATAAATATGCGGTTTTCTAGAGATTTCTGTTATTTACGCTCTTTAATTAGTATTTTAAATATTTATCAAATAAATGAAATAAAAATGAACAACTGGGACACTGATTAATTCCTGAATGGTTTAAAATAGAATTCTTGAAGTTGCACCTGCACTGCAGAAACTGCTCCCTTGTGACCATTAAGAACTCGAACACATCGTCCCTGTTCAACATGCCACAGTCGAACTGTTCTATCACAGCTTCCGCTCATCAAATACAAACAGTTCGGATGAAAACTTAATTAAAAAGATTTTGAATTAATAAACATAATGGCATTGTACGCATAATTTTAAATGATCCCCCATTTAAAGAGTGGTATGCAGGATTCACAAAGGTATCCAGAGCTGTGTCTGATCAAGAATGAATGAGATATCCGTTTTTCTCTTTGAAAATTGATTATTTTCACTTGACTTGTGGTGTAAATTCAAAAGTGACTTGCAGGTTAAGTTTATGATATCTTCCACATTATTGATCAGATAAAGGTTGAATGGTAATGTTGTGAATCAGGCATGGACCTCTTTTAAATCCCCGTACGAGGATTATGAAATTTGCAAAAGAGTAGTGTCGGACCTACTCATCTTCCTCTCCTTTATTACACTCATTATTTATAATGTATTTACATCTAGAAGCAATAAATGTACTTCTAAAGTGGTGACCCCAGACAGCAAACGAACCAAGTGGTGACCCCAAACAGTAAACAAACCATGTCCGAAAACACTGCCTCCTGGTCGGAAACAGCTCAAGAATTGGACGAGCATAACAATCTCAAGCTTAAACTTCTAATCCACAAATTCACTACTCCTTCATCCTAATATCAGCTACTCTTGGAGCTAATAAACTAAACCTTAGTTACTCCTAGAGCTAATATGCTAAACGTCAGCTACTCCTAAAGCTAATAAGCTGAACTTCAGCTACTCCTGGAGCTAATAAGCGAAACATCAGCTACTCTTGGAGCTAATAAGCTAAACCTCGGCTACTCCTGGGGCTAATAAGCGAAACCTCAGTTACTCTTGGACCTAATAAGCTAAACTTCAACCGTCCAGAAGCTAATCAGCTACACTGCTAGCTACTTCTGTAGCTAATTACACAGCTACTCAAGGAGTTAATCAGCTAAACAGCTACTTCTTAAGCTATCAAGCAACTCAGCTACCTTCTTTAACCTACTCGTAGATATTCTGGACGCCAGTTCTCTACAAGTTGAATATATGCCCGTCTAGCCTTTACTACAACTGATCTCTTCAAATGGCACTGGCTAGCCTTTCACAAGGTTAAGCATGACGTGGGGAGGGGGCAGATCATAAATTCACAAACAACTATTTGTGAATAATGATTAATCATCACCAGAACTCCTTCTTCTCCTTTTCCGTAAACACTTGCAAGGAGATAAGTATCAGTCTCGACTCCCTCTATGCTCGAAACTTAGGGGGGGGCTTCTGTAGAGGAAAAAATCCCCGAACGAGGATTATGAAATCCGCAAGAGTTGTGTCGGATCCTGGAACCAGAGAAGACCTGCTCATTTCCCTCTTCTTTATTACACTCATTATTTATACGTATTTATATCTAAAAGCAATATATGAACTTCTAAAACAGTCCCTTTAATAGCATCGTCAATCAAATGTCTAGGCTTACCTCACACAATCAACATCTTGTTCGTGTCCCACATAGATGCGTAGAGGGTGCGCGTATTCAGGTCTCCACAAGCGCGCAGTTCGATCCATACTTCCGGTTGCAAAATTAACCCCAATACTATCACTAGCAGTACACCATACAGGATACATATGTCCGTGTAGCGCAGCTAACCCTGCTCCGGAAACCTTGTCCCAGATACGAACCGTTGTATCTTCACTTACACTTACTATATGATTATGATCAGGAAGGAAAATGGCACTGTAAACTGTCCCTGTGTGCCCCTTCAAAGTTCTACAACGTCCTCGCTGTATAGTTCTAGATGTAGTTAATCCCGGAGAAGTACAACCTAGTCTGACACTACTAGAACTAGTATCTAGAACTATGGGACTTTCACTAGGTAGAGTATGCCATAATCTCACTATACCATCTTCACATCCTGATACAAGATGTTTTCCATGGATATCCGTCTCTCCACTCACACAAACTCCGTCCTCACTCTGTATTCTGTACAGGGATATACTAGGGGCTGTGGGAGAGCTAGCCCGAACCCTTCTACTGAGGTCCTCTAACCTCTCAACCTCCTCTGGGTCTGCGTCCTGATTTAGCATGGATGTATAAGGTGAGGGGGAGGAGAGACTAGCTCGTGTATCCTGTCTACTCCCAGCTCCAAGGGGATCTCCGATAGTAACATCAACCTCCTACACACAACCTTTATATTTAACAACACAAAGAATATTGAATGATTATCGAATCTCATTGAGGAGATAATTGTTTAACCTTATTTAAGACATAATATATTGAATCTTAAATGTTATTAAATAAGAAAAAATTTAGAGAATAATATAGCAATTTATTTTCTTAGTTTTTCTTCTCATTTAATCAAATTTGATTTGGCGTAAAAACATAAAAATTCTAGCATTTAAAAGAACAATTAATTGTAGATTTGATTAATTATAATTTGTATAAAGGTTTCCCTGGTTTAGAACAGTAAGGATCAGGTTACATTGAGTTTTCTCCAGGTATCTAGAAAAGTACAGAACATGAAAACTATTCTCAAGACTCCCGTGACCTTGGTTTCGAATGCCTGATAATGTAATTCCTATCTTTTCCGTATATAATGAGGGGTGTAGGTTACACATTTTCTTAACATGAGACTTAAATAAAGAACTAATCTTTGAATGGTGTATCTTATAAGTTTTGTAAATAAGGAACAAGTTTTTAACTGAAGGGAATCAGGAATATTAATAAAAAATCAAAGAAATATAACAGTCAGTTGCCTCTAAGTCCCGTCCTATGAAGGTAACCCTGCTATTAGCTCTTAGACTTAGAAAGTCCTTTATTTGATTTTATCTTGTTTTTTCCTCTTAAGAAAAGAAGGAAGAGGACGCGAAAGCATAAATGAAAAATTACCTGAGTAAATAAGAATATGTTTCTATAGTTAGAGTTACAGCGTACCTCGAGGATCTGAAGGTTAGCGTTCAAAAATTAGAAAAAAATCTAACTTCTTATTCCAACTGTCATAACCCCCGGAAGGAAAGCAAATATTTTTCAAGTCCAAAATCCTAATTTTATCGATAACGTGAAACCACAAATATAAAATCTTAGTATTTCATCTTATTTGTAACCGTTGCTTCAACGGGACTATTGAATAACTTGATTATGTTGGTAAATATCGCTATTATTAAAAAAGTGACATGCCCAATTCCCAAAGCTATCCCATAAACCTTCATCTGATCCAAGGAGTATAAAATAGACCGCCCTACCTTGATTATACATGCTTTGCAGACGGTACTTCATTTGGATAGGAAATATTTGTCTAATGTACAATTACCGCGTATACAATAACCAATTCTGAATATTTCTTAAACAAATGGAGTACCCGTCTACAAAGCATGTGTAATTAATAATCATATGGTAGGGCGGGCCGCGTCAGTCGTATCTCCCTTCTATTTCATACTCCTTGATCTGATCCATAATGTGTTGTTTAAATCTGATAATTTCTGAAGCAAGAAATGCACATTGCATGAGTCACTTTAACAGGGACAACCCAAAATGCAAAACAGTTTTAAAAAAGAAATCTATCGATATCTAATTCATTCTTGACCAGACAAACCTTTTCAGGCTACCGTTGTGAATCGAACATGCCAATCTATCAATGGAGGTTACTTGAAATTACGTTTACAGTCCCTTTAATATGTTCCTAATTATTGAACCCTCTCCTAAATGTTGATATTGCTGGTGTCTGATCCAACTCCTCTACACTGTTCACTTCTCCGAGCTGGTGGATAAACTGTTTAAACTCAGGGTTGCCCTAAACACACAATTCTGCAATAAAAACTTTAATCCCAATGATACCTCGTATACTTAGTGTTTTTCAGCTGTTTAACAATAAAAGTTCTCAAGTGTATAATGTATGTAAAAGACTTCGTTTTACATCCACTCCTCAATAGGTTTAATCACTTAGGAAATAATACGATAAAATGTTCACTTTTTTCCACTAAAAAACATGTTACTTTAGAACACGCCTGAACGATTTTTCAAATTTCAAGATGGTGAAATATATTGGACATCGTAGATTTTTGTGGACCTCAGGGCCAAAATAACGGATCTAATAGGATACCCAGTTCCCAACAATATTTAGCTTAACAAAATATACAAGTACCTCTTATAAGCGTACTGAGGTTTTAAGAATTATTCTCAAAAATACTTAATTAAACTTTATTATAAAACAAAATAACCCTAACTTGATTTTATCAGGTAACAGATTTAATAAATGCAATACGTAGTTGAACTGTGTATACGAAGTTGAACCACTCCAATGTGCCGCACTAAGCTGAAGGGAAATGGAGGCCTTGCTCAACATTGTCTCACTTTTTATTAACTCTGGTCCCAGGTTTGAAAACTATTGAATGTTGATTATTAAAGGAAGTGTAAGCGTATTTTAAAGTAACCCTCCATGCTAAGTGGCAATGCCCGATTTATAACGGTACACTAAAAAGCTTTCTCTGATAAAGTATGAATTAGATATCAATGTTTATAATTTTTAAAACTGATAATTTTTAATTGTGGTTTCTCTATCTTCAAAGTTTTAAACCAAGAAAAACGACAATATCTTCCACATTATTGATCAGATAAAGGTTTCAAGGGTACAGTTGTAAATCGAGCACTGTCATTCTTGCCTGAAGGGTCATTTGAAATTACATATACCTGGAAGGTAGACAGATGGCGTTTATGAAACCTATGAGCTGCTGCAGCTCCAGGAGTAGAAGGAGAGCTGACGAGTAGACGGATATATAGATGAGTAAATACTGGATACAACAGCTGGGCTAGTTCAGGTTTATAGTGATCAGGACTCTCAGATATCCAAACCTGAATTAATACAACGTCTTATTCTTGATTCTTTATGAAAAAAACTGGATGAAGATGTGGAGAATAAAGAGAAAAAATTCGGTTAGATTTCTACTTGAAGTACCCAAGAAATAATTCACTGATTTTAGAATGGTGTCTTCCTGTTTTTTAAAGCTAGTAGGAGATGATATTTTTATTTCTCTAGAATTTAATAGTTTACCCACTTGATCTTTGTTTACCTTAAACTTAGTGTACTGCGTCTCAGCTGAAGCGTGATCTACAGTTTCAGCGCTGAACGATATGAGATTCCGTATTGATATTTCATTCTCAACAACAGACAGAGATGCTAGCTCACTCAAACTAATCTAATAATAATATTTTCAACAACAGATAACAATAATTCTAAGGTTTTCTAATTATCTCCGTACCTGTAGTTTGTTAGGTTGTATATCTCTACTGGTAAGATACTGTTTAATACTGGAGGAGATAATATCAGATTTATTTCTCCGACTGATGGACATTGCATCTGAAAAGAACAGATGGTTCTCATTCCTCCATTTGTTGCGTGGCATGTCTGATTCACAACGGTAGCTTTAGCTGAGAAACAATGGGGAAATAATAATAACTTTCTTACCTGTCTCTGCACCTGCATAGATTCGCTAAGGTGAGAAGCCATAAATTAAAATGATAAATTTTTAGTAAGAAAAACGAGAATATCTAATTAATCCATTATCAGAAATTATAATAGGTCTAAAGAGTACCGTTGTTTACATGCCACTCTTTAAATGCAAGGTTATTTGAAATTACGTCTGCATTTAATATTTGAATTCTGTTCTAGCAAATTCTTGATATAGATACTAAATTTTTCTTCGTCCAGATCCTCAATTTTAAAACCATCCAGGAGAACAGGAGTAAACCCTAGTTTTCTACCAACCCGGAGCAAAACTGGAAACCCACCAGTCCGAACCTGAAGATTATCTCATCAAGCATACATTAATAAGTAGATATAGAAAAGAAACGATGATTTTAACAATGATGATATTACCCCTAAGCCAGTATCCCGCTCTCCATTCAATGCTGTTATCATTAACCATGTTCCTGTATCACAGCTAACTCGTTTCGTCTAGACAGATAACTTAAAATTATACATTTCAAAATCATTGTAATTCTTTATAAAAATTATTTGGTTCTATTAATTCTGATAATTTTTAAACAGTTATTTCTCAATCTGTAAAAAGATTCTGTAATATAAACTTTTTGCAATATGACATAATATCCGCAACATGTATTGCAGAAAAAAACACAAATTCAGTTTTCCTATACACCAGCTTATTTCGATTATTTTCTTTAAAACTTGTTAAAGAAAAAGAAGTAAATCCAATTTAAAACAAAACGTTTATATTTTGATTAATCAAATTTTTTTACAGATTGGAAAAATTCTAAACAATAACGAATTTTAAAATTAGCAAGATTATGAAATGTTATCTATTAAACCAACCTGGCATATTGGTTGCTGCATGAGCTGGGAGGGAACAGGTTGAGGTTCTCCTGCTTGGTTCAGGTATATAACGTAGGAAATACAACCAAAGAAAGGAAAAACACAAGTTTCAGAAACTTTTCCTTTTCCAACAAAATCCTCGATGGCAGTGAAAATCTGAAGAAAAAAATGTCGAGGAACAGGATGAAAGCAAGAAGAAGAAACATGAATGTGTGCATAAAACTACCTTTGCAAGCAGCAAAATTTTATTTAAAAAGAAATACAATATGTGAAGGTTCTATTATACTCGTAATTTCAAGTGATACTCCGAGTGATCACTTAAAAATATGCACACAGCCCCTTTAAGGGTCGAGAACGGTACAATTAATAAAAAATAAATTAAGAATAGAAAATGATGTAAGAAGTGAAGAAGTTTAACTATCAAAGTAAAAATAAAAGAAAACAGAATGAAAAATACCTTTATTCCGTTCTTCACATATTTCTTATCCAAGGTTTCCAAAGTTGCCTCAGTTGGGAGAGGGAGAGGAAGCCAACACTTAACTGTCTCATCCAGTTCCGCAGTTATTTTAGAACCTGGATATTCAGGATACTCTAGTTCCATCATACCCTGAAATATGGTTAGTTTAGCACCTGGATATTCAGGATACTCTAGTTCCATCATACCCTGAAATATGGTTAGTTTAGCACCTGGATATTCAGGATATTCTAGTTCCATCATACCCTGAAATATGATAAGTTTAGAACCTGGATATTCAGGATACTCTAGTTCCATCATATCCTAAAATATGATTAATTTAGAACCTGGATATTCATGATAGCTCTTTCATACCCATACAGTATCATTAAGGGCCTGAAATGTCGTAAGGGGGTATATACTACATATCCTAGGCCGACCTGAATATTCATTTATATTCCGGTACCTGGAGAGAGAGTAGATTTCCTCCAAGGTTAAGAGCTCCAATCTTCTTTCTAAACCTGATCCCACGATGCATACTTCTTAACCCGTCTTTCTCTACGGTTAGTTGAGGACTTGAGAAGAGCAAGTCACTAAAATAACTAAATTAGTTCTCTCAAGGTTCATGGTTCATAACAATAAAACTTACCAGGCCCTGGAGCTGTATAGTTGAAGGAAGGAGAGGGAAAGAAGGAAGACAACAGCTTCCTTCTTCTGTAGATTTTCTGGTTTCTGCTCAATAATCAAATCCCTACACAGAACATATATATTAAGTAGTTCATTTTCAAGGATTTAAACATTCTTTGATCATTAACCAATGATAACAATAAAAACCAGTGACCAAGATTTGAACATCTAGAAATATTTTTACAAGTTCTAAGTACAAACGAAATCTAAATCCAGTTTTTTCTTGCACCGAGATTCCAATATATGTTAAATGGAATGTACGAGTTTAAAACAGTAATTTTGATGTGTACTGCACACTGCTGAAAATGGACCATCAGATTTCAAGTCGAAATACCTAAAATTTTATTTGGAATATATTATTATGCAGTCTACTGAGTTATAATCTCAATTTTCAGAAAATGCCACCTAGGGAATATTTAGTAAATCAAAGAAGCTGTACAAATCAAGTGCATTTTCAGGTCTAAATTTAAGCGTAACTGTAGTTTCAAGGATTTATCAAGCTTATTCAGAATAAAGATGATGCGGATGAAAGTCTTGAAACAAACTGTTCGTTTAATTTTAGACCTGTGAATGCACATGATTTCTACAATTTCTTAAAAACTGATTTGCTCGAAATTCCCTTTGTGGCATTTTCTGAAAAAAAAGATTATAACTCATTCCAAAGAAAAAATTTAGGTGTTTTGACTTAAAACCTAATGGTCCATTTTCAGCAGTGTGACTGATTACTGAAGTCAGAACTTTAGTGCTGAGAATCTTGGGATCAAGCATTGATTGGATATTACAAGGTAGTCAAACCCTGCAGGGATAATAAAGTTATCCTGCAGGGATAACAAAGTTATCCTGCAGGGATAATAAAGTTATCCTGCAGGGATAATAAAGTTATGAGGGATTGAGGATCGATTCTTAAATTTAGAAATGTTCGTATTGGATTAAAGGGACAGTAAAGGAAAAATGAAAGGGGGTATAGGCTGAAAGCTAATCACTTTAGCTCTTGATCGAGGCCCATGAAAGTTTTATCTGATGTTACTATCTAGAGAAATTGATATAAAACTGTGTTAAAATCATACGAAAGTTCATATATGTAAAATTTAGAAAATCTTAAACTTAAATCACGTGACCAGAACTATCACCAATTGCAGAGCAGTATACTGATCACGTGTCTCTGCCTGTATCACGTGACCACTTTACTGCACTGTCATTGGTGGATTTTCTGGTCAAGCAATTCGGACGTGTAAATAATATTTTAAATTAAATCTATTAAAAATAGAAATAACAAATATAAAATTAGAATTGGAGTAAACCTAAGTAATAATTAGCTTTCTCGGGGATATTATCGTTTTCAGATTATTTGCTTATTTGCTGAATTTGATCTATTTAAACCCACTACTTTTATACAAAATTGTATATATATTAATTTTCGTATAAATTTGACACAGTTGTAAATCAACTTCTCGAGATAGGAACATCAGATAAAACTTTCATTGGGTCGCGATCGAGAGCTAAAGTGATTAGCTTTCAGTCTATACCCCCTTTCATTTTTCCTTTACTGTCCCTTTAATGATACTCCACACAAAAGTTCAGACACCGGAAATACACCACTCGGAAGATAAAATAACAATGAATTAACTGTTTACTATTCAGACCTGATTCTTGTAAGGATATATCGTCCCTTAGGAGTATCTCTTTGCAATCCTAGCGTTAACGCCAATTCACTAAAAAAAATATAATAATTAACAAAGATCTGTTGATTAACACATTTCTTAGATTCCTGATTGAATATGTACAATGGCACACTATAGTTTCAGTAGAAGTAAATATGTCCTTTACTGATAGCGCCGATTGAAGTTTTCACAACTCTCGATTGGATAATGAGATAGAAAAAAAGGTTAGATGTTATCGCCATACTATTTCTATTGGTTTAGAATAGGCAACAAACACATGACTGAACCCTGAATGGATCAAGCTCTAATGGACTCGGCATACAGGAGTGGGCAAGTCTTTGCCGCAAAATCAAATTGTCAAATCCATATAACTTTGCAACCTGATGGTGCAAACCTTGGATCTAAACCTTTCATAGTTTGACATATCTAAGGTCTACGAAAATAGGTTACAAAGATATAGAGATTAGAAAATCAGAGTTTGTGGCAAAGACTCAAATCCTCAACAACGTGATATGATCAAGATCGAATCAAAATTAACCAACCTTATAACAGGAAATGGTATACTGAGAAGCTTTTTATCTGTTACTGAGCAGAGATATTGCACTATCTCGTCTGGGGTAGAAAACACACTTGGTCAAATCAATCAGTGTTAAAGGCACTTTCGGAACTAATTTCAAATGACGCTTATTTGAATAGTATAGTTGCATGTTCAATTAACAAAGTTACCTTAAAGATTTCGTCTGTGCAAAATTACAGATAGATTTTATCTTTAATTAAATTGTAGTATCTCTATAAAAGTGATTTGAGGGGCAAAGAAGGATTTTAAACAATTTATTATTTTGAAGTAATAAAAACAACGATATCTTCCTCTTGATTACTCGTCGATAAATGTTTAAAAGGTACGGTATATGCCTTCTAAAACCTTGGAAATCGGGCATTAAATTCAATTTAATGAGAGGTATCTTGAAATTATGATGATATATCACATTATTAGGTATTAGATAAGGATGAAACCATGATTAAACTTTTATATTAACAAATTGAAAAGGATTAATTCTTTAAATGCTGTCTATGATGAGTTAAAAATAAAGAAAAGATAAAAGGCCCATAGGTAAACTTGATTAAACTGAAGTCATAATTAGCTTCAGAAAACCACAAATAATTTTTAGGATTATCTTCATCCCTGAGACCTTAATCAAGAGTAATAAAAACAAGCCTGGATTCCCCCCCCCCCTGGCCCCAACTTGGATGAATCCAGGTGCTTCTATGAACTGTAGAGAAAAGTAATCTGAAAAGGACCCAGTGATGGACCCACCAGACCTCCACCGTATGTCCCCTCCCCCTTCCATCCCGGCCCACAACGCCCTTCAAACGATTCCCATTGGGTGTAGGGGGGAGGGGTGGTACTACCGGTTTAGCTGATTGAGCCTGACAATCCAAAGTTGAAGCACGCACAGTTAACGGATGTTTTTAGCACATTAAATACAAGTCTGTTCTCTTGCCTAGAAAGGGTTTATGAACAGCATGAACTCCGACCCTGGATGAGGTTGTTGCCAGGTTTATCAGTGAACTAATCTCCAACCTTGACATGCTTCCAGATTCATAAATACTATCCTGTAGGAGTAAACAGTCCTCAACCAGATGCCTTAATATCAAAATTGTTACAGAAAATTCAAGATATTTCAATTATATTATCAATTTAGCATAACCATGGACATATTTTTGAAAAATGATATTTTTATAAATACTATAATAACTTGGACAATGGACATATTTTCGGAAATTCTACAACTTTACAAGATATAATTATCCGACAAATACCATTAATATTTCTTAAAATAATCAGAAAAAGGTTAGAGTTTTCCATTCCGTAAAGGACGTAAGTTAAATAAGTAAGCTCAATGTAGCGTGAGTAGCTAAGAGTAGTTTATAGAATTAAAAACTTTGCATCTTACTAGCTTTTCCTTAAATACACTATAATTCATTCATTCAATATAATTCATATTCAAACTATAACTTGTGTAAAAACTACGTCTCTCATTAATCTTAAAAAGATTGGTTATCGTACCTTGAACCTACGGGAGATATAAAGGCTGAGACAATACTTAGAGTATCTGACTCCAAGTTCTCCAGATTATCCAGGAGAACACGGATTAAATCTCTCCTTAGTTTAATCTCTACCGGATGGTCTCGTGTCCCGAAAAACTTTTGTTTCACAAAGGCCTTAAAATATCTGATGTAGAATAAAATGATAGCACTTTAAACTAAGAATACAGAAATGTATAACACCAGGCTTTTAGGGCGCTTCGCGCCCATCTTCTTTTTAAATTGTGAACATGTTCTTTTTGTTCACGTTTTAAAAGAAAGAAGAAAAAAATTTTCAAGAATTTAATTTTTTTTACAAAATTAAAAACCTTTAAAACAATTTTTTTTTAATTTTTATCATTCGTAAACCTTCCCTGTAGTCACGTGATGTCCCACAAAAAATTTGGGCCCGATTGGTTCAGCCGTTTGGACGTTTATTGGATACAAACAAACAGACAGACAAACAACCAGACAGACAAGCTAAATTTATATATAGATGAGTTTGGTATTCGTTTTCAAATATGGGTTGGTTTCCCATTTTTAACGAATAATGAGTCGAAGGTGTTAAAATTGCGTAGATTAGCGATATCTAGCGCCTAAGTTCCGATCTTTGGCTCTCAAAAATAAAGTTTATGTATACCTGAGTTACTGAAGTAATCTCTTTAAGGTTCATATTTGGTAAATGATCAAGGAACTTGATTGTACAGTAGTACTTATGAAACCCATCACCTACAGTACAACAATAAAAATCTATGTACTACTTGTTATAAATTCAAATCTCAAACACAACTTGAAAAACTTAACTTAAAATTTCTGAATAAAATTTCATCTTTTAACAACAGAGAAATGTTCCTAACAAATAATTATTGGCTCCAAATAAATAATATATTTTTTTAGTAAAAAAAACTTAATTAGAAAAAAAGTAAAAAACCAATTATTTAAGATAATTTCCTTACCAAGTTGTGAGTTTCCAACCAACTTCATAAACCTAACGAAGGTATCCTTGTCAAATCTTCTAAACCTTGAATTAGAATTCCTCTCGGAGTTCCCGATCTTGTTTATCGTCAGAACACTGAACGACTGGGTGAACAGATCAATGAAGTAAGATATTGAAGAGATTTGTATACAGAGGCTGAATTCAAAGAATTTAAACCGCGTCGCTGAACCACCAATAACCGGTTTCAATTGAGCACCGGCTCAAATCTCGAAACACTGATTTTCAAGTGGAACCAACCGTGTTTAAACCGCGTCTTATATTTGAGCGGCGTCTAGACGCGGTTCAAATTGATAAGGACGAAGATTGGAAACCAAAATTTGGATTTCTTTCAAGTTCCATATTTTGTGATGAGTCCATTAAAAGTTATTAATAATCATTATTTGCCTAATTTGACTGCCTGTTTATTTAATTTGAACTCAATCGTTTTTGGGTTCTTATCCAAAAATCTTAAAACTTAGTTGTGTTTGTATACTTTTTCATTTAAAACAGATCTACTCACAAAATAAGTACAAAAAAAGAAAAATATTTATGTCTACTGGGTTGGGTCTAGTCGTGATCGAAAGCATACGCTTGCTGAAAAAAGGACAGAACTGATCTACTTTCGTGAGCTTTGCTATAGCACGTAGAATGTTTTCACGTAAGTAAAGTGAGTAAGTAAGATCTATTAGAAATAAATCAAGATCATAATACATATTATAATATGATTAACATTCTCATAAGAATATAATTGAATATATCATGGGTTTTATCACAGATTAAGATAAGGTTATATCATAGGAAGTTTAATTTTCTCTGCATATAGGGAATAGCAGATTTTCTGTATTTCTCCGTTCTAGCATAGTTGACAGTAAATAGTTCAACGTTCCGTAGCTGGTGGTTGTGAGTGACCGGTTCTACAGGGAATAGGGCAGAATGCCTTTGAGATTTTAGACATTTTTTAGCAAAGGATAAACAAAGTTTCTCTCTTCTAATCCTTAAGGTTTCTAGTTCCAGAACTGATAGAGCAGATTGATAATTAACATATACTGGGCCTAGAATAACTTTTAGGGACACCTTCTGAACCCTTTCTAGGGCCTCACCCTATGCTATGGTTAAAGAGGAACTCCATACTACACAACAGTACTCAAGAATACTACGTATATATATACGCAATGTAAACTCTAACCAGGTCTTTCAGGTTCATGCCAATAAACTTGAGTTTACAGAGTAGGGATAATCGGGCATAACTTTTTTTGCATATTTCTCTTGTATTAGTATCCCAATCTAGGTTTTCAGTTATCCAGACTCCAAGTAACTTCATTGATTCGACTCTTTGGAGGTTAGAGCTATTAAGTTTCAGTCTGGTACTAAAGTTGGATTTAGATCTGGTGAATAACATATAGTTGGATTTCTCACAATTAAGCATCATTTTATTCTGTTCAGTCCAGTCTGATATTGTGTTAATACATATCTGAGTGTGAAGGTTGGTCGGAGGGATAAAAATATTATCAATACCAATATCTGATGCAACATGCAGCTTATGGTTATATGAGGATATTGCTTTTGAAAGGTTGGATAGATAGAGAAGTTCAAGTATAGTTAGATCGTCAACATATTTAAATCTGCAGTCAGTACTAACACAATCTGCATTATCATTGCATTGAACTAGGTACTCCAGTACTCCAAGAAGTGTACCCTGTGGACCACCTCACGGCATGTGGTATGTTTTAGAAGTACTTCCATTAAATTTTACTGACATATATCTATTTGACAAGTAACTTGATATTACACTGAGAAGAGCAGGACGGACTCCTAGATTCATAAATTTTATGATCCCTAGAGTGGGACATTGTCGATCAAAAGCAGCTGACCAATCCAACATAGTTGCTAGTACTCCAGGGGATCCTAGGTTGTTGTCTAGATGAGATAGGATTTTATCTACTAAGGATATTAACATATGATCAGTTCCTGTTCCTTTTTGATTTCCATACTGTGCAGGATCAAGGTTGGGTTCTATATCTTCTAAAATCCAATTTCTCAGAAACCTTTCACGTTGTAGCTAGTCTACGCATCACAAAATGCAAAAATAGATTTTGAATTTAAAATTGTTTTCACAACAAAATTTCGCAATTGGAAATAGTCTAAAAGGAAATTATATTTTTTATAAAATGTTTCATTGTTCCCTGAGCATTAAACGTATTAATTAGATCTATAGTGTTCCACACTTCACACAATTCCAGTATTTTATCTAAAATACGTCAAATAATTTAAATAAATCATTATTTTGTACATGCCACTTAGACAGTTTGTTAAATCTTGGCCAATTACAATGTACATAAGCTTTAAATTATAACTGGACATAATTTTGACAATTTTGTTCCTAGTGGGCAGAGTCACGGATCAGCATTCAAAACTTCGAGAAGGTTTAAGACTCTTTTAAAAGTTATCAGCTCTTGTCATTTCAAAATTATTTCAAGAAATTAAACAATAGAGCAGCCTTTGGAAGAAATGTTAACTTTTCAATTCAATAGGATATGTTTCTTTTCAAAAAAACCTTACATAAAGGGAATGTGAGCGTAATTTTAAGTGACTCTATATAACGGTACCCTTAAAAGCTTTGTATAATCAACTTTGAACTAGTTACCAAGGTTATAAAATTTAAAACTGATTATTTTCAGTTGTGGTTTCTCTACTAAAACGACTTGTGCAATATTTCCACATATTCGAAATAAAGGCTTCAAGGGTACCATTGTGAATAGGGAATTGCCATCTATGCATTAAGGGTCGCTTGAAATTACGCTTACAGTCCCTTTAAACTTATAAATATTACTTTTTCACGTACCTAGATTTGAATATGTAGTTGACATATAGTATTCAGGACTACAATTCTTCATCCACATTCTTCTATTGCACTCTCCTCTTTAATATTAAATGTGTAATGTATGTATGTCACATCTTTAAAAGAAGAAAAAAAATAAAGGAAAGAAAGAAGTTTGGAACATTTTCAAAGTAAATATTCGAAGATAACTGAAAATCATATGTTTAAAATAAGCCTTTTTTGTCATGACAATTGAACAATACACAATAAGCTGTCAAAACTATTATAGGGAAGTTATCATTGATCTATTAATTTAGGCTATAAATAAATTAATGAAAATAAATTTCGAAAACAGAAACTTTTGGTATTGGATTGTCAAAGGTTAAATACAAGTAGAGAATTTATGTTTCAATGACTGAACACGGATTATTTAAAAGAATTTTTTTCTATTTTTAAGGTTGAAAATAAAAATCCAATCAAATCCGAGTTTATGAATTAATTAGAATTACAAAATGGATTTGGGATTTTCAAAATAGCAAAATTTTTATTAAGAAACTAAATTGTAACTCTACCTTTACTTACATCAATAAATCATAGATCCGTCTGATATTGAATTCAAGTTTATTAGGAACTCGGTACAGTAAACTTTTCTTCCTAAAATATGAACAAGACAATGATCCTGCATTAGAGATATCGAAAAAATTTGCACAATTTTGCACATTTTTAGGGAAAGCTACAATTGAAAATAAATAATATTTTAGCTTCAGAAGTAAGGATATCTCATTCATCTTTGATCAGAAAGAAGTTGGAAGGATACCATTGTGAATCGTACATATCACTCTTTAAATGGAGAGGCACTTGAAATTATATCTACAGTCCCTTTAATTAAAAATATTTCAAATCTCTAAAAGTTGATTAAAGCCAATTTTGAAATATCCTCAGCTGCACAAAAAAACACTTACTTATACATTAAAAATGTTTTATTGCTTTAAATGTAATGCAGTTTTAAGATGGTGTAAACCTAGTAGTTGAAGTTCTAAATCTTTAAAGACAAATTGGAAAAATGTATTCACATAATTTCTGACCTTTTTATCAATGAAACGACATCTTATATGATGAATTTATGGTTTGTTCATTATTTCTTATTCTTACAATATTAAAGAAAAACACGAGAATGGTGATCGTATCTTATGTGAATTCTTTGTGATTTGGCTGATTTTTAATCTACCTGGGAGCCTCGGGCCACGCAGTTAGCCCTTTAACACACTCTACCAGGTTTTCAAAACTAAAGAATTGTACTCTCCTCTCCAGTTCAGCAGTAAGCATGGATACATCTCCAAATGTATCTCTTAACCCGTTGTTTGCAGAGATCTGAACAAAATACTGAACTAGCTCCGGGTTTGAGAGCTGAGCTAGGTCTGGTTCAAGGTCTATAGATTTTAGTTTATGGTTACTGATAAACTCCAGTAGCGGTGGGTTCCAGTCATAATAGTACATGTTCAATGCAGTAGACTCACAGTCTAGAGTCAAAACAAAATTATCTCATCTTAATGAAAGATAAGTCCTGTATTTTATGTGAACCGTAAATTTGAAATTTATCTCTTAGACCTGGGCTTTTTATTATGGCAAGCAATGTCACCTTTCATTTTAATTGCTAAATAAGTATTAATCTACGTGCAATTGAACTACTTAGAATTATTTTGATTGTAATAATTTTGTGTAATTCCCTGGTTGAGTACTGAGGTTGGATACTGAGCGTACAAACTGAAACCTAAATCTTGGCGTCCGACATATTGATCTACACAAACAAAACATTTTTCTGAAAAAAAGTAAACTTAAAAATTTAGCTTGGTTTCTTCTGAATGAACTTTAACACTAACAGACTGAATTGATTTCAGCTTCTTATCTTGAATAAACTTAACTTTAAATAATGAACAATGATACTAATAGGATTCTTCAGGACGGAGAAATATTTTCTGGAATATATTTAAGAGAAGAATTTACTGAGCTTATTAAATCTGATTGAGTAATTTCAAGTGATATCTCATTAAATGGCATATCCGATTCACTACAGTATCCTTTAAACATTTGTTTAATCATGAAAAAATATGGCATCCTAGATTTTTAATTGAGGGTTCTCTGGGACTTGCGGATTTCTAAAGATACAATAACGGATTTTTGTTTCAAGAATTACAATTGGACATGTCACTCTATAAATGGTTCTCTTGAAATTAGGTAATTAGGTAATTAGGAAATAACTGTGCTAGGATGGTAGAACAGGGGATGGATGAATCCAAGTACAAGATTCAGTACTGTCATAACAACCATCAGGGTGGTTTAGGTAGAACCAACAATCCTTGGATTTTATCTTCGCATTTTTCTTCTTAATCGCCAGTGTTCCTGGCACCCGGAGTCTAACCGTTCCTTGCTGAACCTGGAAGATGGAAGGGTGGTTCCGGAATAAAGTCTGTAATCCGCCACACTCCGACTAAAAAAATGTAAAAGCATTAAACAATAATTCCCGAATACTTTGTATACATCTGTATGTTTAGCAGGCGTGAACTGAGAGGGGGGGGGTTAATGGACTAAGCCCTCCAACCCTCAGCCCCCTGGATCAGTAGGATCTATGGATGCTGAGCCCCCATTCCCCCTGAAAGAACAAAAACTCCATGGACAAATTCGTGTCTACACCCCTGATGTTCATAGTTCACCTTGAGTTTTGAGAGATCTATCTTATTATCTTGAAGCCTCTGAACTATCTGAGGAAAGGATAACTCTCCCCCAGAGTTCCAAGTTTCTCCCGACTCTTTAATCAACTCTTGATTAGTCTCCAGGCAGAGGTTCACCACTATATTAACTATATTTGTTACTATCTCGTTTCCTATCTTTGTGCAGTTCCGTACTTTTTCAACTTTCTCCCTTGGTTTGAATCCTCGACTCTTTTCTTCAACAAAATCAAGAACTTTCTGCTTTCGTTCCTCATAGTTTGTATCATTAGGTTTCCCAACCAGACAAATCCTCTTGGTTGAAGGTATTCTCATCTTATCCTCCTCTACTCTGAACCCTGCTAAGCATCCTATCTCCATGACGAAGTTTAGATAGTCTCGGAATATTGAATCTCCCGCATTTCTTCTCTGGTATTTGGTCGTAAAGTCGAATGTACAACAAGGTAGAACCCAATAGCATGTGTTAGGACCTGAAAAAATAATAAATTACAAAACACAGATATAAAAATAGTACGCTCAAATTTTTAAACCATACATCATGAGGTTTTTTATCAATTAAGGTATAAGGAGTAAGATCTGAAAAGCCCACTAAGTTTTTAAGAACAGTATAAAGTTTAAAAACTTCCTTTTGTTTTATGCAAAGTGTACTATACATACGCGCCATTCTGTTCCTTACACAACAGCTGAAAATGTTATAAACTTTTACAAGCTCAGTAAAACTAATTCAATAAGAACCATCTTTGAAACTAACAAGGGATGTATCCTAATATAATTTTCAGATTAGAACCAAATAGAAATAATTATTATTATTATAATAATAATAATAATACAAACCTGAAAGACAAGCGAAGACTGGTATCCAGGGGGTTAGTTCATCACTATGGTTCCCAAGGATCCAATCTATCCCAGGGAACCTGGTTTCTACTCCAGGGATAATAGGTTCTTCTCTGAGCTCAGGTTTAGTAGGAAACCAATCCCAGATACCTCTCCTTCTCAGATCATATCCTATCCCCTTGTGTCCTTCACTGTTCAGTATATAAACTGAAGAAAATAGGTTTAATAAAAAAATAGCCTTGTAATTAAATATGAATATATTGTGACAATTTCTGATCCAATGGCAACGACTACAGGACCAAAGGCTTTTTAAGTTTCAGATACAGAGTGTCCCACGCAACATGAAAGTTAAAAGAGAACTAGAAGATCTTCAATACATCTCTTCACATAATGTTTTGTGGGACACCCAGTATCTAAGATTTTCAAACAGAAAATATTTTAATTCGTATTAATTAATTCTCTAGATGTCTCACCAAGCAACCCGTTTCCGCAACCAAGGTCCACGAAACTAATCTTCTTCTGTCCCCAGATACAGGTTAGGTAGGCAGCTATACCAATATCTTCATGAATACTCTTCTCAGCATCACTAGTTTCCTTCCAGTTAGAGATCAGGTCTCCAGCATACTTACTCTTCAACCTCGAGTACTCCCTACAAATTATACAAAAACTATCCACAACAGCAACAAAATCATGATTAAAAAATGAAAACATTTTTCGTGAACAGACCCACCTAACTTATTCCTTGCTACAAAATCTGATTTTCTCATCTCTGTAACTTTGCAACCTAATGTCGTAAACATTTCATGTTTCAAACTATAAATTTTGCCAGCCAAAATTGTAAAAGTTTTAAATCCGAAAGGTTTACACCGCCATGTTGCAGAGATATGAGGATTAGAAAATTATAGTTTTTAGCAGGTTATCAGTTCTTACTCGTCCAGGACTACAATGAAGGTTGGATATTGTATTCTAGATCGAAATAACCTGCAGTACTCCTCTAGATCTACTAGTCTAAGACTAGGTTGAAGGTTGGATAATGTATCCTGGAGCCAGGATACAAATCTCGGAAATAATCTTGATTCCAACCAAACCTTCTGCTGATCCTTCAGACCCTTCGATACACTCAGTTCGCATCCTTCATTCCTGGAAATAAGAATATTTGCAATGTAGAGTTAATTTTTTTCTTCAAGTAATTTTTATTTTTAAACGGCTGGGATTAAAAAAGAATTAAAAGAAATTATCTTTTATTTTCAGGTTTACCAGAATGAACAACTTTAAAATGAATATTTAAGCGATGTTTTTGTCCGTTTGATGGAATTCAGTGATTGATGATTAAAAATATATATAAATAATATATACGCAAGCTAAATGTGTTACAGCTGACTCCAGCAAAATAGAAAACAAAACAAGAGGAGAGTGTAGTGACCTTGCTCCCCTCAGAACAGGTCTGAGTTACAGGGCTCGGAAAAATACTTCTAATTCTCTTGTAATTTGGCTAGCTGCAGGATCATCCAAAAAATTCTATATTTTTATTTTCAAAATTAGCTGAAGTATGATTGAAGGATGGACAAGGAATGGACGATCAAGAAGAAAGAATGAAAAACAAAAAATATAGAAGTGTCAAAATGTTTCTATCTGATATCATACAGAAATGTAAAAATATTGTAATTTTTTTTCAAAATAACAAATTATTAAAGTTAAAAATATACAAATAATAATGGGGAAATGTATTTCGAGCTGTCCTACCTATATGTTAGCCTGTATGGAACAGAATCCTCTGCAATAGGAATAAAAACAGCTTTAAACTCTGAGCAAACCAGGATACGATGGAAATCTTGGAATTTCAGATCATTTCTAGAAACCAGTTTCTGCAGCTTAAAAACAATATCACACTTATCCTCGGTTTGACCAGCAGTATTTTGTCTTTTTTGATTAAGAAGATTCTGGATATTCTGCCAGGTTTTCTCCTTCTCAAGGTTTAATATAAGCTCCTCTCCTAGTTCTAGGTATGGAAATGTATCAGCTCCTAGAAGGACCTGCCCTGCAACTCTTTTATCCAAACTCTAAATAAATCTTACAATTTACTCAATCATAGATCAAATCAAATCAAATTAGAGTTTAGGGACATCCTAGTAACCATATATTCACCTCCAGATGAATCCACTAAATTAAGAAATATCTGTGGACTTACAGCTTGTGATCGAGGTATTTTAATCAAATTTTTTTATTTAAAATTGTTTCTTGACGGGTGGTTATTTTTTGAGATATTTGAGTTTTTATTTTACGCACAAATAAGAAGAAAAACAAACTTATTTATGTTAAGATAAAAAATATAACATTTAAGATTTCAATCAAACATGAAATATACTTAAATTTGTCGTACAATTAAATTAATATCCGTAATGATAAGATATATACTATAATTAATAATTGTATCTCGAATATGACATTAAAATCTATAGGTGGGATTATGCTTAATAGTTTATAAAATAGAAGAGGAGGTCAGAACTTTTAATTCTTTTTTAATTCTTCTTCGATATTGCGTGGTGGTCATGCCTTTAATAAAGTGATTAAGCATTTATCCTAAAGTGTCAACATTGCAATGGATATCGAGATCAAGCGTTCGATATTTACGTGGCTCGACACAAAAGTTTCGACCTGAGAAGAAATTACTGTGTAGAAAATGAGGAACACAAACCAGAGTTAACGTTGAAGATTAAGAATAATTTGTAAGATTTCCTGTGGTTTATCAATAATAATATCACAAGCTTTCTTCCACTGGTCTCTGAAAAAATATGAAATAAATATCAATATTAACTCAACCCCATTTCAAACTATCTATTTGATACAGAATACATAGAAAGGCAATAGCGTACAGTTTATCATCAATAACGCGGGACAACTGACTTGATTGCAAACATTGGATATCATTCAAAGAAATATAATTTCTGAGGTATTTAACTCAATTTTTCATAAAAAATATGTATCTCCGTCATTAGTAACACAAGTCTTAAAACAAATGAACTACTACCTACCCCTCTTGTTTGATCTGTGTTATTTGTTAAAAAGACTTACTTTGTTATTTCTTCAACATTACAGTGGGCTAGAGGAACCCAGAAATCCTGATGTTCAAGGACAGTTGGTTTCTTTAAATCATTGTTCATCTTGGTACGAGGAACCCTGGTAGTTCTATTATTTAAGTTTACAGCTGCTTCATGTAAATCTTTATCTATACAAAATATGAATATTAACAATAACTTGATCATAACTTGGTATGATTAACAATCTGAATTTGGACATTTTTTGTATGAACGATAAATTTCTAAAAGTGTACCTCGGATTTTGAAACAGAACGTTCTCGAACAGTTCCACAACTGTCAGCAAGAGCAAGAGCTAGAAGATGCTTACAGGTTAATCCGCTACCGCGTAGAACTTGAAACTAAACAAAATTATATTCAATGATTGATCTTCTTTTCCATTCTATTAATCTTCCACTCCTCCTTTCTTCTATTCATCTTCTACTCATTCATCTTCTACTCGTCCATCCTTCTATTAATCTTCTCCTCCTCCTTCCTTCTATTCATCTTCTACTCCTCCTTACTTCTATTTATCTTCTACTCCTCCTTCCTTCTATTCATCTTCTACTCCTCCTTCCTTCTATTCATCTTCTCCTACTCCTTCCTTCTATTTACCTTCTTCTCCTCCTTCCTTCTATTCATCTTCTACTCCTCCTTCCTTCTATTCATTTACTACTACTCCTTCCTTCTATTCATCTTCTACTCCTCCTTCCTTCTATTTATCTTCTACTCCTCCTTCCTTCTATTAATCTTCTACTCCTCCTTCCTTCTATTCGTCTTCTACTCCTCCTTCCTTCTATTCATTTTCTACTCCTTCCTTCTATTCATCTTCTTATTCCTCCATTCTTCTATTCATCTTCTCCTCCTCCTTCCTTCCATTTACCTTCTTCTTTTCCTTCCTTCTATTCATCTTCTACTCCTCCTGACTTCTTTTCATCTTCTACTTCTCCTTCCTTCTATTCATGTTCTACTCCTCCTTCCTTCTATTCATGTTCTACTTCTCCTTCCTTCTATTCATCTTCTACTCCTCCTTCCTTCTATTCATCTTCTACTCCTCCTTCCTTCTATTCATCTTCTACTCCTCCTTCCTTCTATTCGTCTTCTACTCCTCCTTCCTTCTATTCATCTTCACCTTCTCCTTCCTTCTATTTACCTTCTACTCCTCATTCCTTCTATTAATCTTCTACTCCTCCTTTCTATTAATCTTCTACTCTTCCTTCCTTCTATTCATGTTCCACTCCTCCTTCTTTCATTAATCTTCTACTCCTCCTTCCTTCTATTCATCCTCTACTCCTCCTTCCTTTCATTAATCTTCTACTCCTCCTTCATATTTTTATTCAACTACAAAGCACGAGATAATACAAATAAAATGATCGAATTTTGATGGAGACAAAATTTGAAATTTTTATTTTTCATAAACCTTCCCTGGGGTCCCTAGATGTCCCACAAAAAATTTGGGCCCGATCGGTTCAGCCGTTTTGACGTTTATTGGATACAAACAAACAAACAAACAAACAGACAGACAGACAAACAGACAAGCCAAATTTATATATAGATTCAGTGCATTCAGTTAAAAATTAGTATATTAATAATTTTAATAGATCTTAGGTTAGTTTCTTGTGTTTGTAATCGACTAAACTTATCAATATTATCTAGGTACGAGTAGAACTGAACGGAGCATCTCCGTAGAGAAGCAGAAACCTCCAGAGAGTTCCAGGAACAACTGGAACGTGCAGAAAGCGACCAACGTCTTCCACCAGGAACACACCGTGACTAGGGACTCTAGGGGCAGGGTGTTGGGCTCAGGGTTCAGGGGTTGTACGGTCTGGTTTACAGGACTCTCAGGCGCAGGAAAAACTACGATTTCTTTCGCACTTGAGGAGTACCTGGTATCACGTGGTATATCTGCCTATGGATTGGATGGTGACAATATCAGGACGGGCTTAAACAAGAACCTTGGCTTTAGTCCGGAGGACAGGGAGGAGAATATTCGAAGGGTAGCAGAAGTTGGAAAACTTTTCGCAGATTCCGGGAATATTGCTCTTTGTGCATTTGTATCTCCGTACAGACAAGATCGAGAAATGGCTCGGAGCCTGCACAACGAGGCTGGGTTACCGTTCTTTGAGGTGTACGTAGATACTCCGATAGAGGAATGTGAGATTAGAGACACAAAAGGTAAACTTAAATATTCATTAAATATATTTGTTCAAATCATAATTCCTTAAACCATAATTCTTTTTAGGATTGTACAAGAAAGCCCGCGCCGGAATTATCAAAGGATTTACTGGAATAGATCAACCTTATGAGCAACCAGAACACCCGGATGTGGTTTGTAAGACTATGCACAGGAGTGTGCAGGAGTGCGTGGATCAGATCGTCAAGATGTTGGAGGAGAACTGTATCCTTCCACAACCCTCCAATCAGGTAGTTTTATTTCATTTTATTTTATTTGAAAAATTTAAAAATTTGCATGTTAGTCATTTTGTCTTCTTAAGGCGGATGATTTGATGGTTCCGGCGGAGAAATTAGCTGAAGCAAAGGCTGAGGCGGAGAGGCTCCCTAGTCTTGAGATTGAGGAGCTAGAGTTACAATGGCTCCAGGTACTAGGAGAGGGATGGGCTGCTCCGCTGAAGGGATTTATGAAAGAACGAGAGTTTCTCCAGTGTCAGCACTTTAACTGTCTACTAGATGATAAATCAACTAATCAATCTATCCCTATAGTTCTACCCCTAAAAGCAGGTAACAAAACACTTAGTTGTATGGATATAATTTGGTCAAAAATTTGTATTTTGGATTTTAAAACGTCACATTTAGATGAGAAGACGCGATTGGAAGGTGTTACAGCTCTAACCCTGAGATACAAGAACGAACCTAAAGCAATTCTACGGAATCCGGAGTTTTACGAACACAGGAAAGAGGAGAGATGTGCTCGACAGTTTGGAACAACCAACTCGAACCATCCGTACGTAAAGCAGATCCTTGAGAGTGGAGATTGGTTGGTTGGAGGGGAGATAGAAGTCCTAGAGCGAATACTCTGGAATGACGGGTTGGATAACTACAGACTAACTCCGGCAGAGCTTAGAGCTAAGTTTAAAGAGATCAATGCAGATGCTGTTTTTGCCTTTCAGCTGAGGTAAAAATAGAAACATTTTAATATTTAATTCTATTTTGTCAATACATTCCTGCTTATAGAAATCCGATCCATAACGGGCATGCGCTTCTCATGCAAGACTGTCGAAGACAGTTGGAGGAACGAGGATTCAAAAAACCAGTTCTTCTCCTTCATCCTTTAGGAGGTTGGACTAAGGTAAATTTGGAGAGAGCTAAAATTTCTTTTAATATTTACTTTCTCGAAAAATCATTTACCCCCCATTTATCGAAGATCATTGTTACTCCAAATTTAAGGATGTTAACCCCCCATTTATGAAGATCATTGTTACCCCAAATTTAAGGATGTTAACGCGGAGCGTATAATTTTTTCCGGAATTTTTTACACTTAATTGGGGAAAATTTAGGGGGATTAATTTAATTTTTGGGGAAAATGTAACAAAAGATAATAAAAATAACTTGCTTTTTGATGTCCAATTTTTCATTTTTTCTCCCAATTCTTAAAATTCACCCCGGAATGAACCAATGATATGAAGCATTTTTCAATTTATTATTCAGAACATTTTAGCTTTGATTTTCTCGAAATTTCTATTACCTGATCCAAAACATTTATTAGGAAGACGATGTTCCTCTGTCTGTGCGGATGGAGCAGCATGCAAAGGTTCTTGAAGCTGGAGTTCTGGATCCAAATCAAACCGTCCTAGCTATATTTCCGTCTCCGATGATGTATGCAGGTAAAAAGTAAATATTCTTATGTAAAAAAATAAAAGGTAAAAAGTGACCGTTTTTCGATATTTTAAAAATGGTTTGATTTAAGGCTAGAGAATAAGGTTGTTTGATACTCAAGGATTTTAAAATTTTTTCTCCAGGTCCTACTGAAGTACAGTGGCATGCTAAAGCAAGAATGGCTACTGGAGCAAAATTTTATATCGTTGGTCGAGATCCAGCTGGGATGCCACACCCAGATCCTCCTAAACGTGATCTATACGAGCCCACTCATGGAGGCAAAGTTCTCTCCATGGCTCCAGGTCTAGCAAACCTGGAGATAATTCCGTTCCGAGTAGCGGCTTATGATATGAAAGCGGGGGCTATGTCTTTCTTTGATCCAACGAGGAAAGAAGATTTTGATTTTATCTCTGGAACTCGAATGCGAGAACTAGCTCGAACTGGAGAGGAACCACCCAAAGGTTTTATGGCTCCGGGTGCCTGGAAGGTACTAGAGAACCATTATAAATCCGTATCTCAGTCAAACACACACTGAAGCATATCGTCTACATGTGATTGTACAGCATTTGGTCTTGTAGAAATTTAATCTCATACCTTTCTAATCAAAACAAAATCATGTGTTTTTTTGCAGAATGTTTTATACTTTAAGTTTTAGATGTTTTATTAATGCATAACGTTTACCAAAAATAAATGTTTCAAAATAATTTCTAATTGAATTGATTAAGTTGTCAGTTGAGGATACTCACAGCTTATAAAATCAAACTTTAAGACTTTTCTTCCCTACCCGTCTCTTCTGTTCCTGTTTAATCTTTTCTTCTTTGCAAAATATATTCTTGATCCTGTCCTTAGATAACTTACCATAATTCCTAGAACTATAATAATTCTATACATTTCTAGTTCTCCTATACGATTTTACATTCCTAGTTCTCTTATACTTCTCTACATTTCTAGTTCTCTTATACGATTCTACATTCTTAGTTCTCTTAAACTTCTCTACATTTCTAGTTCTCTTATACGATTTTACATTCCTAGTTCTCTTATATTTCTCTACATTTCTAGTTCTCTTAAACGATTCTACATTCCTAGTTCTCATAAACTTCTCTACATTTCTAGTTCTCTTATACGACTCTACATTCTTAGTTCTCTTAAACTACTCTACATTTCTGGTTCTCTTATACGATTTTACATTCCTAGTTCTCATAAACTTCTCTACATTTCCAGTTCTCCTATACGATTTTACATTCCTAGTTCTCCTATACTTTTCTTCATTCATAGTTCCCTTATACTTCTCTACATTCCTAGTTCTCCTATATTTCTTTACATTTCTAGTTCTTCTATATTATTTGACATTCCTAGTTCTCTCATACTTCTCAACATTCCTAGTTCTCTCATACTTCTCAACATTCCTAGTTCTATACTATTTTACACTCGAAGTTCTCTTATACTTCTCAACATTCCTAGTTCTCTCATACTTCTCAACATTCCTAGTTCTATACTATTTTACATTCAAAGTTCTCTTATACTTCTCTACATTCCTGGTTCCCCTATACTATTTTATATTTCTAGTTCTCCTATACTATTTTACATTCCTAGTTTCTTTGCTTCTTTACATCCCTAGTTCTCCTATACTATTTTACATTCCTAGTTCTCTTTACTTCTTTGCATTCCTAGTTATCCTATACTATTTTACATTCCTAGTTTCTTTGCTTCTTTACATTCCTAGTTCTCCTATACTATTTTACATTCCTAGTTCTCTTTACTTCTTTACATTCCTAGCTATCCTTTACTATTTTACATTCCTAGTTCTCTTATACTTATGCTATGAAAAAAATTAATAACTTCTTAAGCGTTGACACCATTAAATTACTTTATTACTCCTTTTTTCACTCTCATTTAGAAGTTCAACATTTCTAATGCTAACTTCAAACATAATATTGATAAGATAGAATCATTGCAAAAGAAAGCTATTCGTCTATTGATGGGGTAACCCAGAATAAGTTACACAGCGGAAGCTTTTTTGGGCTTTGAACATACTCCCCTTCAGAAAATTAGGATTTTTTAATGTTATAAAATTTTTATTTCAATTTAAAGGAGACCAATTATCATTAACATTTGAAAAAAATTTCACATTTTCAAAAAATATCAAAAACGCAAATCTTAGAAACAGAAATGACTTTTATATTCCTAGAGTAAAATCTATTAAAATTGGACTGCTTCCTCCTTACAATTTCCCTAAAATATGGTATAAAAAATAAACGACAGTTTTCTAAGCTTTCAAACATCAATCTTATTTCAAATCTTAACAGAATTTAATTGGAGATTTTAATCAGTAGAACAAATGTATTAATTAATTCTAACACATGCTATTTTTGCAAAAGAATCGAAAAAAGCAAAGACGATTTTACAAAGAAAAGACTAAAAAGAGTAAGAGATATATCAAACTGAAAGGATGTAAAAAATCGGCGCGAATTCAAAAGATGCTAAAAAATGGCCATTTTGCGTAAAACCTATACATTTTTCAAAACCCATCAAGCATATTTTTTTTTAAACATTACAAATAAATCTTTCATTTTTATTTCTAAAAGTTGTTAGTTCATCGTCGAATATTGAGAAGAAGAATACGCATAATAAAGATTGCGAAGAAGAATACGCATAATAAAGACTAAGTCTAGGTCTGGTGTTCCTCCCTGATGACGTGCTTAAGACTGTTCGGTAAACTTCCTTCCATCACGTGACGAATAGAATCACTGATCAATTTATTCATTAGATATCAATATTCCGAATCACAAAAAATGTGGGAAAATGATTATAATTGCAGTTATTCCTTCCTTTTCAAGATTTCAAAGATTATCTAATGGCGGAGTGCGTGGGGCAAAGGTGTTATTTAGAAACGATCATTATCACTTTATTAATATCGCAACAACCTCTATTTTTGGAGGTTTTCAAATATTTTCTCCTTAAACACTTAAATTTTTATGTTTTTTTATATTTCAAAAATATATAATAATTCCTTACTTACTTACCTCTACATTCCTAGTTCTCTTATACTTCTCTACATTCCTAGTTCTCTAGCTTATACTTCTCTACAGTTCTCCTATACTATTTTACATTCATAGTTCTCTTAAACTTCTCCACATTCCTAGTTCTCTTATTTACATTCCTAGTTCTCCTATACTAATCTACATTCTTATTTCTCCCATACTTCTCTACATTCATTCATTCTTATTTCTCCTATACTTCTCTACATTCCTAGTTCTCTTATACGTCTCTTCATTCCTAGTTCTCTTATACTTATCTACATTCTTATTTCACCTATACTTCTTTAAATTCCTAGTTCCTTTAAACTTATCTACATTCCTAGTTCTCTTATACTTCTCTACATTCCTATTTCTCCTATACTCATCTACATTCTCTTATACTTCTTTATTGCTTGTATTATGCTTCTATTTAATTTCTTATTCTTCTCTTTAATCAATTATTAATTGTTCCTTTTATCCTGCCAATATTATCTTATCCATCTTGTTCATCCTCCGTCTTCCTCATAGTTGTGTATACTCCTAATCCTATCTCCTACCTGGAAGGAAGGACAGCTGCAGTAATGTGAGAACTTCTTGACGTTATATTTAACCCCCCTGGATCCTTGTACCAGATAAACAGCCCTAGGTCCCTCGGATTCACTCAGTAGAAATACACTCCTTCTATCCACTAGATCTAGGGCTGAGATTACAACGTCTCCGAGTATACTGTGCAAACCAACCAAGATCTCACTAGGAATAGATCCTTCTGTTCTGTACCTTAAAAATGGTCTTTAAAATTACAATCTCATTATTCATGAACCTTGAATCTTTATGTATACTTTTGCTTTTCTGTCTATCTGTTTGTTTGTTTGTTTGTAACCGATAAACGTCGAATGTTTATACCATTGATTTTTAATAACCTCTGAAAAGTACAGCTGTGAATCATGAATGGCACTAGTTTAAACAAAAAGATTTCGTTGAAAGTCCACTTTTAAACGACGTTCACACAAAGTTTTACTGACCTTTCTCCTCCTGCAGCGATCAAGCAGTTAAGTGTTGAAAATAAAGTTCTCCTGTCACCCATTTTAAAACATAATTACATATTTTCTACAAGATAATCTGAAAAATGTGAGTAAAAACACATTATTTATGGTAAATCAAGTTAACAAAATAATTAATAAAACAGTTTTATACAAGTAAGGATAAAAAAATAGAAAGAAACGCGTTCAATAATGCAATAATAAATATCTGGCGAAGGGATTTTAAAGAAAAACATATGACTGTAAAGCATAAATCATATGGCAATCCCGAGACATAGTTGCAAACTGGCAACGAAAAATTAAAGGGAACAGAATTAAAAAAATATTATTGATAATTGTTGATAAGCAAAAGTTGTAAGAAACTAACTCCAGCTGCTCCGAAGTGTTGAAAGAAATTAACTCCAGCTGATCAGCTGCTCCGGAATGTTGGAAGAAACTAGCTCCAGCTGCTCCGGAGTGTTGGAAGGAACTAACTACAGCTGATCCAGAGTGTTGGAAGAAACTAACTACAGATGCTCCGGAGTGTTGAAATAATTTAACTCCAGCTTCTCCGGAGTGTTGAAATAATTTAACTCCAGCTTCTCCGGAGTGTTGAAATAAATTAACTCCAGCTACTCCCGAGTGTTGAAAGAAATTAACTCCAGCTTAAGCATTTGCTTTGATGAGAATAGGTTGTCCATACTTAGCAATCAGTTCACTCGTGGAATATCTAAAACAAATAGTTATCATTATCATTATCATTATCATTATCATTATCATTATCATTATCATTATCATTATCATTATCATTATCATTATCATTATCATTATTTATCATTATCATTATCATTATCATTATCATTATCATTATCATTATCATTATCATTATCATTATCATTATCATTATCATTATCATTATTACTATTATTATCATGGTTACAAAAATGATAAATATATATAATATGTGAATAATGTGAAAGGGTCGGATTAAGATTAAATATTTAACTAAAGCAAGGTTAAAAGTATATGAATAGAACTTAAAAAAGGAGAAAGGTCGAAATATAATTAAACCTGATGTGAAAAAGCAATGAGCCTGGTTAAAAAGAATAGGAATAAACGGTGAAAGGTCGGAATACGATTAAATATTTAACTAGAGCAGTTACAAAAAAAAAATAACTTTGAAAAAATATAAGGGTTGGAATAAGGTCAAAACTAAAACTTAACTGAACTGAAATATAATTAAATAAGTGAATAAATAATAAGTCTGGTTTACAGGAAAGAAATAAACCAATGAGAGAAGAATAAGCTGTGTAGAAGATTAAATCTTGAACTTGAGTAGAGCTAAAACTGTAAAATAAGAATTATAGAAATAAGATTAGATATTTAGAAAGAATAGAAATAAAATTATGGAATGAGAAGGATCGAAATAAGATTAAATATGTAACTGAAGAAGGAAAGAAATAATAGCATAACCCCAGCGAATAAAAAAGGTCAAAATAATATTAATAATGCTCTTAATTTGATATGTTTTGATTGAATTCAAGTATGAATCATTAATCAATATTTATTTTTAAACCAGATTTTTTCAATCATGGTTTTTCTTTACAGTGACTTTCGCATTTCTACTGCAGGAAGATATATAAAAATTATCTGAATTAAATACTTTAAACCTAAAAAAGTAAAATTAACTTCCAAATTTTGGATTGAATAAAGGTTTCAAGGGTACCGTTCTGAATCGGGCATTGCCATCTTTGAGGGTCACTTGAAATTACGCTAACAAAAGTATGGGTTTCTTTTGTGATAAAAGATTTAAAGTGTAAGTTTAACGATTATTTAGTTAGTAATCATTAAATAACTAGTAATTGGGTTAAATAATACTCAAGTATTACCATATAAAAATGAAATGTAAAAGAACAACATAATATTTATAATATAATAAGAAAAAAGGAAAAAAGGAAAGAAAAAAATGTCGAGATCAACGCTTGATCTCCTCTTTTTTCTCCAGAGCTGAAAACTTTAGAATGGTGGATATCAGGATTAAGGCTTAAACCACTCTTTTTCTTAATATCCAGTTTAAATATTGCTTGTTCTCCACATGAATTTAAACTCCAGAGAAGCAACTTTATCTCTTAATTGGATATTTCATTCTAAAGTTTTCAGCTCTGAGCTGGGAACTTTAGAATGGTGGATATCGGGATTAATGCTTGATCCACTCTTTTTCTTAATCTCCAGATTAAATATGGCTTGTTCTTCTCTTGTAATTAATCTCCAGATTAATTAACAGATCGGGATTAAGGATATCCCATTCTAAAGTTTTCAGCTCTGATTAATTTAATGTTTATTTAATATACACGTGAAAGTGTCTACAAGTCCACGAATCGTTTGCAGAAACCTAACAATTAATCAGAGGCCGAGAAATTTTGCGACCAATCAAATTCTTATTGGTCAGAGCCCAGCAGTGACATCCAAATCGAGGATTAAGCAGAAAATAACAAGTGTCCACTGTCCAGCTCTGATTAAAAATTTCTTGGTTTACGGATTCAAAATTCAAATACGAACTCCTAATTTCCTAACCTGGAGGAACTGAAAGAGACTTAGGACTCCTTGGAGCAGATCTATCCGGACTCCCTTGCCCTGGGAGCATTCCGTCCCGGTACTTCACAGATTTATTCTTCCGTGCTTCTTTAGATACTCCAAACCCGAGCTAAACAATTATATTAATTTATTTTAGCTTTTTTAAGAAATAAAGATTATTTACTCCATGATAAAAATAATTCTTTCACGATCTTGAATCGGAAATCCGGTTTCTCCAATTTAAGTTATTTTTGTACAACTTCCGCTAATTTACATCTTTACCGACCCCCCCCCCCTTGCAAAACCTGCCTAACTCCGTTTTCTCTCCTGCTACTTTATTTTCTCCTCTTTCCTTCATCTTCCCTCTTCTTTTAACCTCATCCTTTCCTCGTTCCATTATCTCCACCAGTTCTTCCAACCTTCTAAAATCCTTCAATTTCTTTTCTTGTTTCACCAAACCCTCCCCCCCCCTTATCATCTTTATCCCGTTTAATACTTGTTAACTTACTTTAACTAGAACAGGTTTACAGGTTGAATTATCTGGGAGAGGAACCGGAGATCTTGGAACATCAGAATACTCTTCCCAATCCTCCTGAATATATATCTTAACTTAACGATGCATCAGTTTTCAAGGATTTAGAAAACAAATATGAATCAGGAAAGGGAATATAATTTTTTTAATGACAACCCTGCCCCTATGCCCGGAATGGGGGGAATGATTTGATGAGAAAAAAATAAAAGGTAAGTTTTAAATGCTTTTTCATACTTTTTGCCCAAAAATTTATTTATTTACACCTTAAAAATCATTTATTTCCCTAATTTAGCGAATTAAACTCTTAATTTGTAAAAAGTAATAAAACAAACATTATAAACCACTGGGATCAGAATGTCAAAAATAGTGAGAAAGGTTGACGAACTTGTTCGAATTCACCACTTAGGTTCAGCTTAAATAGATAACCCAAAGAAGAATCTCAAACCTGAGGAGGAGTTTCTGGTTTCTTTTTTCTTCCTTTCTTCTCATGAGGACGATAAAAGGGTTTAAGGGTGATGAGAGTAGGATTAATTATATCATCCTTCTTCTTATTCTTAACCTAACATACAAGAAGTAAACAACTCAAGACAAACTAGTTTTATTTTTAAAATATGGACGTAATTATAGATTTCCATTTTCGGCATTTTATATTTCTTTAATATATTTAACCCTATTTAGTCTGATGTCTGGTTTACTGACTGGCTGCCTCTATTTTCTTATCGTGATACAAATATTTAACATTTGATACGTTTTTTAAAAGCCCTTGCAAAATCCAAATATTAATTGCAAAATCTAGTTATTAAGTAAAAAATGTGATCAAATTGCAAGAAATTGTATAATTTTTTTGACCCAGCGAATTCATATATGCAAAAAATTTTAAAACCTAAATGTGTGTTCAAGAAAAAATAAAAATGTGCAAATTTTCTTTGAAGGCGTTTGTGTGCAAAACTCGGTGAAAAATTTCTTTGCAAAAATTGTACAATCGGCTTGCTTTTGTTACATGCTTTCTAAAGAGCTATAAATTGTTGAAATCCAATGACTGGAAGAAGGTCTAAATATAAATTTAGCTTGGCATAGGAAAAATAGGGCATTTAGACAGTATGCCTGAGGACTCAAGCAGTAGGTAAAAATGCCCAGCTTTTAGCCTGAAGTGAGGGGCATGTGTTAGTTAGAAAAGCCAGATAATTTGAGCTTCCTAGCTCAAACACTATTTGAGTTATCGCAAAAAACGATGGGGGGTGGTCAAATTTGACCCCCCTCCCAGGCCAAATAGAGTCAATGTAAATAAAATAAATAAATAAAAGATCAACCATCAAAAATAATATAATTATACTTATTATAATAAATTATCTTTGAAGCTTCCTGGTAAAATTGTATAAATCCTATATCTTAATTTATCTTATACCTTGAGTTCCTCTGTTGCCAGCTCCTGCTGTTCAACCTGCTCTAGGATCCGTCCTGTTGCAACCTTTTGTTGTTCCACCAGGATATTCTGCCCCTGCTCAACATTCATTCCTGCCAATCTCTCCGCCATTCTTTGCTCCTTCCGCCGCTGCCTTTCCGCCTCCTTCGCCGCCTGCATTTCTAATAGTTTGGAGGTTACCATCTGAGCTGCTACAATTGCCTGCTCCTTCTCTAGTGGAACAACGGGAACCTTTAAAAAAATACACATAAGAAGTATTAATTTTAATTACAAAACATTCAGTTTTAACCCCCCCCCCCCCCCATCGTATCTGTCCTGGGGATTTTATTACCTTTGTGACAGGTCCTGGGTCTAAGCTGGGAATACTATCATATGTTGGTATGGTTGCAGGTAACCCAGTAGCCATCATCTTCTCCATCTTTTCCATGTTTTCCCTCTTTAACCCCAGTTCACGTTCTAATCTCTCGTCCAATGATATCCTTTGAGGGGAATTAGAGAATTCATGATCTCTGACGGAATTGTTAAATCCAGTACGAAGCTTTGGATCCGATTCAACAGTGCTTGTACTGTCCGGTCTAACCACTCTTCGTGGACTGACATATCGTCCATATTCTTCTACTGCTGAACGATCAGGTCCATAAGGTCCTCGTGGACTCAACGGTATGGACTTATTTGGACTAAATCGGCGAGGACTTGGTCTTCTAGGTGATAGACTGCGACGCCTACCCGGGCTAATGCGTCTCCCATAGGGTGATGGTCCTCGTCTTCCTGGACTGGGAGTTTTACGATACCTTCTAGGACTTCCTCTTCCTGGACTCCGACGTGGACTTCTTGAATCATATCTTTCGCCATAGGGACTTCTCCTACGCGGACTATATCTGTAATTACTCCTGGGACTTCCATACCGTCCTGGACTACGTCTATCATATCCATCTCGTCTTGGACTTCTTCCTGCACCGCTCCGTCGTGGGCTTATCCATCTTGGACTTCCTCTTCTTGGAGAACCTTTTCCTGGACTTCTCCGTCCTGGACTTCTTCTCGGACTATATCTTCGAGGTGGACTTCTGTAACTTCGACCAGGACTTATTCTTCTAGAATCTGATCTCCTTGGACTCCTACCAGGACTATATATTCTTCTATCAGCAGAATGTAATCGTTCACCTCTTCTTTCTGAACTTTCAACTCTTGGACTATATCCCCTAGAACTTAAAGGACGTTCCTTAGATCTATCAGATATTGGTGAAACCCGTCTTCTTAAAGGACTTGGTCCTCTAAGGTCAGGAGTGTAAGCTCTTGTGTCCATCAGTCTCCTAAGGTTTGGAGAAAATGACCTCGGCCTGGGATCATGGGTTGGATCAGAACTGAGAGGAATACATCTTTTGGGACTTCGAGATGAATCCAGCTCCCGGGCTCGGCTAAAATCAACCCTATAAGGACTTCTGGACCGAGTTTCTGGATACTCTTCTATTGGACCCGGATAATTAGGACTTTGTGAGGACCTCCTACGAGATCTTGGACTGGGATGTCTATAACCAGGGTCCCTGGCAGAGTCCAGAGGACTACGAACAGAGTGAGGACTGATATGATAACCCCTTGGGCTTCTGGTTGAAGGCTGATCTGATCTTTTTCTGGGACTAACTGCCTGACTGAGACGCTTTGGACTTAAATGATCTCTTTGAATTCTATCCTGAAAACCAGACTCTTGGAAAGCTTCTGTCGGACTATACAGATAGTCTCCTGTGACAACACTCGTTCTCTCACCTGTAGGGGTTCTTCTACTCTTTTCGTTGATTTCGTCCCATCCTCTGGACCGTCCGTGTTCAGCTCTGTCCTGCTCATGATCAAACTTTGTCCTATCCTCAGAATATCCGGGAGAACCGTACCATCTATCGTTCTTAGCAGCACCACCCTTCTCTGAGTAAGGGCTATATGTTCGTCTAGGACTACTATCATTTCCATCATGTCTGCTGGCAGAGTGTAGAGGACTCCTCTGATCTCTCATGATTGGAACCTTGGTCGGAGACCTACTATCCCTCATCTTAGGATACTTTAACCCAGGACTAGGAGTTCTAGGTCCACGCTCCCTACTCCTGTTTAATTCATCTTTGACCGGGGTTTCTCTATCGTCCTGGTGTAGGGGAGAGCAGGTATCGTCTAGAGTGGATCTGGAAACATCTCGAGCAGGATCAAAATTGGAATCACTGTTGGGTGAGACACTAAGTTTGTCTTTGAGAGTCCTAGACGGAGATTTATCGACTGGGAAGGAAAGCTCCGAGAGGATGCTAGAATTCACACTATTCCGTTCTTTCAGCGGAGAAGCTTTTGCTACTTCTCGAGTCTCTTCCTTTACCGGAGTAATAGTAGGTTTGCTTTGTAGAGGATTAGAATAACCAGCTAGTTCAAATAATTTACTTATTCCAGCCTTTGACAAGGGAGGAGCAACGTCGTTGCTAATCTGAACTTTCTCCTTCTCCACCTTATCCTTCTTTTCAATTTTCTCAACAAGACTTTTCTCATCTTCAATCAATTGATTCTGTTCAACTTTGTTATTCTCAGACTCTTCTTTTTTCTTCCTATTACCTTTCTTGGTAGTTTTAGCTAGTTTACCAGCTTTTGCTTTCTTTCCAAGTTTCTTAGGTTCTGAAGTATTGGAAACATCTAATTCTTCAGAATCTTGGTCTTCAACCTCAGCTTCGTCAGATTTATTAATAGATGCATCCAATCCGTTTTCTTTTTTCATCTTTCCCAACTTTTTCTTGTTCTTCTTTAGCTTTTTATTCCTTTCTTTCAAGATTTCAAGCAATTGTTTAACTTTTTCCACTTTTTCAAGTTTCTTTATTGCTTTAGCTTTCTTCTTTTCCTTCTTTTCTTTCTTTTCTTTCTTTTCCTTCTTTTTCTTGGGTTTTTCTGAATCCTCTTCTTCTTGTGATTTAGAACGTTTAGCCTTGACCTCATGTTCAAGTTCACTCAGAGCCGAGTCTACACTTGCTCGCAGTAGACGTTCTCTCTCCGGGTCTCTATTATAACTAGGATTCCAACTCCATTTAATTGAATGGTCGGAGCTCGACGTCTCCTGAATAAGATGAGAAGGAAAGACAAGCATAAACCCTGGCTCTCTACTTGAATCTAGGTTTCTGTCTACATTTTTCACTTCAAAGTAATCTGCGTCAGATGCAGGTTTAACCGCGAAATTTATCTCTTGGGAATCAAAGGAAGTATCTAAAATAAATGAATTTAAAATTTATATAAAATTTGTTAAGCAAAGATTCAACTCACCCTGGGTAGAATTTAATTCAATGGTTTTGTTTAGATCAGTAGTGGAAGTTTGGTTGTTCTCTTTTTTCTTCTTCTTATTTGGACTTTTAATCTCATTTTTCCCGTCCTTCTCCAGCATAGACGTTGGTTTAGGTTTGACCGGAGATTCTTGATCACTGCTCCGCCCCCTTTTCAAACCTTTCTTTTTAGGAGATTTATTTTTTTCTTTCTCCAGTCCGTTCTCTTCTAACTTCTCAGCCTGGTTCTCTTCAGGAAAGAGATTTTTCTTGAGAGATTCGTCCGAATCAACCTTGAGGTCAATTTTTTCCTCATTTTTAGTCCTTGGTTTCTCCGCACTACTCAAAGCATCCTTTTCATTTGTTCGTTCTCTCTTTTCCAGAGAACGTTTTCTTTCCTTAGATTTATCTCCGCTCCGGCCCCTTAATCCGTCGGATCCTCTCTTTCCAGAATTCCCTCTAGTCTTTAAATCATCTTCTCTTCTATCCTGCTTTCTACCAGACGACCGGATCCTGTCCTTACTCTCTCCTCTCCGTCTCCTCTGATCGCCCCTATCTCTGGAGTATCTCCGTAAATCTCTATCTCCTGATCCGTCCCTATCCCTTTGACTACTTCTGTCTGATCCTAAAAAAAGAAGAATGAAAAATTTAATTTAAAAAATTAAGAATTGAAAGTTAAATAAATACTTTTCTCTGCTGGAGTTTTCTTCCTTTTCAATCTCTCCAGAACCTCTCGAAGATCTTCATCGTCCTTTTTCCGTTCTTTTTCCCTCTTTTTGGGTGTTTCGTCCATCTTACGTTTTTCTTCGTCTCTTTCTCGCCTTTTTTCTTCTCTTCTTTTATCTTCTTCTTTTTTCTTCTCTTCCTCTTTTCTCTTCTCTTCTTCTCTTTTTTTTTCTTCTTCTTTTTTCCTCTCTTTCTCCTCTTGTCTAATAATTTCATTTTGTCTATTTGTTTCTTCTGCCTTCTTAGCCAGGATGATTTGTTTCTCTTTCAACTCCAACTCTTCCTGCATCAATCTTTCTATCCCTGTTCTATTATCTTTCACCTAAATAAATATCGGAGTTGAGTTATACAAAAAAATACCATTTCAAAAATATGTAATCCAACCTTGATTTCTACTTTTCTCTCGATCTTAGTAGGTTTCTCAGTCTGTTCTTCGTCCTCGTCTTCTGCAAATATATCCGCAACCTTCCCCTTCACCGCCTTTATCATCTAGATAATACAAGGGTTCAACATCCTTTCCTTCCATAATCATTAACATAGAAATAACATAGAAATGAAGTATGCATATCACGATTGAACCATTCCTCCGTTGTAATAGCATTCCTTGTCAACAAATAAGTCAGCAAATTTATCTACCCTATTAATTGATGAAATTTCAGGAAGTATTTAATGTTCTCAAGATCCCCCCCCCCCCAAACTTGAATTTTCTAAATATTTTAATTTGTTTCCTAAATAACTTAAAAAATATTTGAAATATTCAATGGTCAGGATTCCCAGATTTCTAACATCTTACTTTCTGGCTTTTGAAGGCATGGAGTCGTCTTTTCGCTTGATCACTTCCAAGAACCTAGATATAAAACATGGAGGAGAGTTCACCATTTATAATTCAGGGGTATAAAAATAGAAAAATCCCCCCCTCCTTCTAGTATTTTTAACGATTAAGGGGGGCAATTGGCAAATTTCCCCCCTTTTAATTACTTATCACCCAAAAATTCATCTATTTTCCCCAATTCAGCAGAGCTGAATACTTCAGAATGGTGGATATCGAGATTAATGCTTGATCCTCTCTTTTTCTTAATATCCAGACTAACCTAATCTTGTACTTGTATCTTGAAAAGTGTATAAAATTCAACCAATCAAAGTCCCGTATACGAAGCCGATAAATTCAAAATTTGCGCGCTATTAAAGAAACGGGAGGGACTTTCTAATTTTAAAAAAAACGGTTTTTTGGTTTTTCTCTACTATATCCAAGAAAGAACGGGTTAAAAAAAAGAAAATCAAAAGTGTGACCATTGGATACTCAGATTAAGTAATCGGGATTAAGGATATCTCATTCTCAAGTTTTCAGTTCAGAGGAAGAGAAACTAAATAATTTTCTATTATACAAGGAGAAAATTATATTTTATGTGGGGGTAGGGAAACAAGATGACAGACAGGGGAGGGCTTAACCTTTATTTTCTAACCTGCTTTGGAGGCCTGGAGGCTGTTGGTGGAAGAGGGATATCAACCTCGTCCTCCGATAAAGGAGATGTCGCCTGGCTTGGTGAGTACTGGAACAAAATATTCAAAATATATAACTAACAGAATTTTGATTTTAATGAGTTGAATTTTAAAATGTCAACAAAAAACTTCTAGTAAATCTATCAAGCTCATCAGAATATTTTTTTGTGACACCTTTTATTGAGTTTATCCATGAAAATATAAATATTTTTGAACTGGGAGAGGGGGGGGAGTGTCACAAAGAAAATACAATCATATTATTAAAACGAGATGGGGGGGGGGGGAGAGGGTATATACTACCTGAGAGGGTGAATATTTGTCCGACGGTGTTGGCGGCAACGGAGGTAATCCTCCATTTTTTCGACTCATTTTATGCATAGGTCATCTGAAATAAATTTTGTTTAGAAAAATAAATCATATTTTTATACATGCATTATATATTGTGTATTGTACAGAGGAATGAGAAAACTGAGGGGGGAAAATCACAATTAACGTTGACAAAACATATTTTATATGTTAATTAATTGAATAAATTCATTATAATCAGAGATTTAATGTCTTGAAAATGAAAATTTTAAATGTAATTTAACTACGTACAAGTGATCCCGCAACTTAATTTATTTTTGAAAAATTCGGAATTCTTTTCATTAATTGTTTACAAATATCTTAATAGTTTAGATATGAAATGGCCTTTTTAAATATTCGGATTCGTTTTCTCAATAACTTGTCTTTTGTAAGAATAGATAAAAATGCACATAAAAAAGAGTTGTGCTGAAAACAATATAAACATTTCCAAGATACTATTATGGATCTATTTCTTTAATCAAATATCCGTAAATTTCTTTTAATTCTGAAGATAAAGTGATATTATCTAGTCCTCTAGTCTATATATCCGGTAGTAATATGCTATATTCTATTCTCTTGCGTCCAAACATTGATTCACAACCTGAAAAGTATTTATTAACTTTTCTTATTTGCAATATTTAATTTGAGTAACCAGACAAACCTAAAAATTTTTTTGAACTTCCAACATAAGAGGGTACATTTTCTTCAAAAATATTTATGATCTTGGAAAACTTATTGATCTGATAGACTTAGAAATGAATACAACGTAATTAGAAGACGACAATTTGTCAATTATTTCTAAATTCTCAGGTTTGGACAGTGGAGACCCAGTGATGTGATTGAAAAGTTGTATAAATATTTTCCTCTAGAAGCTGGGCGTTCTCCAAAGCTGCAGCAACTCTTTCCTTGTCTGCCAACTAGAATAAAATATATTCGTTGTTTTTTTTGAAAATTCTATAAAAAGGGTATTTTTTATAATTTTAATGAAAACAATTCAATTATTCTTTATTATTAAAATTCTGAACAAAATGAATGTTAAGTATTTTGGAAACATTAAATTTTAAGATAGAAAAAATTTAAGACAAAAATGTTTTCCAACCCTGGCGAGATTTATTTTTCTTTGAACTTTAACCTGTTTATTGACTGCGACCTCACTGGCGTGTGTTCCAGGACGGATTTGAACATCAACCTTGAACCTGGGTGGTAGAGATCTGTACAGTTTCACACGGATCGCTAAACCTGAAAATAATTGTCTATTGTCAGGATTCTTAAATTTTTAATCGCATTTTAGATCATTAATAACCGTCGGTGGTTGGACAAAAAAAAATAAAGTTCATGTTGAATTTAGAAAAAATGAAACTGTAAAAATTCAAAAATTTGCAAAGAAATATCTTCTTGGAGAAAATAAAAAGTTTATAATCACTCCTGTTGTGCATCAGTTAATCCCCCTAGTGTTTAAACCATTTAAACACTATTACATCAAAACTTTCCTATGTTAATCAATGTATTTTTATTGAAAGAACACGTACAAAACAGTCTTTTCTCAAATTGTTTGATAATTTGATTTGATACCTTTTCTGTGATAAACTCCTTCAATAGTATATTTTAGAACAAAACGCGCATCTACTTATGTAATTATTTTTTACCATTCTTTTTATATTCCAACATTGCGTTTGAATGGTTGAAATTTCATGGGGGGGGGGGGATTAACTGACGCAGAACCCCGGCTCCTCCCCCCCCCCTTATAACTAGTTTTTGACTTTACCTATTAAAGTTGCCATACTACAATGTGGAATAGTTGGAGTAAACATTACATGAACACTGTTATTTACATCACTCACATCAATCTAAATTAAAATTTCATAATTTTCATTTAATTTTATATTTTAATATTCTATATTTAAGCCCTGTTTAGGAAAGAACTAGAATGAAGGATGAAGTAGGAAACCTACCGAGAACTCAAGACTGAACTGAATTCAAGCATAATCACCAGATCAACCATATGAAGATATGAAGTACTTTTATTAACTTTCATAATATTTAGCCTATATTCAACCCTGCTTTTAAATGCATATTTACTCTGTTTATTCTATAACTTACAATCTTATATGTGAATTGAAGCAAAAAGAAAAGATTTTAAACTTATATATATATAAAAGGAAGCACCTGCAATACCATCAATCTTAAAAATGTAACCATGTATGTAGACCTATTTACTCCCAAAACATTCATTAAAATATTTAATTAGAGGCCTTTTTCAGACCAAACAATATGGTCTTTCTTGGATGCAAATCTGAATAATTTCTCCACGATATAAAACAAAAGGTTTGAGAAATATTATATTACTGTACATTCTTTAAACTTAAAGTACTGTATTTCTTGTACATGGGAACAGTGTACACGTTGCTGTACCCTGACCTTATCCCTCCCCGGTGCATCGGCAATATATACCCCTGTTAAGGCGCTGAGGACATTATCGTTGTATCCTGACCATAGCTGACTGGATTCTGTGAGATCGGAAGACTTCACTAAAGATTGACTGGAGAACGTTGTTTCTCAGCCCTGAGCGGATTCCTAAACTATCTGGAGAACGTTGTTTCCCAGCCCTGAGCGTAGGACATTATCGTTGTATCCTGACCCCAGCTGACTGGTTTCTGTGAGATCGGAAGACTTCACTAAAGATTGACTGGAGAACGTTGTTTCTAAGCCCTGAGCGGATTCCTAAACTATCTGGAGAACGTTGTTTCCCAGCCCTGAGCGGATTCCTTAACTCTCTGGAGAACGTTGTTCCCAGCCCTGTGCGGATTCCTAAATTATCTGGAGAACGTTGTTTCCCAGACCTAAACTATTTCAGGAGTGAACCTTCGGAGATAAGGGGATCTGGTTAAATAAACATTCTCGTCAATAAATATACCTACGTGGACGGTGCTCCACCCACTCAGTCGATGCACCATATGTAAGCACTCATTTAATATATTCGTGTGATTGATTGATTGTAAAATAATGATTAGTTGATGGTATTGCTTTAAAACTTTTAAATTAAATGGAGCTGATTAATATTGTGATTTATTTTTTCAGTTTCCACCGCAAGACGTGCTTTCCCCGTTCCTAGAGTATAAATGAGCTGTGGATATTTACAGAAACAAGCGCGTGAGAAATGGGTATGATGACTGGAGCCTGCGTCCGGCATTTGGCGTGAAGACTTAATTGAAAATTAGGTGAGAAATGCACAATAAGAACTATGAAAAAAAGTGTGGTTTGCGGCGCCGGGTGCAAAATTTTACTTTTTTGGTGCAACTCTCCAGTATGATGTTTTTTCATTATTTTTGGAAAATTTGTAATTTTTTTTTGGTACTTAAATGGCCCAAAAGAAAATCCACGAACCTTTTTTTCTCTCAAAATTAAAAGTTCAGAAAAGAAAATGTGTATATAAATTATTTCTATCAAAATCTAAAATTTCAAAAAGATTGAATTACAGAATCACAGAAGATTCGCAAAATTGTAATAAGAAAATTTGCAATTTTTAGTTCTGGTCTAATTTTTTAGGAAAAGTTATTTAAATTCTCTAGTTCCTTCTTCTTAGTATATTCTAAAGTGTTAATTATACGCTGTTGAGTTGAAACCTTAGGAACCATTGAAAAACGAAATTTCCGTAAAAAATATACCAGAACTGAAAATTGCGAATTTTCTAATTACAACTTTGCAAATTTTCTGAGATTCAATCTTTTTAATATTTTAGATTTCGACAGAAACAATTTACTTACACATCTTTGTTTTTCTGAACTTTTGATTTTGAGAGAAAAAAAAGGTTCGCGGATTATCTTTCGAGCCATTGAAGCACCACAAAAAAATACAAATTTTCAAAATATATTGAAAGAACAAACACCATTTCAACATTTGTTGAAATTTTTAAAATAAATTTTAATCTCATTTCAAATTTTTTTCCTCCAATTTTTTCACTTTCTCTCTTACATTTTACGGTCTTTTTCCATTAATTTACGTTTTTTCGACGCTTTCTCTTTCCTTTCAATCCTATACTTTTTTCTTTAATTAGAACCTCTTCTGGTTTGAATCTTTCTTTCTTTTGTCAAGGCTCCCTAATTCTCTTTCTTCTACAGTTTAACCAAATGGGTTTTATAGTGACATACTAACCTAAATCTCAGTAATTGTAAAAATCAATAACAAGACACTATATGTGCGGGAACAGTTTAAAAAGCTATTCAATTAAAAAAATAAATTTCTAGCAATCCTTGTCAGCAAGTGAATACGACATTTCATAAATTCTTTCGATTTCTCCGAAGTTCTGGGTTGAACTGTATCATACCCACTAATATCTCCTCCCTTAATCTATTCTTTAGCTGTTTTCTAATTCCAATTTTCTCATCATTAAATCATTTAATTTCTTTATTTCTAAAATCCTAAATTTTCCTCTCGACCAAAAAAATAATTGTCCACATAAAAATCTTTAACACGAAACCTCCGCAGGGGCGGATACAAGGGGGGGGGCTGGGGGACATTCGCCCCCCCCCCCTGAGATTTTGAGGCAAAAAATGTTCCAAATTTGATAAATTTTATTGTTAACGATAAATTTAGAATTAGAAATTTGTAAGAAACTAGACTTAAGTTATAATATTGTTCATAACTAGTAATGTTCCTTAATCAATACTCATTTATCAAAATTGTATTATTGTTCCTAATTTTCATGCACTTAAGTATAACTAGTAATTTCTTTTTGTTCTTAAATTGCTAATGTTCCTATTATTGTTCCTGTTCCTGTGTCCAACCCACCTTAAATCCCTGTCCTAATCCTATATTTTTGTTCCTAATTCCTGAACAATCTGTTTATTGTTCCTAAATCCCTGTCCTAATCCTATATTTTTGTTCCTAATTCCTGAACAATCTGTTTATTGTTCCTAAATCCCTGTCCTAATCCTTTTTATTGTTCCTACTTTCTGAACAATCTTTTAATTGTTCCTAAATTCCTGTTCTAATCCTTTAATTTTGTTCCTAAAACTTAAAAATCTAGTTTTTTAGTCTCTAGTCATTAATTTTGACTCTTTTTGAGTTTTTAAGTCAAAAAAAAAATGTTCGCCTGCGGCACGATTTTTTGTTCCTAATTATTCATTTTTTTGTTCCTAAAAAATCTTGCCCTCCCCCTCACTTAAATCCTGTATCCGCCCCTGAACCTCCGTGCACGTATTCCTTTACCTGTTCCTCAGTAACAACATTAAGCTGCTCCAGCGTCAAAGGATGTTCTGGATCGTTAATATCTCTGATAAGATCGAATATCTCTCTTGTATCGAACGGATCAATCACGGAATCGTCCAGATCTGTATCTGTTAATCCGCGCTGTTCCGACACCTCATAGGTTCGAGGATTTACATTATCCAAATTATCGGAATTCATTTTTCTGTAAAAATTATAAATCGTGTGAAAAAAATAGGTATTTTTTAATCAGTAGTGAATATTTACATCTATATAGCGACAGAGATTTTAATAACGCAGAAAAATCTGATTATTCAATATTATGGCAAGTTACAATAAATGTAGCAACAAAAGACACGGGTTATTAAGAGGTAGAGTTAATTTTTCTTTACGATTTGTGTTAAACATAAAAAAATATAAACTTTGTTAAATAAATACTCTTCTAAAACTTGTAAACAAATATCTGCAATTGCTTGGCAAATAAATGGTGCAAGAAAGGTATTATGCAGAATTACTTTGTGCGTATTTTCTGTGGAAGAAATGCAACAAGTTAAAAATAAATGCATACGAGTCTAAGTATCAACATTGAATTAATTAAAGGGGTAGATAGAGATGTCCTATTTGATGTAAGGGGGGGGGGGGTTCCTGCCTTCATTTTTGGTTCAAATCTTCAATTTCTTGGCTGCAGGACTAATTTGTGATCGAATTTCCTAAAATCAAATCAAATTGAATTTTAATGACCTCGTATGAAAAATAATGAACTCAACAAACAGAAAATTTTCAACAATGGCTTTATGCTTTTCAAACGAAAGCTAGGAACCCAGGGAATACAGTAGCCGCAACGAGTCAAGTGTTTGACCATCTAATGACCTTTAACGACCTCTAAAGAACTGAAATGACCTCCATAAAGAAAATGTTTTAACTATGGCTTTATACAATCAAACTGAAGCTAGGAACCAAGGGAATACAGTGGCAGCAACCAATCCAGTGTTTGACCTTATAATGACCCCTAACGACCTTTCATGATCCCAAATTGAAAAAACTTTAACCAATAACCATGGTATGTATATCAAACGGAAACTAGAACCCAAGGGAATACAGTGGCAGCAACCAATCCTGTGTTTGACCTTATAATGACCCCTAACGACCTTTCATGATCCCAAATTGAAAAAACTTTAACCAATAATCATGGTATGTATATCAAACGGAAACTAGAACCCAAGGGAATACAGTGGCAGCAACCAATCCAGTGTTTGACCTTATAATGACCCCTAACGACCTTTAATGATCGTAAGGGGTCCTCCACCAAGCAAATCCTCTCACTGTTTGACAGTGAGTGGACTCCCAACCTTGCTGTGAATACATTAAATCTCCTAGAAGTAAAATATTTTAAAAATATAAAATGAATCTCAAGGGGGGGGGGAAGTATTTCTTAACCCTATTCATTTAACAACGCCCACCTTCTTCTTTCCTTGATGCTACTATATGTCAACATCAAATAGGACATCTCCACCTTCCCGTTTAAGGTATAATTTCTTGAATGTACAAGAGTATAATTTTACAATGATTGAATGTTTAATTATAAAATACTTATTTTTCTATTTATACAACAGTAAATACTTTATACAGCGGGAAAATATGTAAATTACAAACGCAACAGGTTTAAATAACAAACATCATCCATGATGCATAAAGAGAGTTAAAATCGAACATTTTTGTTCCTAAAAATTCATTTTTTTCCCTAAAATTTTTTATTTATTTATTTTACTCAAATATTTATTTATTTATTTTCCCCTAATTTTACGAAAAAACCTTCTTCACTCCTCGCAAACACACATTATTTCTGAGAGGTAAAAATTATTTTAAAAGGGAAGGGGAAAATGACTTTTCAAAAAAATATACACCATTGAGTTTGCCCCTTGTGTTCCAGATCATATTGGATCATTTCCAAACTTCAGCGCCAAAACATGCATAGAATACAATTACAATACTGTACTATTCACATAAAATCCTATTTAACTCTTTAAAATGTTCACAAGGATTTAACAATTAAATCTTTCTGAAGTTTCTCCAAATTTCAAATTTACATCTGTAAAATTTGTAGAATCCAATAATACTATGAGAGAAAGCCTGTAGGGCGATCAGGCAAAATAAATTTAGACGGTTAAAAGTAGGCTGGATTTCTGTTTTATTTGATTTGATAGAACTATAGCAAAACTTCTTTTAAAAAAATGTTATCCTGGTTCCCGCTGTATATAATGAATAATGATATACTAACATATTAAGAATTCATATAACACAATGTATAATTAGAATCAGCTTCTTCTTCTAACTCAATTCATCCTTGTTTGCCATCCAACCTTCAACCAGTTATCTTTCACTACTGACTCACAATGTTTCGAAATTGTAAACTTAACTGAAGCTTTAAGTTTTTAATGTTTCCAAAACTGCTGATGGCGTTGAAAATGTGATGCTGTAGATGCTGACAATGCTGTAGAATTCTGATTTAGATTCATTTGATGCAGTTCATACTGTTGGTTCTGTTTTCAAACAAATGCTGCTGATAATCTGGATACTGTTGTTGTTGTTGAGGAAGTTGTCAATACTGTTCTTCATTTTAATGCTTTATTTCTGACTTAATTTGTGTATCCACTTGAGGCTGAAAGGTAAAGATGCAGTCAACGCAGTTGATTCTGTTACATATTAAGGTTGTTGATGAGTAGATGCAGTCGGCAAAGTTGATACAGTTCAGGTTGTTGAGGATAAAATAACATTGACGCGGTTGATTCTGTTAAGGTTGTTGATAAGTATATGCAGTGAATGCATGGAAGTGATTCTGTTCAGGTTGATAACATTGACGCGGTTGATTCTGTTAAGGTTGTTGATGAGTAGATGCAGTCGGCGAAGTTGATTCCGTTCAGGTTGTTGAGGATAAGATAACATTGACGTGGTTGATTCTGTTAAGGTTGTTGATAAGTAGATGCAGAGGATGCCTGTAAGTTGATGTACTTGATATTGATGATTCTGATACATTTTGCGGGATTTAAATGGGAAATAAAAAATACCGTATTGAAAACGATAATTAAGATGGAGATTCTAAAAGTAAAGCCCGAACTTTTCTGATTGGTTGAACAAAAAATATATTGGCAAATTTTAAAAATTCTAAACTTACACAACTTTAGAAATTTTCATTTAATTATAGAAACAGATCGTGCAAAATTTGTGATCTACAGCTTCAACAGTAGAAACCAATCAGATTTAACTAAGCCCGAGTCATACTTAAGCTTGAAACTAGGGCTTCACTAAGGAATAAAGGCTAAAGTAAGGTTTAAAATTTCAGCTCATGGACAAAAGAAAACACTTGATGAAATGGATGTAAAATTGAAGAAATTAAGACAAAAAGGAAACATGTAAAAAGAATAAACAACTAACGAGAAGAAAAAATTTAGTGTGAGAAACAAAACGAGGCAAAAGGAGGATGAAATGACAAGGAGAAATTATAACAGTTATAAAACGAAAACCTTTCAGATTTAACTCCAGTGCCTAGGTGTAGACAATTCTTCTCTCATGTTCCTAGTTAAAACTAATTTGTTCCGAAAAACTACAATAATTAATAATTCAAAAATTTTAATTAAAAAATAAAGTGAAAACCATCCAATTTTCGTTTTTATGTCCAAAGTGGATGTATTATAAAAATTAATTGTGTTTAAAAAATAATTCAAAATCCATTAAATCAATGCAGAAATGGTGTTTTACCGCACGATATTTATAACACAGTTTGTATTAATGTACAACTATTGAGAACATGTAAAACTAAGGATTGTTTACTGGACTCTAAAAATATTAAGATTCATAAAAAAAATGATATTTCAAAATTTATATTTTATGTTTGTAGAAGTTCAAGATTACCTTGACAGTTGCAGTGGCTATCTTTGTCCCCTTGCATATCGTTGTGCTGGCGGAGCACGAGAATATTTTTATATTTACGTAGAAGATTTTCCGCTCCTTGTGAACATTGTAAAACCCTTCCTCGATATGTAACCAGTTTTTCAGTTCGGACTTCTCAATACAAACCTTAACATTCAAAACTTAAAAAAAGTATTTAACAAAATCAAATTTAAATTTAAATTTAGCATCTTGAAATGGTCTTTAAAAGAATCGTCTTGATTACCGCTGAATATCACAAATTTTTCCATTAATCGGTTTTTTAAAAACTGTTTGATTTAGGACTAAAAAACTCGAGTTTTTCTAATAGGAGACTCTGAGAAATATATTTTATCCCAAGGAATTAACCAACAATGGTGTGATTAGATATTTAGTAATAATCCTACACGAATATTTAATGGGTACAGAAAAAAACTTTGTTAAAGAAAGATGGGGTAAGATTTTATTTCATGAATATAACCAACTAAATGTATACCTTTTTGTTTCTCATCGAGTGAAGATGTTCTGGAGATCCAATAAGTCGTCCTTTGACTATCTTTCCGCTGTCTTTAACCTCTATGTTCTCCATTAGCTTAACATCAAACCTTAAGGGTTTAGAGGGAACTTCATATTCTTCTTCAAATGATTCATCTTGATAACCTGCAGTGGTTTCAGGCATGTAAGGGGGTTCATTGTGGTAACGGTTTCCCTCAAAGGTTCCTCTGTCATGAAAATACTTACATGCATCTTGTCTGGCGCAACCTCTCCCAGTGTTAGGATCAAAATACCTGCATCGAGGCTTGTTCTGAGACTGGAAACTTTCCTCCGGATAGTTAATAGCATCAGCTTTTGAATTATACAAATTATTTATGTCAGCTTGCTCGTAGTTTTCAACATTATCAGGGTACAAACGGAACTGAACTGATCTATCTGCAGAATCTGGAGGGTGTAAATCAACATCCTCATCTTGATCTACAACTGTATACACTTCATTATTAACGATCAAAGAGGAATTTGAGCCGTGACACCTTCTCTTGATATTAACACTTTCAAGGTCCTGGTCTGCTAAAGATTTTCTCTTGATGCTAATTATTTCTGTTGAGGATTCCTCATTTGGATGGCATTGTGGACAATTTTCCCTCAAAGATCTTATCTGAGCTTTAAATTGATTATTAGAGCAGATGAATTTTCCATTTCTATTCTTTTTTATGTCCAAATGCCTAGGAATATCATGATAATACCGACAAACCTTTCTACGGCATTTTCTGTAGGATAGAGCTGAACTGCAAATTCCTGGTGCCATAAGTATCTCTTTAATTAATAGGAGACAACCCTCAGTTTTAAAAATCTTAGATTTTTCTTCTTTCACAGATTTAAAGACTTCCGCTGTTGGATCTGGTTTAATTTGAGAACTTGAGCTCACTGGGGAAGTACTCTTTTCTTCACGCAAGGCCAAAACTATCAAATCATTGAGTTCTCGTAATATTTCATATTCCTCTTTATTTTTAATTTCTTTCTCAGTTTCGATGAAAAGACTGAATGCGCAGAGAGAAATCTTGCAATCATCTCCAAAACACTTCTGAGCTCTTGCAATGATCATTTCATTAGCTTTAACAGCACGAAAGTTGACCTCCTTTATTTTATCTACATTCAATCCAGGCAAATCTGCCTGTTTAAACAAAACCAACTCTCCCTCTGGGGTTGATAACAGTCCAATATTCTTCTTGCTGTATTTTATTATTCCCTTTCTTATCATCTGAACCTGCCTATTCATCTGCTCAGAATTAGTTTCAGACTTGAGCTCTTGCCCAGGATTAATTTCTGATTTGAGCTCTGGATTATCAGTCACAAGGCCTAAAACCACACTAGCGGAACCTTTGGAATTGTTTCTTTTATTGTTTTTAACAATAATTTTCACCTTCGTTCCAGTTTGAACATAATGGCTTTTACTGGAAAACTTGAGACAGTCTGTTGAAATATCCAGATTGGACAGTATTCCCTCAATTTTACAGACAACAGAAAACTTTGATCCTACAGACAAAATCTGAGTATTGTAACAGTTCGGGTAGAATTCCCATTTGCTCAATCTAAAATATTTACTGCTATTTTTTGTGTCGACCAAAATCAATTCAGATACGGCAATGTCTTTATCCTTTGCCCAATCTACAGGAAGGGTTAGTTTCCCATGATCCTCATTAACCACTTGAAAAGTTAAAGATCCAACATGCATCACCTTAAAAATGTGAAATGTTTCAAAGTTTGCATCCGGACTGATTGAACTTTGACATGTACTGGTTGAATGTCCATCCTTGTGGCACAAAATACAAAATTCTGGACAGTTTCTAACTCTATGCCCAAGCTTAGCACACTTGGTGCATTTTACACAATCTTTAGTTTTATGATCTTCAACTTGGCATATGAAACAAAAATTTTCTTTAACATAAACCTCCTCAGCCTCTTTTGCTTCTTTCTTCTTAATCCATTTCTCATTAGCCTCTTTCTCCTTGGCCTCTTTGTCCTTGGCCTCTTTCTCCCTGGCCTCTTTCTCCCTGGCCTCTTTCTCTCTGGCCTCTTTCTCCCTGGCCTCTTTCTCCTTGGCCTCTTTCTCCTTGGCCTCTTTGTCCTTGGCCTCTTTCTCCCTGGCCTCTTTCTCCCTGGCCTCTTTCTCCCTGGCCTCTTTCTCCCTGGCCTCTTTCTCCCTGGCCTCTTTCTCTCTGGCCTCTTTCTCCCTGGCCTCTTTCTCCTTGGCCTCTTTCTCCCTGGCTTCTTTCTCCTTGGCCTCTTTCTCCCTGGCCTCTTTCTCCTTGGCCTCTTTCTCCCTGGCCTCTTTTTGGCCTTATTCTCCCTGGCCTCATTCTCCCTGGCCTCATTCTCCCTGGCCTCATTCTCCCTGGCCTCTTCCGCCCTGGCATCTTTCAAATTCTTTGCTTTTTTCAGTTTGATATGATGAACCAAGATGTCACAAAACTTGGAATCAGGGATCATTTCAGAGAACAGGTCAAAAGTTTTAGAATCAAAATGTTTTGCTATAGTTTCAGCATTGAGGGGTTCCTTATCAGAGATTTCTTGAATAATGTGATCAAAGCTTGTGAATATTTCACTTAAGGGCATCACAAGAAGAATAAGTTTACTAAGTTCATTATCAGACAAATCTAAACTTTTATAGCTCTTGTAAACATTGCAAGCCGAGAAAAACCCTTCATATTCAGGATATTTCGTCAGTACCAAAAGCTTCAAGCCATTGCAATGAACTTTTTCAGTTCCATTCTCATTTTCATTTTTCTTGCTTAAATCTGTCTTCTTTTCTACAGGCCTGGTGTGATTAGTATTAATAGGAAAGCTTGATTTGCTACTGTTCTCAGCATCAGAATCATGTCTTAACATAGTAATATTTGTAGAATCTTCCATATGAACAACATTTTGTACATTGTTTTGTACTAGAACAGCAGAGATTGTTGGTTGGGGGCCTGGCTTTAACTCAGTGATATTGGTAGAATCTTCTATCTGAACAACATTTTGTTCAGTGTTCTGAACGGGAACAGCAGAAATTGTTGGTTGGGGGCCTGGCTTTATCTTGGTTTCCGAAACAGTTTTCTCATGTTCATGTTTTACCTCCTTCACTTTCAGAAATCTAGGAGATGCAACAGATGCTGGAGAACTTCCAGAATCTTCAATATCACAGTAAACAACCCCAAGTTCTGTGTGCTTAAAAATTGTCTGAGATTTCATTGTGAGGTTTTTTACCAATAGATGAAGCCGTCCATAGCAAATCTCCAGGCTGCATGAGTCTTTTGTTAAGAAGAATTTCAGACCCTGCAAGTCCTTCATCTGAAAGGAGACAGAGATTTTCGGAACTAGTTTGAGCTCCTTGATAAAAGCGTAGATCTCTTGATCAGATTTGGGTTCTAGATTTATCAAAGAAAAATTCAAAATATTATACTTAGTTGATTTAGGTACTTCACACTCAGTTTCCAGTTCACTGCTGTCGATAATTCTAGGAATAAGGGATTGCATTGGTTTATTGAAACACTGTGTGGTATCAAGAGAAGAACCTACTTCAGAGTAATCATAATCTAAATATGTAGGAATACATAGTGGAGTCAGGGCTTCATAAACCCTCAAGATCTTTTCATCCTTTTTCAGAAATATACTTGTTTTGGTCTCATTTCTCAACTCGATAGATATTTCTTTCCCAATGAGTGAAACATTCTTGACACTGCAAGCTTTAATCAAGGATTCGGATACTCTTAGATCCCTTGAATTAGGTAAAGTGCTAGTGAGTTTGACTGAGGTATTAACGCCTGGATGAATATACAGATTGTGCTGGAGTTTACAAAAACTATATTTCACCCCAGACAGAAACAGTTTGCTGGATGTGTTGGAGAAACCTTTAATTTTGTCACACTCCCTGCCATTCACCAGTTTATTCACACATGTTTGGAGAGTTAATGCTGCTTGAAGCGCAGAATCCTTCGCAGGCTCAACTTTCAAGAAATGACAAATATCAACAAACCTTGGAATATCTAGGATATTTTCCTCGGGATAAGTTTTCTGCAAAATGTTAAACAGATCAGAGTAGTTTCTGAAAATGTTGAAAAACTCGACCGATTTGCTATGCTTCTTTAGAGCTTGCAATAGAACAGTCAACGTTACAGAGCTAGAAAATGTAACCAGCGTGGTTTTAAAACTAGATTGCTCAGTAGACTCTTTGCAGAATTGTAGAAACTGTTCAATAACCTCTAGCTCAATTAGAGCAGGAACAAGGTTTCCTGTTACAGAATCCTTAAAACTCAACCCTGATTCTGTCGGGATCAGTTTCAGAAGAGATATTTGTTTTTTCGTGATTTCATCCCTGAACGGATTGCATGCAGAGAAAAAAGTTTTTCTGGTATTGTTAGGTAGAACAATAATACAACCTATCTGAGAAATAACATCTCTTGACTCATGTTTAACAAACTCCAGAGATAGATAACAAATATTTTGAAGAGAGGTGCAGAGATCAATGCTTCCACCAGGTACTAAGGTAGGGGCTCGGATTGATTTTTTAATAATCTCGTCAAACTTATATTTCTTAACAAAATTCTCCGCAACATAATGTGAAAATTTTGAACGATTTTGTGCTCCGTCTAGAGGAATCTTGATATCAGAGGTGTTCTCTAATTCTTCTAGAGAAATAATTCTAGCATCATTCTTGAGATAATCATGGTTCTTGCTAAATCCAACCCAATTGAAAAACACCGAGGCCTGGTGCCAAGATTCGAAAACAAAAATACAATGGTCGAAAAGGCCTTTTTCTTTCAAATTCTTAATTAACAATTTGTTTACTGTCTCCAAGTAGGTTTCCAGCACTGCATTGCATATCTTTTCATTGTTATATTTATTAAGATCACTATCCAGCTGAAGGAGTAAAGATTTCTTTTTCTGATCCTTTAGTATAGATAAGGGTGGCACGGGAAGATGAAAGTTCACCCCTCGGGAGTAAAATGAGATTGAAATCGGAGATTCTCCCAATCCTTCAGTTACTGAGCTGGCAGATATGATATCCAACCCTACACCAACCAGAAGATATTGCTTTCTATCAATAGATTGGTAGAGAAGAACTGAATCGTTTATAACGGCTTGTTCTTGTTTTATGCTTGTTGATTTCAATACAGCAGTGGCCACCTTCAATTCAGAGATTTTTTCCATAACTGCCATTGATTCAACTTCATGAGTGTTTTCTATGACAATTTTTTCTTCATTTGTAACCTTATATGGTGTGCAGAATTTACTCAAATTTTCAACTAAACTTGTCTTTGCTTTCTTATCTCTAGCAAACCTAGAGGTCATGGTAATTTCTACGAGACGAAAAATACCACTTTCTTCTAAATTAGAAATTTCATTTTCTATTGGAATCATGGTAAGGTTTGGTCTCACAAGATGGATATTGTTTGTTACAGCTACTCCTACTTCTGTTGATCCTGTTGATTCAGATTCAGAACTCTTGATATTTGTTAGGTCATTTCCCCAGCGCAACTTCCCCAAAACAATTTCCACAACAGCAATTTCCCCATGCAGAAAAATTCTTAATTTTCCCAACATCAATTTTCCCCATGCAGTAAAACTATAAAATGAAATATCTATTTGAATATATTAACTTTTAGCAAACTAAAAAATCGTAGATCTATAACCGAATTCTCAAAATCTGGCCAAACATTATCTCTCACATTATTTGGGGATAGGTTAGGTTTAGACAATTTCTGGGCCGAGCGCTGCAGCTAAATAGGGCTAGGGGGCGAGCACGGTGACCTCTAAAATGTTGGATCACATGCTCTCTCACATTTTTTTGGGTTAGGTTAGATCAAGAAAATTTCTGGGCCGAGCGCTGCGGCCAGGATGGGCTAGGGGGCCGAGCGCTTTAGTCGAATAAATGATGAATAATATGCTGTCTCGCACATTATTTTGGGTTGGTAGGGTTCAGATTTCTTCTGGTCCGAGTGCTGCGGCTAGAACAAGCTATTATAGTTGCACAATTTTAATAAAATCGCTGAAAAAGAGATTAAGTGTGAAATAATCAGCTAAACTCAACATTCAACATTTAAGAGGCCGCAGCACTCGGCACCCTAGCCCATCCTTGCCGCAGCTTTTGGCAAGGATGGGCTAACCTAATTAATTATTTGAAAATTGCGCATTTATTCATTAAAATCATGTTAAAACGCAAATATTCAATATTTTAATGCATGGCGAAATTGTTGAGGGGGGGGGGGGAATTGCTGTTTTTACTGCATGGGGAAATTGTTGTTTGGGAAATTGGCTGTCGGGGAAATTGCTGTTGGGGAAGATGTCTAGGGGAAGTTGTGATTAGGGAGGTTACGATGGGGAAATAACCTAACACCTTTAAGGGCTTAGAAAGAAATTCCGTTGCTGCCTTTTCAAAATCCGGAGCTTGAACAAGCATATTTTTCTTTGATTTTTCATCCTTGGATATAGATCTGAGATTTCTAGATCTATTTCGTGATCTTGAGCGTGATCTTCTCCGACTTGTACTCTGGGCTGAGCTTCCATCTCTAGATCTTCTAGAACTAGAGTGTTGTCTAGAGGTTTGTCTGTTCAAAGAACGATTTTTGTCCCGAGATGGGCGTTCCTTTTCTTTGGAAGAGTTTCCAGATTGAACCTGTCGCGAACGCTTCTTTTCCGGACTATTATCTCTTTTTGACCCTGATTTAGACCTTGATCTGGATCTTTTCTGTTTCTCCTGAGACTTTCTTTCTTTCCCTGACCGAGTACGTCTGTCTATGCTCTCTCTACCCTGTCGATCATAAGTAGATCTCGGTCGTTTTTTCTCCGATCTATTGGTTTTATCTGGACCATAACTAGATCTAGTTTTATGCCGCTCATCATCTTTGAATGAGTCATTACTTCCTGCGTTCTTGTTTGATCTTGATTTGTTTCTCCCAGAATGAATTTCCTTATCGCAAAAATCATTTTCAATCCTGACTTGGATTGTTGGGACAACATTAACCCTTGGCTCTTCATTGTCAGTCCAAGCACTGTCTTGCTCAAAGCTCTCTCCAGGCTCAATTACATCTGGATTGTTCTCACACCACTTGTTTTTACCAATCAGACTTATATTAGCAATATCAGATATTCTGATTTGTCCTGGTTTTCTGGGACACACAACCATAGCATGTCCCTGCTCTCCACAGATAAAACATTTTAAATCTGGACACTCCCCGGACCTGTGCTGATCTGTTTGACAGAGTTGACAATCGTCCTCCCCCTCCTCTTCTGCAATCTCATTAAACCCCTCGGTTTCGGACTCCGTGGCCTCTCCCTCCTCCTTCTCTTCCGATTTATCATTTTCAGACAAACTTGATTGGATTGTATTATTGGATTCAGCCTCATTGTTTGATACTACTAGATCGGGATTAATGGATTGTTCTGTAGTTGATGTGGATTGATGACCTCCTCCAGCATTATACATAACCTCATTCATGGTTAGTTCGAAGTCCCGCCATTCCAGTTCTCCTCCGAACGACATTGGAACATTGGATGATTCTCGTTGCGAACGCCCACTAGCGCTGACAAAGCTGTCAGCAAGTCCCCGACATCACTAAATTAATATATTTTTTTTCCAATTAAAAAAAAACTGGATTCACATTGTTTTTGCAAACACTTAAAAAAAAGGTTTGCAGGGTTCATATTTTAGATTTTAAAAATATCAAAATGTAGTTAACTAATTTTTTTAAAATTTGGAATAAAAAAAATTTTGTGTTGGTAAAATTTGATTTTTTCTTCAGAAAAAAAAACCTTAGCAAATCTTACAAAGGTGGCAAAATCCAATTTATATTACAAGGCTTTCAGACCGCTTCGCCCCAATCACTTATTTTAATTGTATACATTGTGAAACAATAAAAAACAATCGCGGATTTTATCAAAAAAAAATTGTGGATTTTCAAAATTTAATGCCAATAAAATTTTGTTGGAGGCAAACTTTTGATAACTCTTAACCCTTCCCTGGGGGCATGTGAATGCCCGTAAAAAATTCGGGCCCGATCGTTTCAGCCGTTTCCACGTTTATTGGATACAAGCGGACAGACAAACAAATCATATATCAAAAGTGGCCGGGGGGTGTTATAGGCTAAAAAAATTTAATTTTTTTCGAAATTTTTTTTCTTCTTTTTTTCTTCTTTTTTTCTTTTAAATTTATTTTTACCGCGGGCAACGCCAGGCCCTTCAGCTAGTATGGAATAGAAGGAGGATTTTTATAAAGTACATACATCTCTTTATTTCATTACGTAAGATTTGGTGCGGATTTTAGCATTTAAATAACTAAATTTCACTATCTTTCAGGCAACTAAAAGGTTACCCTCAAAGGATGCGACTTCAGAGACGAATGTACGGAATTCACTTATTTCCTACAATTAAGGTTCCCCGCATTATTACTCTTCATTATTTCTGTCCAATATCATATAGAAGACCATTTCCAAATCATAAGACAAAATTTGGCATCTCATGCTTTGTGGGTAACCCTACACATGAACCCTGCAACAAAATTGTGTTGTTTTAACAAAGCTAATCCGGGTTTTTTGTTTCTTACCCCCGAAAAAAAATACCTGTCAAATTTTAAACTGTCAAATTTTATAAACTTAAAAGCTTGCACTTATTTTTAACTTATGAGCCTCAAATGAAAACTTCATTTTTTTCATCTTTAATAACTTAGCTAAAACCTATAATCAAGTCTTTATTTATTATTTATAAATTAAATATATTAATACTAAAATATTGCATTCTTTTTTAAAAAATTCTCTTAAAAATATCTGTCAAGTTCCCCCACCCCCCTCATTGAGGGAAAGGGGGGGGGGCTTTGACAGGCATTTTTAAATTGAATAAACGTTAACAAGTAGGTTTCCTGAAGATTTTAAAAAAATTCTAATAACTTGATTTATTTTTATTGGTTTATCCTGTCATAAAACAATTCAAATTTTAAAGTTAAATTTCTAAATTTGTAAATTTAATTTCCAAAATTTATCAATGACTAGAATTTTTTAACTAAATCTAGAGTGTATTTTAAAGAAATTGCAGTGAGGGGGGGGGGTTTCAGAAACCCCGGACAATATCTACGAAGTTTTCCCCCTTTTCGATACTTTTTATCAGTGCTTAGGATCCGGAACCGTTGGATCCGCAAGATATTGGCTTCCTGGATCCGCATCCAAGGTGTACAAAATATTAACCAAAAATTGCAAAAAAACTTTTTTACTCCTAAAACCCAAATCTGAACTTTTGAAAAAAAGAGAGATTATAAAAATTTCCTCGTTTCTGAATGGTTTATCAAGTTTCAGGATAAAAATAAGCGAAAAAGGTAAAAAAAGATTTAAAATTATTTTTTGTTAAAAAAATTCAGTAATCTTCAAAGAAATGACTGGATCCGTGTAAGATCTACGGATCTTTTCTTAAATCTTGATGTTCAGGTTGAATCCAGAAATCGTGATCTAAAGAAGCACATGAAGATCTACTCATCTAATTCTATACTTGTTCCTCCTGTATATACATATATAAATATTTAATCGAGCTTTACCGGAGATTTTACTTGAGTTTAACTAAAGTTTTACTTTAAATGTATTATTCTGGCCTAAAGTTTTATATCCTCGAGCTTAAGCTTTTTTATAACGTCTAGATTTATACTTTAAAAAAAGAAGCCTGAAACAAAATTATATTTAATGGTCTATGTATTTCAGACCACAATGGGGCTAGATAGCTGCCCTTATATCCTGTTTAGTACTCCAGGTTGTGCAATACTAGGTTTATAAAACATCTTATTTAAATGTAAATGTAAACACTGCCTATAACTTTCGAATTTAAGCTCTTTAAAACTTATGGATGTTATATAAAGTGAATCCAGATCATTCGTGTATTTCATCACCTGTCCTGAACTATGAACTAATGTATTAACAGGTGAAAATACATTCCTAGAAAATTTAGAACTTTTGAAGTTTATGCGAAACTAACTACTCCCTTATCTCTTAGATCAAGTTCTTCTCTGATATATCCTCGCCTCCTCTCGGAGAAGTATCCTCGCCTCCTCTCGGAGAAGTATCCTCGCCTCCTCTCGGAGAAGTGTCCTCGCCTCCTCTCGGAGAAGTATCCTCGCCTCCTCTCGGAGAAGTATCCTCGCCTCCTCTTGGAGAAGTATCCTCGCCTCCTCTCGGAGAAGTCCCGTCGGAAGCAACTATGTTTCTCTAAACCGGGACTGCTGCTTTCGAGCAGATAGAGGTGAAGATTGAATATGAACAGCTCTCAAGATGAGATCTAATGTTAACCTAATCTTATTTGGATCCCATAAATATCCTCGCCTCCTCTCGGAGAAGTCCCGTCGGAAGCGTCTACCTTGCTTCTCTAAACCGGGACTGCTGCTACTAAGCAGATGAAGGTGAAGATTAAATATGGAGCTGCTCTCAAGATGAGATCTAATGTCTAACTTAATCTTATTTAGATCTCATCATTGTCCTCGAGATTGAGATCTGATGTTTAACTCAACCTTATTCGGATCCAATCATCATCTTCACTACCTCCCTATTGGAGAAGTCCCGTCGGAAGCATCTCCTCTGCTTCTCTAAACCGGGACTGCTGCTATTAAGCAGATAAAAGGTATATAATCAAGTTTCGTGTGATCTTTGTGAACAATTAAAGACGAAAATGTGACTACCTCTAACACATGATAAGCATTCATATAAACTCATAATATTATTTCTAGTTATGTATAAGAGACAGCTGGTAACGATCATCCAACTCTTGAGCTATTAAATTCTCCGGCCTAATCAACCTTGTAAGTGTTACCTTAATTCATATAAATTTGTCGCAATTTATTCACATTTAGCACATTGTAAGTGTTATCTCAATACCTAATTGTTGTTACAACTTATTCACACTTAGCACACCTGGAGCAAATTTTAATGTAAACTTGGCTAAATTTATTCATTTAAATCATTCTAATACTAATTTATTATTTTATGCAACCCGTGACTGATGTATTGTTTTTCAGTTCTTGGGTCCTAGCTCTGTATCGCTGTACCAGAAATGAAGAATATAAGAGACTCATGTGTATTAAAGAGGTGCGCAATAGAGAATTGATGTTGCCCCATCATGTTATTAGCTGAACAATTCCTGTGGATCTAGGTATTGTTTCTAGGGAAAATGCTAAAATTCCCAAAGCGGGCACAATCCGGACCCGGACCCATTTTTTTCCAGTGCAGATCCAGGATCCGGATCCGCATCAAAGTAAATGGATCCTAAGCACTGATTTTTACCTGAATAAAAAACATTTCCTCCTAAAATTCTTTTATTTTCCCCATTCGTTCCTCATGTAAGGATGACCTAATTTCTCAAATAATTATCCAATAACTAACCTGCCGAGTTCGCAATTCAGATACTCTAGAACAGCATTTCTTAATTCATCACAGTTGAAAATATATCTGAAAATATTCAGTTTACAAGCTTTACATCAAACACGCTGGCTAAGCTATTATATGTCTGAGATCTGGGGTTTGAGTCAGTGAGAAATTGAGAATATCTCATAAAACATTTAACATGAAAAATGATAATTTAGTCGAATCCGTCGGTAAGAAAATACGAAAATAAGAAAACAAAAGCGGAAGAAAACGATAGTCAGATGAGAAATAAAAAATAAAGAAATGCTAAGGGTTTCTTCATTGAGCCGAGAGATTTCAACACAAATGATTGTATCCCAAGAAAATTGTTTTTTATTTCAAAGAAAAGAAATATAACTACTTACTAAAAGAGAAGAAGGTCTGAGCAAATCTTTTTTTTTTTAAATCTTTCAAAGATAGGTTTGAAATTGAAATGTACTAAGTTCGATATAAATAAAATGATATGTAATTGATTATATATAAGATTTGGTGACCTAAGAAAGGTCTTAAAGTATAAATTGCGCATAAATACCATATAATATTAAGACTCAAATTAAAAGTGTCTAAAGTGGATATCGAGCTCCAGCGATTGGAACAATGAGTATCCAAAACAAAAGTTCACAGCTCAGATAATTTAAATACGTTAAATTGAATAAGAAAATATATCACATAAATTTGAAGAATAAAATCTCATTATTTATTTTGAAGTATCTAATAGATCCTGAGTGAATAGTTGACGTAGAATGTTTTCTCTTTGAACTACAAATAATCTACTTTTGTCTAAACAGCATTTCTCGCAAAATGCATTAATTTTTAAAATTAAACAATCAAGATTCAGTTCAGCTATTTTCATAGCGTTTAACATGATCTGCATAATGCATATAATACTATCTAGAACTCTGTATTAAACAGGGTCCGAGCAGATCTAAGACCGGGGTTTCCTGGTCGATTTTCTGGTTGTCTTCTTCTCAGGAACTTTGAAATCTGGGTCTTCTCCCATCTCGTCTCCTGATAAAAAGAATATATACAGGGTGGCAAAAATGTACGTATTAAAAGGATCTTTTTAACCCTAAAATTGTACGGATTGTACCGTTTTTTTCAAATTGTACGGATTTTCAAAAAATATATCGTTAAAATGAAGTTAGTTTTACTTATTTTCTGCATTCTACAAAATATTAGGTTGATTGTTGTTTCAATTGACAATCAAAATTCATTCATAATTTCGAGAATATTGATTAATGCTGTATAATGAGTTTTCTCCTCTCAATCTCATCCTAATTTACTTGCTTCTCCTCTCATTTTTAATCCTAATTAACTTGTTTCTCCTCTCATTTTCATCCTAATTTACTTATTTCTCCTCTCATTTTCATCCTAATTTATTGGGTTCTCCTCTCATTCTCATCCTAATTTACTTGTTTCTCCTCTTATTGTCATCCTAATTTACTTGTTTCTCCTCTCAGTTTTATCCTAATTTACTTGTTTCTCCTCTCATTCCATCCTAATTTACTTGTTTCTCCTCTCATTTTCATCCTAATTTACTGGTTTCTCCTCTCATTCTCATCCTAATTTACTTGTTTCTCCACTTATTGTCATCCTAATTTACTTGTTTCTCCTCTCATTTACAAAGGACAATGAATGAAAATGACTGATCCTGTATTTTCCCTGTTTATTTTCAAAATTAATAATCAAGATATTTTGGACAATTTCACTTAGAATTAGGATTTTAGAAGATAATTTTTGTAATACATAGCGGATTCCAACAATGTAAAATGTTCCCTGTAATCTAGCCGTTATGAAGATTTTAAGCTACTTACACTTAATATGAATTATGTCAAGAATTGTAAGAAACCTTGGTGTTCAGATTAAGGTCAAGATTTGCATTTTAAAAATATTTTTCTCGTGCAATATAAATTATTGCTGTTAGAATATTAGCTAACCTGAGCTGTAAGTAAGGTCTAGAGATTCTTTTCTTGGTTTTCTTCCTTTCTTTTTCCCCTTTCCGTCATCCTTCTTCGTTCCTTTCTTTTCTTTGCCTCTTTGTTCTTCCCCTTCTGACTCAAGGTTGAAGTCAGATTCGGTGGTTCCGCTCGGCCCTATGCAAATGTAGTTTATTAATTACGGTATTTACATCCTTAAGGGGGACTTTCAAACCTTTATAATATATTTATTTGTAGTACAAGGATTAACAAACATCATTTGTGTTTTTGAATTTTAAAGAAATCCCCGAAAACTTAAAGAAAAATTCGCAAAAAATTATCATTTCTACCAGTTCAGCTTTAATTACTCACGATGGCAGAACTAACTACTGGCATCACAACCGGCCCCCAAACTCAGATAGAAGGTGAAGAAATAGATGTTCACGCCGCTAAGACAGATTTGGTAATGTCCGTGGTGACCGGGCCTCAGCATACTGAAGTTGGAAAACCTTCTCGAAGCGGAACCTGCAGGACTGTTCATCAAGAGGTGGTTGAAGATCCAGAAAGTCCAGGAACCAGGCAGATATCTAACATCTGTCTGCAGTCTGAGCTGGATCGTAAATCTTGTGTTTATGCTCAGTTTCCCGAAAGTGCTGATGTAGAACAGATTAAAAAATCTTTCTGCTCCACAGGAGCTGCTTGGGAAGATGAATCCTTCCCTGCATCGACATCATCCATCTACTCTGACGATGTTAGGCCGGAATACATACCGGAGGATATCACGTGGCTCAGACCAAGGGAGATTAACCCGGATGCCAAGCTGATTACTGATGGTACGACTAGGTTTGATATTAACCAGGGCAGGATTGGAAACTGCTGGTTTATCTCAGCTGTTGCAGGATTAACTTCCAACCAGGAACTGTTTGATCAGGTTTTTAATCCTGGGCAGGACCTTAACGACAACGGATCAATTTCATTCAGGTAAAGCGATAATTAATCAATTATTAAACCTATAAGTATCTTATAAAATTATTAAGGTTCTACATCGGAGGTGAGTGGAAAGATCTGGTAATTGATGATAGGCTTCCAACTTGGAAAGGAAAACTTCTATTTCTCCGGAGCAACGATCCCCAGGAGTTCTGGCCATCACTTATAGAGAAAGCATTTGCAAAGATTTGCGGTTGTTACAACGATTTGACTGGCGGAACCTTTGGAGAGGCGTCGTCTTACTTCGGAGGTTTGACTGAGAACTTCAATATCAGGGGGCCATACCTAGATGGGTTAGATCCTGTATATGTCAAGGAAAGGTTACTTGAAGCTGCATCATTGGGATCTTTATGTGGAGCAGCAGTTTATGATCTTGGCAGTGCAAACAGCAATAGTTACTCCAAGTGGGGTCTACCCTCTGGACATGAATATACATTGACAGGGTTTACTGATACCCAGATAAGAGTGAGAAACCCTTGGGGTGGAGATATTGAATGGGCTGGACAGAAGAGTGATGCTGATGGAGAGTTTTGGATGGATTGGTTGGATTTTATGACACATTTTCATCAGGTTCAGGTGGCTCATTATGATCTTAACGCTGCTTCAGGGTTTGATGAGAAGAATAAGAAAAGCTGGAAAGGGCAAAAGGCTCAAGGAGAGTGGACCGTAAAGACTGCAGGAGGTTGTCCAAACTTTCCTAGCTTCCGATACAATAAGCAGTATCAGCTAACAGTTGGATCTGAAACCAGTAGCAACGTTCACGTGTTGATAGCGTTGGATCAGATATCAGCGAAGAGGAAACAAAACGGTATGGAGAAGCATCCTGTAGGATTCATCGTCTACAAGAGTACACCAAAACAGAAACTAAGCAAGGAAACTCTGAAATCTAGGGCATGGGTAGCGGACAGCGGTCTATTCCGGTATGAGAAACAGATAGTTGGTCGTTATACTCTACCACCTGGTACCTATACCATAATTCCATGCACATTCTTCCCTGGACTCAAAGCAAAGTTTCTTCTCAGGGTTTTTCATTCACAGCAAGACACAAACCTAGTATCCTTGAATCCAGTTCTAGATAGCCAAGATCAAGATTCAGCTGAAGAGGATTCAAGCCTGGTTTCAAACTAAAACTTTTGTTCCATAAACTCAAAAAATTCGGATATATTAAGCATTAAAAATAGCAGTGATTTTATCCACCTAAACAGTCCCAGTTTAAAATACATATTAATAAAGTTTTAAAATTATGAATGTTCATTAATGAAAAAAATACAGTATTTGTAATTCCTTCATAATTACCTGGAATTTCATTATCTGATTGATCTATATCCATTGCAGCTGAAGTTGTAACAGTAGCTGTCACGCTTCTATCAGTCACGTCTTCAAACCGGCGAGTCTCGATCTAGAAATTGATGATTATTGTTTCACATATAAGTAAGAATAGTCATCAAAAATTGATTCTACAGTCTCTTGAAAATTGATCATCAATATCCGCAGTAATCTGAAAACTGACATATGAAGGCAGGAATTTACAATGTTTCTAAAAAACCTATGAATAGTTTTTCCCTATTATGTCTTAGTTTTTAATTAGTCATTCGCTTCTAGTAATCTGTCATCGAAACTACTGTGATAATCTCATATAAATTAAATATAGTTTACCGCTATGGTGTTAGTTTGTACAAGCTCTGCGATTACTACTGGAGCTCGCACTAAACCATCCATCAGCAGATTCCTCGCGTAACTAAACAATTATTAATTTATAACCAGGAGTCTCCATATTGGTAAGAAATATATACTTTTATTAAACTAGGTATAAAGGACACTATGAGTGGTAAACTTTGAACTGTTTTTTTACATGATATCTTTTTAAAACTATCACTCCATTCGATCTCATTGCATAATTTTAAATAAAACAATTGTTCAAGGCTAACTCCATTCTAATTCATCGATGTTAATAAATCTAAAAAAAAGTAACGTTTTGGAGTTTAGGGATCATTACAAGGAAGAATATTTTTGTCATTTACTATTCAAATGTAAATGCAGTTCATCATTACATTGTGTGGACTTGTTAGTGTTGATGACAAATTTGCACAAACATTTAAAACAAAACATGACGTTTTTGTTATAAAAAAACCTAATTTAAAGAGATCAGCAAAATTCGTCTGATGATCTCATCTCTTATTGACAAATCAAGAAGTTAAAAAAAATATAGCATCTAAAAATCTGAAATCTGGATCTATAATTTTACAGAACGGATCCAGAATCCAATAGCTCATCAAAATAAAATGGATAATGTGCATAGGATCCTTTCAATTTCATGAGGACCCGGATCCTGGATCCGCTCTGAACAAAATGGATCCTGATCCGAAAACCCAGTTCCTACAAATTACTGGATTTTTTAACAAATGTAAAACGTCCAATTTTTCTCTTTTTTTTACACTTGTATTTTTTGTGCAGAAATGAACCTTTCAGAGATTATTAAGTTTTTGAAGTTTTTATTAATCTCTCTCCGTTGAAATTTGTGTTTTGAGAACAAAAAGTTTGTTTTGGCTGATATCTTTACTCAGTTGATCCAAATATTTTAACGGAGCCGGATCCAGATTGAGAAATTCAAATTGTTGCGGATCCAAAGAATCCATATTCACTGCCTTCAAAACGAGAATGATACCTGATCCCACGTCCTCCTAGCTGCATGAATGTATCATATCCTCTAGATTTAGCTTGCTCAATCATTAGATCTATCTCTTGTTCTCTGTTCATCAAGGCAGGATGAACAAACTTCTTGTACAGAAGAGATGAACCTTGAAAAAAAAATCATATTTGTAATCTATCAGAAGACATGAATTCAGATTCAGGAACAGGAAGATATATTTCAAGAATTAACCCCCCGGCATTAGGATTATAGAAGTATATTCTAAACTTAAGTATTTAGTATGAAAATGACACATTGATTAAAATCTTTAAATTATAAAGACGATAATCCAAATTTCAGGTCCCAATTTTTTAATAAAAAATATTTCTGTAAATAAAAGATAAAATTAAGAGAATTTTACTTTGCCAAAGGTTCCCAAGACCAATTTTGACTAAAAAACATCCAGAGCGCAGAACGGGATGTTTTCTGGATAAAATTGGTCGAGGGAACCCGTGGTCAAGTAAAATCTTTAATTTCCCGAATAAGTAGTTGTCAAGGAAGAGAAAAAATAAAAACTATACCAAAAGAAAAAATAAATGTCCCTTATTTTTAATCTTGATTCACTGGATATTCGTAATTATTGAATATAATATACTCTGTATATTAATGTGACAAAAAATCGGAAATTTTCTTATATACTCCGCCAGGAGTCCTGAAAATAATCCTAACATAAACATAAACACAGTATTACCGTCTTCTGAGATGAAAATGCGCGAATATTTTTCCGAAAACTTCGCAGAGCAGGTGGTTATTTACATAACTGTTCCAAGGAACGTTAAGTGAACTAACCTCCCTCTGTTGGGGGAATCATAGGTCGGTAATTTTGGTAAGAAGGCGGTAAAAAATTTTACCGACAGGGAACCCTTATAAATCTGACAAATAACTCCTTCAATAAAGGGTCCCTTGAAACTACGTTGACGTCCCTTTAAGAGTAATAATATGAAATAACAATGCAAGGAACAAACATAATTCATGTTTACCATTAGTAGCAGGAGCAAGTAACCAGATCAGAGTACATATCTTGAGCTCGTAGTAGAACGGAAACCAGAAAGATAACAGCAAGTCAGAGAAGATCTCCGCGGTCGTAAACAACGCAAACACGATCCAGTACATCATCCAGCGGACGTACCTAATCATTGTTTAAAGATCAGTTATAACAAAAATTTCGGGTTACTTGGTTACATTTTTGCTACATGTTCCCCGCTTTAGCGATGAAACCCTTTTATCTAAGAGTTCAGATTCGCTTGACTAAAACATTTCTTACGTATTTTTAGGGTTTAAAATTGATTTTAAAAAGGGGGAATTATTTCATCAATATCCCCCCCCCCCCCTTTATCATAAAGTAATTGTCATGTCTAGATCTAAAATCGAAGCCAAACTGAATTGTTCTAGTTTAAAAAACTAGATTTAAAAACTTCCTTCGCAAAAATTAGTTCCAAAATACTTACTCCTTCACGTTCTTGGTACGGACGGCCTTGTAGCTAGCATAAGCAGGATAAAGAGTCCCTAAGATAAATTTAAATAAAAAACAATTTTACAGCATATTGATCGCAATTTAAGTGATGTGCACACAGAGATGATTTTACCAGGATGATCAGTGAAATACTTCAACGGTCATCCGTTTTGATCAGAATTTGCCTCCTAAACATAAAGGTTCCCACTGAATTACGATTCTTTAAGCTACTTTCCTTCTCGTAATGAGTAGCGCCAAACCTTATTTACCTAACGTTGAATATAGCTTTATCATCCTTACTATGTGATATGTTAAAAAATATTGTCCAAATCAGTCTTCACACAAAATAACCTAAGTTAAATGTGAATTCCATGTAGAGAACATTGCCCATTGCGTTCATAAAAAAGCAAAACTAACAGCTGCTAAATTAAACGGACTTTGAACCTGAATCAAGAATTAATTAAGAGATTTGGTTGGTTAATTTCCTATTTATTATTTATAAATTAAATATATTAATACTAAAATATTGCATTCTTTTTTAAAAAATTCTCTTAAAAATATCTGTCAAGTTCCCCCACCCCCCTCATTGAGGGAANAGCCTGTCCTAGCCACAGCACTGGACCCCCTAGCCTATCCTTAAATTCCTTAAAATACAGACAGTCCTGTTTTAGATGATCTACAGATCCTTACCTAAAGTTAGGCTGACCACCCTACTCAGCAGAGCATAGATCATATTACTCTGAAAATATTTATCAACTTATACTCTGAAAATAACCACGACAAATGCTGGGGAAAGTTGTTATGACTTAAAAATTCAGTGAACTGAGATTGTCTCGGTGCGCGTTGAAAGCAACAACATTGAGTCTTGAACTGTTGCGCAAATGCCGAGGAGTATTCTGAATTACAATCATTCTTCTAGTCTGATTTTCAGAAAGTCTTGGAGTAAGGTTTGGATTCATTACTGTATCAGAGACAACAGTTATCCAGGATCCAGGACGTATCAATTCAGCACTTTCATGCCCTATTCAATCCTTAACCTGGAGCAGAATGGATCCACATGTAGAACTTCGAGAACTGTTAATATCGAACTATGAAGATTATGGTGGAAGATTAGGTTTAAATATCCCTTGGGATTTAAATCTTCCAGTCTTCCCATGTACAAATTCATCATGCATTCTAGAATACAGAGAACGCAGGTTGTTTTTTTATCTATACGTGAGTAATAATCATACAGTACAGTGATAACCATAAAACTCTGGAATAGGTTAAGTTAATTTTTAAACTTGCAAGTTCTGACTTTAAACAAGCCAATAAAAATAAGGCACAGCAGTCAGCAATAGTGTAGTGTGAACGGGCCCATCTACCTAAGCAAGTGATTTAATAACTTACTAGTAAAGGTATCTGCTTTGAAACATCAAAACTTCAGTACTGCTTTGTTGTCGTCTACCTATTCTACAATTTTCTGGTTATCACTGTACACAGATTTCTCTTAATACCACAAGATATATTTTATTTATTCTACAGAATATTATACCCACACAGGATGAAACGTTAATGACTGTATAAATATAATGATCTTCGAAGGTTGAATTGGACTATTCGCCTACGTTTTTAAACAATCTGGGTATAGATACAAGAATAAACAAGTATGCAGCTCAGAGATGCAGCTGCAGAATACAAGGAGTAAGAAAATGGGCTAAATAAATTCAGAGTACAGTCGTCTTTTAAATCTCATTCTTTGTGGGTAACCCTGTATATCAGGGGCGTTTTCAGAAATTTATCCTTGAGGATATGCAACATTTTAAGTTCCAGTGGGGGGGGGGGTGTCTAAGCGTACGTTGAGGACTGAATTGCCCCTGGAACCTGGAAATTGGAAATGATAGTTTTCACCTGTTAATAATTGAACCGTGTAGACTAAGTTAAACCACTTCCTTTAGCTTGACCCGGGGCACAAGAAAAGTTATTCAACTTAGTATACACGCGCGGTTGAACTTTGTCTCGCTATTCATTAAATCTGGTCTCAGGAATCTGATGAAACGTGAAGCTTCTGAAGAGAAGGAAGAAGAAGTACCTCAGCTGAATAATGACGGACCTGCAGTTCTCTACCTACCCCTGGGAGGAGGGGGAGGGGGAGGATGTCCATCTCTAGCAGAATCAGCTGTGGTGGGAGTTAGTCAAATGGTTTTCTTATGGACAGGTTTATTCTCCTTAATGGGATTGTCCACTTTTTAAAAGAGATACTCTCGGAAGAGTCCTAAAAAATTGAGTCTTTGCGACAAACTCATTTTCGAATCCCTTTATCTTTGCAACCTCAAGGTGTAAACCTTTGATATTTCTAAATAAATTTATTTGAACCAACATAATTTATAGTTTGAAATACCTAATGTCCACGAATTTTGGTTGCAAAGATATAGAGATGAGGAAATATGAGTTTGAGGCAAGAAACACTTCCGTTAAGCAATTTTCTCTCTAGTCTTTCTAGCTGTAGATATCCACGAGAGTCGAGACGCTTTCTAGAAATTGTTTAAATTTTTCTATATGTAGGATAACTCACAAAGGATGAGACTTCAGACATAACTATTAAGATTTTTATATTTCTCAAATTCATGATTTTCTTTACGAGACATACATTTCGGTATCTTGTTTGCAAGATGTTAACAGTGAGTTGTCAACCAACTCTTAATTCTTTGGGGGTACTGCAGTACATAGCTTGTATAAAAAAATTTGGACACAACATTAAATATGAAAAATTTATTTTTTGGCAGCGTTAAACGATTCAAATTTTTCAAAGACACCTAAATAGTTTTACGATTTTGCCAACATTACCTTTCATGAGTTCTCTGTTATCAACATTCTTGTTCTAGTGATGTCCGTGTTTAATGTTGTCGCAAATGTTGTTGCGAATATCAATAACAACCAGAACAACAACAATAACAACAACAACAACCTACAAATTAATAAAATATCAACACAGAACACACAGGTAAAATGTCCATATAAAAAAAAACATTTTTATGATTGATTTTACTATTAAATAGCTTCAAATTCAAGAACCTTTGAATATTCAAGTTTGTATAAAAACGTGTGTTGCAGTTTCTTGGAATTTAATAGTATATAAACAAGTTACGTTTTTTCTGTCAGACTATGCTTTAGGAGCTGTAGATACAATTTCCAGTGCCCGGCGTTTTTATCAATAAAATAAAAATAACTTTTCTTTTCAAATTTTGATTTCTTACAAGCTTTTTTTTTAATTACAAGTAAATAACGAGAAGCTGTTAATTGACAGCTTCTCTTTGTTCCATGCTTATGTGTACCCCTGCTGTTTGAAAGCTTGCATAGGAATACAAATTTGAAAACGGAAGTCGTCTTCATTGTATTAATATATAATGTTAATTTTTTAAGCTTCGTAGATTCTTTATAGATAAGTGCAAACACGAACAACGCAAACACAATAACGATCATGTTGCCGCCTCCCATCCCTGTTCTAGCCGGAGGTCGAAGGTTGGATGCACAACGGAGACTTAAAAGGTAAAGGTTGTAACGAAACGGCTAATCTTGGTGGCGCTAAATGAATCTTTCTATAAATTAAATGAGTTGGATCTCATTTTTAACCGAATTGAAATAATTTTTAACATTAAGAGATGGATCGTTAAGAGAGCTAAGACGAATAATTGATTTAAATAATTGAACATGTCAGTCCATCGAACAATCTGAAATAATGTAAAGAAAAGAAGACAAACCAATATTTGAAATTAAATTTTATTTAAATAAAGGTCGAACCCGTTGTAAAGGAGTTTAACGCCTGAAATTGTACAAATAGTTAGCTGATTTTTTAAGGTTTGTAGAACGAGAAAGGAAACTTGAAGAACGAAAGAAAGGAATATATTCCAAGGATCTGAACTTTCTACCAACAGCATCGAATATCTTCAAGTAAGTTAGATACAGTCGTTGGCGTATCTATTAATAAAATAATGACCAGTTTCTATTTTAATTTTGATTTCTACCAAGGTTTCAAACAGCAGAAACACTTTAACATTAAATCATTATGCTTATTAGTGATTATATCATTGTATGGATGTAATCGCCGACCAACGTATGTTTTCCACATATTTCAATAATTGGATTATTAAAACCATGGCATTGATTGATTAAAAGACAATAATCAAATTCAAGTTATGGGTGTGGATTTTTTTAACCATCATTAATAGTTATTTGGTGCTTAAAAATATTAAAAGTTAATCACAACAATTTTATTTAGACAATGAAGTTAAATCTTTTATAAAAAATGATATTATATTTTAATCATTTTGAATTTAATAGATAGAGAAATATCTAACAAAGAATAACGTACTTTCTTGCTTGCTGATAATAGGTCTGTACTGGACAGTGATGGTCTAATATCTACGGAATGTTTAGGACGTCATCTTTGCCATTTATCTAAAGGTTAATTTTAAAGATTTTTTCAAGCAATTATCCAATATCCGAGCTTTGGACTTTCAATATGATGACAGTAGAGTTTAAAATTAAAGGCTTCGATCAAGGGATACCGTTGTGGTTAGGGATGCACGCATGCTCATCTATTAATGGAGGTTATTAATCCTTAAAATACCATCTCCTGAATTTTTACATTTTTCTAGACGAGACTGAACAGCTTGATTTCAAACAATCCGTTGCACTGAAGACAATGACATTTGCATTAATGTGGATGAAGCTCGAGGTAAAACAAAAAAAACATTTAAAAATATCTTTTCGTAATTACCTACCTTTCAGGATCGGAGCCAGTCCTTCGTTGAGTTCCTGGACAATATGGTGTTAGGAAACCTAGACCAAGATCTAGACTGCGATCTTATTTTCTATACTTGCTGACTTAACACACTCAAGTCAGGGGACTTCAGTCAGAGATTAGCATGACAATTGATATTTAAAATTAATTGTAGAATTTGTTTGTACCTCTTACACCTAAGAGAAGCAAACGTATTGAATTAAGAAACACAAATTACCCCTGGTACCCTGGTATTAGCTAAATTTGCCTTTTCTTTGCTTTCAACATTACCGGAGATTTGAAGAATAAAATGCCGGGAAAAGGTAAATTTTGTGATTATTGTTTTAGGATCGAATCATATATGTAAAAGTAGGTTGAGGAATGAAGATTAAAGTCGTCTCTCAACTGTCATGTTTCGTGGTGACACCGTGTAACTGAAAAGTGTCTGTACCTTTTGCCTTGTCTGTACTGGACTCCCTTAGATCCTATAGTTAACCGAGTCCCTCCAGTCCGAGGTGTTCCTGAACCTACACTTCAGGGAGGAGAAGGAGCAGATAATACCCGCTATCAACTGCAGGTTTCGGATAAGGAACTCCTTCATTTTAAATACAAGTCCTCGTCCATTTCTTTATTCATTCTCTTTAATTCCTTCTTATAGTGTTTGCATTTCTTCCATTTTCTTCCATTTTCTTTCCCTTTGTTTACAACCATGTATTTTAAGCTCCGATTATTATCATAAATGAGATTAAATGTGGTAAATATCTATATTGACTTTAAATAAAGATTTCCACTAACAAACATAGATTAATTACCAGCGTTGAGTAAAATAGACGAGTGTGACATAAACAAATCTGTTACAATATTACATTACATCTTTAACTCGAGATTAGATATAAATTCTTTAACAAAAAAACCGAGGCCTTTTCATTTTATCATTTAATTATTATCTTTAAGATGGCCCAGAACAAGAGAGGTTTAAAACAGTGGATTTATTGAAGTCTTCTTTTCTCTATACTTGGAAATGTTGCTTAAAATTTTGTAATTTGGAACTTATCTATTTCTCATGATTAAAAGAAAGATAAAGGACGACAACCATAAAGTATTATGGTTACCACTGTAAAATTGTGCATGTTTTAGTATTCTTAGTTTTCATGAAATGGAAAATATTCCTGAAAGAAATATGTACAAGGAGGGATTATATTATAAATATTATATATCGACAAGATTTATCATATTCATCACAGCAATTTAAATTTTCCATTACAGATCTATTTATTTTCCCACGTCATAAATTTATTTTAGTGGACTAAATAAAATAGACCTTTTTAATATTCTAAAAAACTAATTACGTAATTAGTAACAAAGCAAGATATAAAATTTTAGCGTGTTTAAGTCATTTATTTTTTAATAATTGCACCAAATCGTTGAAAAATGGCCAAAATAAATATTCAACTTGTTCCTTACGCTTGTGAATGTGAGGTTTAAACAGGATGCCACTTAAATTATGGAACATAAGTGACGAATTCAATCAAACGGCATTTATTTAGGCTCTCTCATAATACCATCTCACCCACAAAGGATGAGACTTTAGGGAGGATTGTATGGAAATTTCTAATATATATATGATTCCCAGTAACTCCATAATTGTTTCTTTCTTTATCCCAATCACAATAAATGCCATATAAAGACTAAGTTCAACCTTGGAAACGTCTTGAAACGTGTTTAATGTCTCATCCTTTATGGGTAACCTTGTAACATAAACCTTACAATGATCAACAATAATATCTCTAGAAATTCAATGTTTATCGAGACACTATGTTTTTCTGATTAACGTAAATTTGCGAGTTCTTGAAATGTCTTTGAATGAAGCTAAAGCTAAATGTACTAAAAACTTTATCTATTTTCCGCAAATAAATCGTTTGTGATGTTGGTTTACGAATAGATTTGTATATTTTTTCAACAAAGGGAATAAAACCTATCTAGAAGAAACGAAATAAAGGCTTTTGACCAACAAGTACGCCCAACGATACAGACATTAAGTATATTTTAATAAACACGATTCACAAAGTAACCATTATAATTTCTTGAAATAACGATGGAAAAGTCGTTTCTAGGAAACTTTTAAGGAAAAGTATTTAAGTGGAATGTGGATACTTCTCGTTATAGGGATGGATTCTGCTCAGTTTTTGGCTGGATACTACTCTGTATTTAGGTGGATACTACTCAGTATTTAGGTGGATACTACAGGGTGTCCCACGAAACATGACAATAGAAAGACGACTTGAAAGTCGTCTTTGGTATTTAAATTTATTTGTGACATTTAGTCTTCTATCTACTTTAACATGTATGATTCTTGAAACAACTATCACATAATTCTCCTAGCCCTGGCATTTCCAAAAAGTGGTCTGCGTTTTTTGTGCTTTCAATAGTACTGGAGATATAAAGAGTTTGGTTCAGATTTCAATTTTGTTAAATAAAAGCAAAATTGTCGAAATCTGAACGAAATTCTTCATATCTCGGGCAATATTGGAAGCACAAAAAAGGCAGACCACATTTTGGAAATGGCAGGACAAGGGAAATTTTGTGATTATTATCTCTAAAAATTTACTTCTAAAATTAGGTTGAAAAATAAACGCAGCAAATTATATCAAAAATCAAGACGACATTCAAGTCGTTCTGCATACTGTCATGTTTCGTGGGACACCCTGTACTTGGTATGTAGGTGGATACTATTCAGTATTTAGGTGGATACTATTCGGTATTTAGGTGGATACTATTTGGTATTTAAGTTGATAAATTTGGTATTTGGGTGGATACAACTGAGTATTTAGGTAGATACTACTCGCTATTATAATTTAGGTTGATGCTACTTGGTATGTATGTGGATAATATTCAGTATTTAGGTGGATACTATTCGATATTTAGGTGGATACTATTCGATATTTGGGTGAATACAACTAATTATTTAGGTGGATACTACTCGCTATTTAAGTAGATACTTCTTGGTATGTAGATAGATACTACACAATATTTAGGTGGATACTACTCTGTATTCAGGTGAATACTACTCTGTATTCAGGTGGATACTACTCTGTATTTAGGTGGATACTACTCTGTATTTAGGTGGATACTACTCTGTATTTAGGTGGATACTACTCTGTATTCAGGTGAATACTACTCTGTATTTGTGTGTTTATTTCTTAGCAATAAGTTGGATTCTTGACAGTCAAAAACTCTTCGTTTCTCCTGTGATGGCCGGTTTAAGTATCATAGATAATATAGTAGAATATCATAATAAAAATCTCAATATTTTTAACACTGGAACAACACCATTCATTGAAAACTTTCATAAATAAATAATTTTTTATGAGATTATGTCAGCAGTAGAGACGTCACGAAGTTTCAATGGCTCATGTTTACTGATTAATCCTAAAAGTGCGTGACAAATCCTCCAAGTTCAGCATGACTAATCGTCAGAATCACTGGAGGTGGAATGTTCCCAATCAGGAGGTGGAGGTCCTGCTAAAAAGTGTCGGAGGCGGATCATACCCTCCGAATCCTCCAACCAGTCTGAATCCGAGGATCTTGAAAGACGACCTCCATCTCCACCTCGACCTTCGTCCCTAAGCATAAAAATTGTTTCTACGTTGGTTGACGTCGTTAAGGCCATTTTTTTAAATTGTAGAATAGTTAAATTATAAAAATTAATTGGCACCACTTTATAGTATATAGCATCTTGATACATCTTATGGAGCTAAATTTGAAATGTGAAATGTCACTGATATCCTACCAACTGAACATTTGACTGTTTATGACCATAGACCATTTCAAGATGAGTGTTTACTGTTTCCTGTTCACAAATGTATACCTTGTGCTGTCACTGTCCCATGAGCTGAGACGGGAGGGAATTCTAACAACTGTATCAGTATCCTCATGACTTGAACCAAAGTTTGATAGGACGGATAGGTTTCCACTAGAGGAACTAGTAGAACCTGACTCCAGGCTTAACCTGTCTATGGACCGGGTTGAGTCACTAAGAGCCCTTCCTGCGTTATGATGAACCTCCTCATCCGTCTCCCAGAAATCCTCATCATCCTCGTCCTCATCATCTTCATCATCATTATCAGATTCATCACCTAGAAATCCGTAAGTGAAAATATAAAATGATTGAGTTTGGACATAAGGAAGTAGTATTATCAAGGAAGGCATGAAATAAAATAAAAATATACTGTAAGTGTGATTTCAAGTTACCCTCCGTGCAAAGATGTTGATGCCTAGTTTACAAAGGTAGCATTCAAAACATAATCTGATCAATAATGTGGTAGATAAATATGTTTTACTAGTTTAACCAAACTTGTGAAAAGTTTTCCAACATTCATAATAAATCTTTATACAGAAATGAAATACTGACTGTCATATATACAGTCATACATAATTATCACCTTCACAGTTTCTATCACAAACAATTGACTGATGGTTGAAGAGTAGAAGAGAGATCTGTAGTTTCGCCGCCTCCAATGAGAAGCAAGGCCGTAGTGAGGTTGGAACTCCGAGTTCATCGTTGAGAGCATCAAGAACACGAACATTGAGACGGGACACAACAGTACTCTCCGTTACTAAGCTTTCGTCCACAGAATCTTTCCTGATAATCAAAGAATTTCAAACAAAGGAAATGTTATAATTACAGGTTTTTAAATGATTGGAGTGGAGATCGGGGAGGGGGGGGGGGTAAACTTTTTGTCTCACCTGCAACATATATGACGTAGACTAAAGGTTCCACCCCATGTATCCGAGTCAGAATCTGATGACTCCTGGGCGAGATCTGGAACAATATCACTGATGGTTGAGTCCGGAGTAGTGTACACTCCGTCCTCATCTTCATCCTCTTCCGTTACACTTTCAAGCCGACGAGTAGGAACTCCTTGAGACAGATTCGCCTCCGGAGCAATCAGATTCAGGTCAAATGGTTCGTCTGGAGTGCTGAGATCATTTTGTGTATCATGGAACTTGTTGGGGTCGTGTATATCTGGACTCACAGGCGGAACAGGTGTACGGTTCTTTAAGGAAGAAAGTTCGACGTTTCGTTCCGCACGTGAGACTGAAGGATCAGATGTTGTTGGGTTTCCAAAAACTACATTTAAAGTTCTAACTAGCTCTTCAGTGTGGTTTACTGATATATCACCCCTTTCTTTCCTTTTTGAAGGATCAAACCCTTCTAAATTACTAAACCCAACTTCCAAAGGCATGTTTACAACCTCGCTATCCTCTAAAGCCCTAGAGGTTCCTAACGACCAGTTTTCATCAATCCTCAAACGGACCTCCCCTCCGGTATCCGTGGACCTCGGCTGAACACTGACGTCAGATAATTTCGAATCCAGAGAACTCATCCCGTTCTTTTCACACCAATCTCGTATTCCGGTCAAATATTCGTCTGTCTCCTCCAGGAATTCCTGATGAACTTCCAGATCTCTGTCAGGATCAGGAGATACTCTTTCTTTCAACTTTAGCCTCACGAAATCCTGATCCAAGGAATCGTGCTCCGCCAGCATTCTCTCCCTCATCCTTCTTATCTTCTCACTTAGCGCCGCTATACTAGGATCAACTACAGGGGTAGAATCTGAACTAACCAGAGGCTGTATCGGAGATGCAGGTTTGAGTTGAGGTTCAAACACGGAGCTAGAGATGGATTGAAATCTCCTGTCCCAGTCTGCACATTGACGATCAAACGAATCTAATTCACCCTAGATAATCATTCAATCATTTTTTTGGTACATTTATTCCAAAAACATTTCCCTGCTATATTTTCCGAAAGATGATCAATCAGACTAAAATAATCCTGTAGTTCTTGCTCAAAACACATTAAAAGATATTAGTAGGGTTTTAAAACGAGGAAATTAGAAAATAATTAATATATGATATTACCTGAAATTTCAATCCAACAAGTTCTCGGTCTAACATATCCAATTCTGTCTCAGCATCCAGAAAATAGTCCTCCGAATCATCAGGTTCCAGTAAACCTGAACAATCCAACCTGCCACACTCAGGGTTTTTACTGGAGCTAAAGGATTCTTTCATTGTCACGGAACCAGATCTTGCACTGCTCGAGATATCACTTGCAGCGTGAGATATTCCACTCGCTAGACGGGATAATCCGCTTGAAGCCAGGGCTGAGAAACTACTGGCTCCGGCGGATAAACTGCTCGCCCCGGCGGATATACCACACGCCAGATTACTGTAGTTGAGGGAAATACCGTCAATAACCCCGGGGTTCAGTGTCCGACCTTCTGTAGACAATGAATCTGTATCACTGGGAGATATTATCTCAGAGTTAGAAAATGTCTCTGGATCTTCAGTATTCTCGGAATCCAATAAATCATCGGAGGACCGAGGATCCTCATCTACTTGGAACTCGTCCTCGAGGTCGAGGTCCTGCCCAACTCGACTTCCTTCATTTTCCCCTCGGCCAGCCTCGAAACTGAGTTCGAGCTCGTTTCCAGTCTCAAGAATGAAATCATGGGCAAGCATTGCACCTTAACAAATAATGTTCTTACTCTACTTTCATCAAACTTATTCAAACTAGAAAACCGAGTTTATTTATTCCTCACATAGAGGACGATGCAAGTTTTGCTACAAGCTACAGTCGTCGTCTCATATATCAATCCAATAAAGACGACTTCCGATTTCAATGCTTTTAAACAGCATGAATACACATAAACATGGAAACAAAAGAAGCTGTCAATTAAAAAAGCTTTTATTTAATTACTTGTAAACTCGTAATTCGAAATAAGCTTTTTAGCAATCAAAACTTTAATAAAAAAAGTCGTCTTCATTGTATTGATATAATAGCCGACCACTGTGTTAAAAAAGAGAACTTGGTCCTTTAACGAGAAAGTGTTTTTTCTCGCGTCATAGTGGTATTCAAAAACTCTTAACAAATCTGAACCCATTAAAAATGCCATTTAAACAAAACGAACAAATTAATAACAAAGGTTCAATATAGGAAACAAGTACAAATTGGTTTCATCTGGATAAAATCCTCTCCAATCTTTACTGTACCTGAAACACTGATCACACTTGGTGGGATCATGAGACGAAACCAGGTGAACCCTCTCTTCTCACACACTCGGTTCAGCTTCTCAACAGTCACCTCAAATTACGAAATAGAGTTTTAAAAAATATACATTTAAAGATGATAACAAATGAAACTATAAGAGAATAGAAAGATTGGCACACTGAACGTAGTAAGAATAGAAAAGCAAGGAAGACAGACTCAAAATAAATATGAGATCTCTGAACCCCCCCCCCCCCCCATCTGTGTAAATGTGCAAAAACTTTTCCAGGCAGTACTTGCCAGGAAATTAACGGTAGACAATAATTTAAAAAAAGAGGAGTACAAAAGAGGAATAAAATTAGGAGAATATGGTATTGAGGAAGAGGGTTAGATTAAGTAGGGATACCTGAGGATAACAAGAATATGGTAATCAGTGGGATACCTGAGGATTAGGAGAATATGGTAATCAGGAAGAGGGTTGGGTTAAGGATGAGGGAATGAGGGATACCTGAGGAGTGGAAGAGAAAAGAGCGTGTCTGAGAATTGCTCTCACAGCTAACTGTCTCAATCCTAGAAAAAATATGGTTGACAAGAAATTGGAGAAAATACTATGTTTGGGAGATGAAGAGAAAATACTATGTCTGGGAGATGTAGAGAAAATATTATGTTTGGGAGATGTAGAGATAAGAATATGTTTGGGAGATGTAGAGAAAATACTATGTCTGGGAGATGTAGAAAAAATACTAAGTTTGGAAGATGTAGAGAAAATACTATGTTTGGGAGATGTAGAGAAAATACTATGTTTGGAAGATGTAGAGAAAATACTAAGCTTGGAAGATGTAGAGAAAACATTATGTTTGGAAGATGTAAATAAAATACTATGTTTGGAAGATGTTAAGAAAACATTATGTTTGGAAGATGTAAATAAAAACCTATGTTTGGGAGATGTAAAGAAAATACTATGTTTGAGAGATGTAAAGAAGAATGAAAAAAAAAGAAAAATATTTTTTAAAAACTTTTTTAAAGAAAGTTTATTTATAAAGTAGTATAATTATTACTATGAGTATTCTAACCTGCAGTTGTTTGGCCGTAGAGTAAATGAGTTACAGCGTTAGCGTCTACACACTGAAATATGATCATGTTATAACAAATAAAAGTCTTAACATAATTCATAAAAAAAACAGTGTTCCTCTCTAGAATATTATATAATGTAATCGGTAACTGTGTTTTCGTTAACTTGTAAATGTAAAATTCTTTTCAATGTCGAAAATTTATTTTCAGTTTTGATTGTTACGTTTAGTTTGTAGTTCCGTTTAATTTCTTGAGGTTACTACTATATTGCTGTCTTTATTATACCTTGGAGTTAGCAACCCTTTTATGATCTGTGAAGTAGGTTGTCAGAGCAAATAGTTTCTCCGTAACTGTTTTATCTACAAACTTGCCACTAAAGATAGGAGTTACATTTAAAATTTGATACTGGAAAAACGGTACCCACTCATCTGAACTACAGAAATCTGACCTTTAGGCTTTCTGACCTAAAACTATATCAGATTTTAGGATAGGTTAGGTTAGATTAAGCTGGGTGGGGGGAGTTGTAGGGGGTTAGACGTAGTTGTAATGAGCATACGATTTAAATTCGTAAAAACGCGCTCGAAATTTTCTTGAAACTTTTCGATAATTAGTTATGTTAATATTAAAAAATGTTATTTTCAATTTTTGTTGGCAAGTCGGTTGAACCTCTTCACAAACTACTGAGAAACAAGTTTAAACAACTGAAAATTTAAAAAATAATCCTTCCTGTCGACTAATGGAGATATCTTCGTCCTAATGACATGATCTGAGAGTGAAACCTGGAACTCAGGAGGATCCTCCTGGTAGCGCGCTGACCGGCGGGGTATTTGGACGTGAAGGTTGGAGGTACACGGAGAGTTCCCTAGGAGAGGGGAGAGCAGGGGAGGGATTCCGCTCAACTTCTTCACATATTGGGTTTGGAGAAGACGGGGACGGATCCTGGGCGCAGCACGCGCTGATAAACCCGGAGAAGCTCCCAAATCTAGGAGCTTCATCACAACCTTACCCTGACCCTGAATATAGAAAGGACTTCATTAAAAAGAATCACACGGAAATTTAAATTCTTGCCTAAATCTCTGCCTTATCTACCTTAAATGCTGCTCTAAATAGTGTCGACTGTAGACTACAGTTCTGTATATCCAGCAAAGGAAGGCGTCCGTTCTTCTCCAACCTCTCGAGCTCCTCCAGGCTCCTCTTCTCCACCCCCAAGTTAATGATGTCCATGAGCGGAGTGGTGTTGTGTACATCAGCATGGTTCACGTTAGCTCCCAACTCCAGCATCCTTTGGAGCAGATCTTGATCTACAACCGGAGCTACTACAGCTAGATGATAAATAGTTTTAGCTGCTTCAGTAGTTGGTAGGTTAGGATCCCCTCCTCGTTCCAAGCAGAAGTATAATAATTCCCTACAAACATTACATATTAGAAGTTTACTCAACATAGGAATTTTAGTTTTTATTTGCACTCACTCAATCAATCAGATCTGAAAGGAAATCTAATGAATAACTCCCAGAATGCTTTAAGAGACTAGAGCAATGTTTCTTTATTAAATCATCAACTAATTCTTGGATTTTTTACAAAAGTAAACATTTGTTTAACAGATGGAAGAAAATAATAACTATTTGAAGGATGGTACCTTGTCTGTCTTGTAATAGTCTGCGGAGTGAGACTCTTGAGTTCTCCGTTTATTCCGACACTATCTATCAATTCTATTTCCTCTGCTCGGGACGGAGTAGATGTTACTCCGGTCCCAGGTAGACCGAATACATGGATCAGTCTCAGGTAGTAACAGAGTAGAAGTTCAAGAGGAGACTCGTTAGCACTTTCCATATCATGGTTCGGAATACGAAGGTTAGGATTGCCACCTTTCTCCAGTAGTAACTTTGCTATGCGCAGGTTCCTGATGTAAAGATTACATATAAAATGTTTAATGAAATACATGAAAAATAACTATTATTAGATTACACTGTACACAAACAGCTTTATATAATAAAACCTAACCAATGTAATAACCAGTAACAATTCAATCCACTTAGGACCATGTTCCTGGGTTGTTGGTTAGGACCACTAGGTTCAAAAAGGACCAAGTCCCTGGGTTGTTGGTAAGAACCACTAGGTCCACTAGGACTATGTACCTGGGTTGTTGGTAAGGACCTCTTGGTCCATTAAGGACTTTATACCTGGGTTGTTAGTAAGGACCACTAGATCCACTAAGGACTATGTGCCTGGGTTGTTGGCAAGGACCACTAGGTCCACTAAGGACCATGTACCTGGGTTGTTGGTTAGGACCACTAGGTCCACTAAGGACAATATACCTAGGTTGTTGGTAAGGACCACTAGGTCCACTACGACTATACACCTGGGTTGTTGGTAAGGACCACTAAGTCCACTAGAACTATGTTCCTGGGTTGTTGGTTAGGACCACTAGGTCCACTAAAGACCATCTACCTGGGTTGTTGGTAAGGACCACTAGGTCCACTAAGGTCTATATACCTGGGTTGTTGGTAAGGACCACTAAGTCCACTAGGACTATTTACCTGGGTTGTTGGTAAGGACCACTAGGTCCACTAGGACTTTGTACCTGGGTTGTTGGTAAGGACCACTAGGTCCACTAAGGACTATGTTCAAAGGAGTTGCTTGAAGAGCTCCATCATTCAAAAAGTCCGGATCTCTAGTCTGAAAATATATGTTGATGAAACATTTTTCATTTCAACTTTTAGCCGATTCGATAATATCCCCGCCCCCACGGTCACAACCATCCCTCATTTTTTCTAAAATTTCACCTCATCAATAATCTTCTCAGCTATGGAGTAATCTCCTCTGAGCAGAGCCTTGGTGAGGTTGGTTTCATGTAGACCAATCCTGAGCATGAGACCCTGGATGTGCTCTACCTCGTCCTCGTCCATATTGAACAGATGAAGAACCCTCTAAACAGTTATTAATATAAATTTTATAATTTCCGATCTTTTCAATTTACTTTTTCCGTTCATCCTTTCAGCGGAAAATGACAAATTGATTTCAATTTACACGGAAAGTTCATCTTTTAAGGGGGAAAAGTAACAAAAATATTCATAATTATATCCTCAGATTCTCTAAACATCTAACTTTTAAACAACACACTTGTACAAGATGGAAAATAAATATTTTAGATAGGGCTCGAGTAAACGTGAAACGATTTAACCTGTCTTGAGCCTGACTGGGTTTCGACAGAAGAAATAACTATGTTCATATTCTCTATAAATTGATATAACATTGTCATTTCTTTTTCGCTTGATATGGAGTTCTTTAATTTTTTATTTTGGCCGAAGTGGAAATTAAAATTAAAATACAGGATAAAAGTTGGACGAAACCCGCAATATTTATCTTGCAAACCTCCAATTGAGGAGGAGGAATATTTAGTTCCTGGATTTCATTTTCATCCATGACGATTCATTTTTCTGAAATAAGCATAAAATTATTTTTAAAAAAACATTTTTTTTAAGTAGAGTATCACAGGTTAAAAGAAGTCAGGGGCTAAGACCTATTTAACCTTACTCTGGGATTACTATTGAACTGGATCCAGGTACTGAGATTTGAGAACATACTTGTCATAGGTTTAGTGGTTTAAACTCATTTTTTTGAGCTAGCACAAGAACATTACATTTTCTCATACGTGTTAATATGACCACAGCTTTCGCAAGTTTGCGAGTATTCGTCCTATACATAAAAATAATCTTTAACTCCTAATAATACGAATTTACTGATTATCTTGCAAGAAATATTTATCAATAAATTTCTTTCATGGTATGTGAGGAAAGTTTTTAATTGAAAAAATAATGTGATGAATAAGATTATTTCTATCCTTGTCTTCATGATAAACCTCGTCCTTGTATTGATGTGTGTGTGTAGACAAGTCCTTCTTGTACAGACTACTCCGGACACTCATCCTCAACTGCTTCATCTTCTTGTTGTACTTCCTGACCTTGGTTTCAACCTTCCTCTCATCCCTCTTCTCCAGCTCCTCCAGCAGAGCTTCCTTATTATAATTGGATATTATTATGAAAACTGTAAATATTTAAAGGGACTGTAAGCGAGATTTCAAATGACCCTCCATGCAAAGATGGCCTTCACTAACCGTTACACAACAGTATACTTTGAAGCTTTGTCTGATCAAGTATGAATAATATATCAATGTTTGCAATTTAGTAAACTGATTATTTTCAATTTTGGTTTCTCAACAAAGGAGATTTGTGCATTTCTACTACAAGAAAACGTACAGGAATTATCAGAATCAAAATTTTTATTATTAATCAGATAAAGATTACAAACAAACCTTGTAAATCGGGCATTTTCATTTTGTATGGAGGGTCACTTTTAATTCTGCTTTCAGTCCCTTTAAATCAATAAAAATGGTTAAAGGGACAGACCGACTATGTAAAGTAGTTAAACTGAGCATGCAGTGTTGTGGACAAATTCTTCAGGATTCATTTGAGACATATAAAACTTTTTAAAAATCTGTAAATCCTGAGTTAGAGCGCAAAGTCGACGTTTAAAATCGTACTTTTGGGTAGATACGTTTTCAGAATTGTTCTTTTTTTAATTATTAAATAACGACGACAAAAATGTAACCAAATTCTACAGTTAACTAATTAGTTGTTTAGGAACAGATTGAGAAAATAAAAATCAAATCATCGAAAAAAAGTAATCTTATTCAACTATTAGTATCTATAATCTCTCTCTGATCACAAAGATTTCCTGCAGATATTCTAGAATATTTATTAAAAAGACGATATTTAAAAAATTTGAAGAAATCTGCGAACACATTCATAGAAAATGAGAAATTCAATATAATGATGAACAATTTTTACTTTATTTTTCGTCGTCGTTATTTAATAACTTTAAAAAACCGATTTTGAAAACGTACCCACCCAAATTCATGATTTTGAACGTCGACTTTGCGCTCAAAATCACTAATTATACATCGTGGAAACGTTTTTGTCTCAAATGAATCCTAAAGAATATGTCCACAACACTGCATACTTAGTTTAACTACCTTACATAGCCGGTCTGTCCCTTTAACCCTTACTCTGTGAAAATTAAGCATTATCAATTGTTATATATATAACTCCAGGGCACTCTTGTAAGTGATATTTTTTTATTTTGACCAGCCGGGCCATAAGCCACCCCTGTCTTAGCCGAGATATTTGAGGTTCCAAAAAAATGTTGCTCAATCGTTTAAAAGGACAATCTGTAAATTCTGAACTATTTAGGGAAGACGACTCGACCACAGGAGAAGTTCATAGTTGGAGAAACTCGAGAAGGACGCATGATGAAACATGGAGGCCGCACAATCCTCATAATTATAATTTACCACGTCCATGTCTCTTAAAATCTTTTCCTTCATTTAAACACAATTTTATTTAATCAAAGTTAAAGCCTATATACTCTCTTTTAAAAATATATTTCCAAGTACTGTTTGGAAACGTTTTAAACAATTTTAAAAAAGTAAAACTTATTCTAATTTCTAGGTTTGGAAATTAAAATGAAAAAACCTTTTTATTTAATATCTGAATGTTTCAGATATAATGTACGGCGCGTACTAAATGAGATTTTAACGGACTGTGGGCGGGATGTCCTAGCCCCCCCACACTCTGCTACTGTTAATATTCATAGGTACATTTTTATACATGTTAAAATTGTAAAGAAGTCTGCATTAAAGAAAAACATAAAATTGATTAACACAAAATTATCAATTCTTTATCTAGATCTGAAGTTATAGCAACTACGACAGATCCTCGTGCCTCTACTTTACGTCCTTGCGGCCTCTTGTAGCATTTTAGGTAAACAAACAAATTCCCTAAAAAGTCTACTTAAAAATGAGCATAAATGAATAATGCATCTTTTATAGAGGCGGAAGGACCGTGTAGTGTGTACAACAGCTGGACTAGTTCTCAGCTTTATATATATAGGTACAAATATATATTTATTTATGCATTCTTCTAAACTTAATCACACCTCTCAGCTCTAGTAAAAAGACCCTAAAACATTCTTTTTTCTAGACCCTGAAGTGCAAAGAAGATTTCTCTGCAGCCCTTTTTTAGCATAGTCGATCTATACTATGCTCAACGGATCGTGCTTATCCTGAATCCAATTCAGGTATATTCCTCACAAAAAACTCTTGAACTATAATGTGAAATATATAAAAACTGAATACGAAAAATATCTAAATCTTTTTTCGTGACAAAAGCTAATCTGGATTTAAAACTTTAGATCGCTGGGTGTGAGCGATCAAGATCTCTATAGGTTGTTGCACCTCAAAATGATCCTATAGGTGATTAATATTTATTTTTCTAAAGATTGTAATTAGATATAAATATTCAAAAATGTATTATTAGGCAGTGTGCCTGAGGACTCAGGCAGTTAGTATTAAAGCCCGGTTTTAGGCCTAAAGGGAGGGCTTTGGGTATGTAAGAAAAGTCAGAAAATTTCAACAGCCTTAGACCAATACTTTTTGAGTTATGTAAAAAAAAACCACAGGGGGGGGTCAAATTGACCCCCCCCCAGCGGGAATAGGGTTAAAAAGCCGCGCCTTATAAATAGCTAATTTTACTGAATATCGACTTTTGTTTTTATTATTATTATTTAAATGTGATTAATTTATTTCAGTTATCACCTGCTTATGGAGGATAAATAAATACTTAAACCTGGATTTATCTTCTATCCTGAGTAATAAAGAGGAACAATTATTCCACGGTACAATAAATCTTTAGCACGTCCCTGAGACACGTGCGACACATAAAGTGAGAGACAAGAGTCAATTAAATAAACATAAACAAACTAAAGGTGTAAACCTACAAGTCTCACACAATCAATAACCAGTGAGGAATATAATCCCAAAATTGGTATAACTAGGCTTTTAGACCACTTTTCTTTAAACAATTTTAGCTTTTAACTGCTTTGAAAGCGGCCATTTTGAATTATCACAAAAATATATGTCGAAATTTTTTCAGGCAAAATTTTCAACTTTGACGTCCATGTGAGTTGCCATAAAAAAATTGGTTCCGATTCGACCTATCAGCCGTTTTGACGTTAATTAGATTCAACCAAATACTGACAAGCAAAATAAATATAGATGAATATACCTCTGAACCCCAAACCAGCATAGCTCTCTCCTCTACCTGGAGCCGGAGATACAGTTTCATCTCTCCGCCCCGGGGATTATGCGGATTCTTTCTTTAAACCATTTTTAAAAATCAAATTCAGTTTTTATCTCTCAAAATAATTTTAACCATAAATCTAACAAAAATAAATACTAAAAATCATGTTTAACCAAAATGGAGAAAATTTTTTAAGCTTTTAAAGAATATGAAATGTTTCGGAGGAAAAAAATATCCAAATTAAGGATAATTTGTAGCAGTTTAGTTTTTTCCAAAATCTATAAAATCCTCTGATAATTACATTTTAAGGTTTGTACGCAGTAAACACAAACTTATAAAAATAAATTAACTAAAAAATGAAGTAATTTAGATAAGATGGAGATTGCAGACTGAGGAAAATAAATTTTGAAAAATACCGATAAGAAAATTACCTCGTCATAAATCTTAAAGGTTTACTTCCTTCCCACTCGTCAAAGTGAAAATCTCTAAAAAATAAATAAAACTATGAATATGGAGAGAGCAAAATTATTTATAAAAAGTTTAGTAATCTGTAATCTTTAAAATTAAAAAAATAATATATTAGTAAACATGCTTTGATAATCTTTTATTAAAGAGCAAATGAAAAAGAACTTTAATCAATAATCATAGATTTAAATGCTTTTATGAATTTTGCTTGTTGACGCTACTAAACCAATTTCTTTTGAATAACAAGGCGAAGTTACATATACAGTGATGCATATTTTCCTAAAAATCATTCCCTCCCTCATTTTTAATTAAATCATGTTTTTCGCTAAAAGTTATTCAACATTTTTTTTTCGTTGAATTGCTGTAAACAAATGATTTTTAGTTGGAAATAAATATTTTTGGGTAAATAGTATCAAAAAGAACTTTTCATGACTCTGTTTCNAATTTCTAAAATTAAACAACCATGCCTACATATTAACGTCTTTGGGATGGTAACATGAATTTATCCTTACTTGAGAATAAAAGTAGTTTTTGCTTCTGTTTTAGCAATTAGCTCATGTTCACCATCTTTACCAGTATCCTTGCAGTTATCACACACTATACAATCAAACGTTCTGAAAATTATAGCTTACATATATTAAATGAATAAACTAATTTTTTAAAAACTCTATTTAAATTATCTTTTAACTACCCCCAAGTATTTGACAGTTGTGCAAAAGAAAAAAATTATTAGAATAAAAAGTAACTCAGGAGGAATTCCTATTTTCCCCTGGAATGGAAAGCACAGATAATCAAATAAAATCTTTTTTCTTTCATGAATAGTAAATATTCTCTAATTTTATATTTTAATAATCTGGAACCGAATTTAATGAATGTAAGCTACGTCGTTGAACTACCAACTACCGAATCAGTTTGAACCACTGATTCAAAGTTAATCGGTGATTCAAATTTGAACCGGCGGTAGACAGTTCAAATTCGTTAAATTCGGTTGAAGCTAATAACAGTTCAGACTCGTGAAAATTGTAATTTTTTTTAATTGCATAAGGGTACAAAACTTTGTAGTCAAGTAATATAATATTTGTAAATCTTAAAGCTGACCTATGTAGGAATGAATCACTGAATCTAGATTCACACATGCTGCAGGTTGGTTGATCATAAGGAAGAATAGGTCCTAAATATACTTTTAATAAATTGGGAAAATTTTATATTTTGACGAAATTTCGAAATCGAGATACTTTCGCACGACATTGACATGAGTGATGGGAAACATTTTTCGCTTTTTACTGGACTCCTTGTTTCTACATACTTTTTCTACGTCCTCAACCAAACTATAGTTTCGCTGGGTTTCAAATATAAAAAAGAACATTTAAAAAAATTAACAAATTTATGGAGCCACCACTAAATGGCCATAACCATCCCCTAGGGCATAAAAAAAATAACAAAAATTAGACCCGATCCCTTCAGTGGTTATGACGGTTAAAAGGACAAACAAAACAAACAAACAAGTTTAAAATAATAGAACAGGGACCGAATTTTATGAGCTATGTCGCTGTCGCTACCACCGGATTAAATTTGAATCACCGATTCAAATCCTTCCGGACTCTATAGTTTGAAGAGTAAAAGAACTTGGTCTGACTACACTGGAGGAGAGAAGAACACCGATCTTGTACAAACCTACAAAATCATACATGGAATAGATGAAGTGGACAGAAAGATTTGGTTTGAGCTGTATGGTGACACTGAAAGGAGAGTAACCAGAACAAGTGAACAGTTCCTTTATATAGTAGCTTCCAGACCCAATTTGGGTATAAGAAAGCACTTTTTCTTTAATAGTATAGTTCAGCAGTGAAATTCACTACCTGAAAACATCAAAAATGCATCAAAAATGCAAGAAATGTGAAACAATTTAAACAGATGTATCTAAGCCAAGTGCCCCTACCCTGATGAAGCCTATGATCCTGGAAATGGTATGGGTCACCAGGAAAACTGACACTTCTTCCTAAATCAAGATGGTCTCTTAGAAGCTCGTCTTCAAGTGGACAAGTAATAATCGGTGGCTCAAATTTGAACCTTAAGTGGATAGTTCAGCGAAGTAGCTCAATTCTCTAAATTCGGTCCCAGAGGTCTGATTTGTTAAACAGCATGAAGCAGTTGAAGTACACGTACTGTATCTAGTTTAACCTTATCTTGCTATTTATTAATCTCGGATTAAGTAAAAAGAAGACTGAACCTGGTGTTTCAACGATAATTCTCTCTTCCTTCCCCTCCTCCTCCTCCTCTATAAAGAATCCACCCCCACTATCCACAAGCTTCGGCTGCTCGGACCTTTATACAAGAAATTAAAGAAGCTGTCGCAGAAAATGAAAAGAAGGATAGAATTAATTATTTTGATTTTAAAAGATCAGAATTATTTTTCTGTAACAAGAAAATTCAATAAAAATTTCTTCAATTACGGAGAAAATGACAATGCACAGACAATGCACATATATTTTTGATGATTTTCGCTACAGGAAAATCTCTAGATTTGAGATCCCCCCCCCCCCTCCATCTATGTAAAAATATGTTTCAAGGAAAAAGTCCAAGGACAAAATGTCACTGTAAAAATAAAGTTTTAGATTCCTGGGACTTTTTAATTAACTCTTACTCGGAGTTCATCACTTTTACTATTTTAATATGGAGGAGCATTAAGTCAACTTTGATGTATCAATTTATCAACAAAGCAAAAAGTGAAAGGTTTGTCGTAAAAATCAAAATCCTAGATACTTAGAAGTTTGACCACGTTGATTTTTGAAACTTTAAAACTATGAAAATATCCAGTTTATATCTTCATATCTTTGCTCTATTAAGATTTTTTATCTTACCTGTGAAGTTTTGAACCAGCTCCGGAGTAAGGATGGGTAAGAAGACGGGATTTCTTGAGAGAAAGTGCTTTCAACCGATTCCGTTCTGCTCTTGCTTTCTCCGCAGAGGTGAGAGGCCGCTTACCAGCATCTTTGACGAGGTACCATTAGATAGAATAAAAGTTCTAGAGCCAAATTTGATAATCTTAAGAAAATTCATTAGATAATAAGCATGAAAAGCGTCAAGTTTATCCTAAAATGTAATAGATATCCCCATTTACAACAAGAAAATTATTAAAGTAGCATACACCCTAAACGACAGGATTAAAATACCGGATGTTTTCTCTTCATATTCTTCAACAGCCTTTTTCAGTTGATCATCTTCGGCATCACTAAATTCTTCATCAATATCATCAGTCGTAGCTGTGGTACAAGTTGTACCAGGAGTCGGAACATCTGGATTTATCAGGTTTTCTCCATCCGCCTTATCTTCATCATCTTCTAGATCAAACAGAGATTTAACTCTTTCTTCGTCCCTATTCACAGCCATCATGTGCATCAGATTTACTTCCGCCAAATCAGATCGGTTTTAAGTCCAAAGTATTGATGGAAAATAATTACGAAACAATTAAAAATGAAAACAGAGTGTACTATGCACTTTACAGTGATAGGAGAAGATTCAGCAGAACAACAGCTGACGCTAGTCTGATTTTCCAAAAATATATGTTTTATAAATACAGAAAATCATTTTTATTTTTATCGAAATTATTGTTTCTCAATAAAATTTTAATCAAAATAAAAATTTATTTTTGGTCAAAAGGGTTTTAATATGTTTTATTTAAAATGTGGATTGTGGAAAGAAAACGATATAATAATTATGTTCAATATAAATTTGTAGATATTCAATATCCTCCCCCGGCCCTCTTCAATATCCTCCTCTCATGCCTCTTCAATATCCTCCTCTCATCCTCTTCAATATCGTCCCCTCGTCCCTCATCCTCTTCAATATCCTCCTCTCATCCTCTTCAAAATCCTCCTCTCATCATCTTCAATATCATTCCCTCGGCCCTCATTCTCTTCAATATCCTCCTCTCATTCTCTTCAATATCCTCCTCTCATTCTCTTCAATATCCCCTCTCATCCTCTTCAATATCCTACTCTCATACTCTTCAATATCCTCCTCTCATTCTCTTCAATATCCTCCTCTCATCCTCTTCAAAATCCTCCTCTCATCATCTTCAATATCATTCCCTCGGCCCTCATTCTCTTCAATATCCTTCTCTCATTCTCTTCAATATCCTCCTCTCATCCTCTTCAATATCCTACTCTCATACTCTTCAATATCCTCCTCTCATTCTTATCAATATCCTCCTCTCATCCTCTTCAAAATCCTCCTCTATCTTTAATATCATTCCCTCGGCCCTCATTCTCTTCAATATCCTCCTCTCATCCTCTTCAATATCCTCCTCTCATACTCTTCAATATCCTCCTCTCATTCTTATCAATATCCTCCTCTCACCTCTTCAATATCCTCCTATCTTACTCTTCAATATCCTTTTCTCATCCTCTTTTATATATCTTCTCATTATATATATGAAGAAAAAAATTGTTGATTTTGTCTGCAAGTTTTTTTTACATCCTCTCTCATCCTTGAATACTTCCCTCGATACACTATTTTCTTTCTTTCTATGTATGTATAAATACTGAAACGTTATGTACATGCATTTACGTGTTGTGCTACATAGATCTCCATAGAACTAGAAGGTGCTGCTTCATGCCGGTGTACTATCCCGTTTTGGCGTATATAAAGTCTGTATGTGTAGGTGTACTGTACAGCTTGCTCTAGCTGCATGAAAGTCTGCACGGTACTTGAAATAAACAGGAGTAATTACCGTGGTTGTACTGTATTACAATATAAACTATGAATTATATAATGTATACAAACATTAAATTAATTTTGTTTAAGTTTTGGAAGGGTGTGTCCGGCATTATATTCTCATGTTTCAGGGAATTAATTATGCAAAGTTTTCCTCTTATGTTTTCCAACTCAGGGGCGTGGACAGGTTAGGATATATAAACAGTTTAACAGACAGGTGGAGAGGGGGCCGGGGAGGCCAAATCCATATTTATCGGTCAATAATATAACTTTCATCCAGCCGATGTTTTATCCCCCGCTTCTATACGGCCACGGTTTATAAAATTCCGGTCTAATTTCAATGGGAGGAAATTAAATCAAGAGTTATACTTTCCAAAGTCTTTTGAATAACTAGAATTATGAATATTAGAAAATTAATTCAATTTTATATTCATTCCTTTTGTTTAAAATTTTTTACCATTTTAATAGAATTTTTGAGCTTTAAAAATTGGAAAGTTTTTAAAAAGCTTTATTTATGTGGTAATTTTGTAAAGTTTAATAATATTTATACGCATTGCTCTACTTTTGTATATAGAAATATATCTAATCTCTGAATGGATCTTTGCACTACTGATATATTACCTATAAATACATTTAACACCATGGTAAAATGAATCAAAACTATTTTAGAAATACAATTAGATGATGCACTGAAATATCAGATATTACAAAGATAGGACGTAAAGTTGAAGTTGTTGAGTCCGATAGTTTAATCAAGAATGATTATTTTTTCTCTCTCAAAAATTGATTATTTTCTATTGTGGTTGTTCTGTTCTGTATAATGACTTGCGAAATTCTGTAAAAATTAAAAGGCAATATTCAGAAAGGTAGAAAAGCTAGAAAAATTAAGATATCTTCCACCGTGTTGATCAGATTAAGGTTTTAGGTGTACTGTTGCGAACTGGATCACTTAAAAACTTTAAATTACATCGGCAGGATCCTTTCAAGGGTTTCTTATGTAATAGTAGTATGAATGCAAGATTAATATCTATCCAATCTGGGTCATATATATATATATTCTCCCTGAATTCTATCTGTATAATCTGTGTTTGATATATACTCCCTGGGTCCTATCTGTATAATCTGTGTTTGATATATACACTCCATGGATCCTATCTGTCTAATCTGTGTATGATGTATACTCCCTGGATCCTATCTGTGTAATCTGTGTATGATATATACTCCCTGGATCCTATCTGTGTAATCTGTGTATGGTATATACTCCCTGAGTCATATCTGTATAATCTGTGTATGATATATACTCCCTGGGTCCTAACTGTATAATCTGTGTATGATATATACTCCCTAGGTCCTATCTGTATAATCTGTGTATGATATATACTCCCTAGGTCCTATCTGTATAATCTGTGTATGATATATACTCCCTGAGTCCTATCTGTATAATCTGTGTATGATATATACTCCCTGAGTCCTATCTGTATAATCTGTATATGATATATACTCCCTGAGTCCTATCTGTATAATCTGTGTATGATATATACTCCCTGGGTCCTATCTGTATAATCTGTGTATGATATACACTCCCTGAGTCCTATCTGTATAATCTGTGTATGATATATATTCCCTTGAGTAAAGGTACTACGCCCATATTTCCTAATTAAATAAACTCTATCCAACAGTCTGTCCTCAAACCCCAACCTAACAGGATTAGAATTAAAACAATAAATCTATTTTAAAATTTTGTCATAAATTGTGTAACAATTCATTTAAGAATTTTGCTGTGCAGGGGGGGGGGCTTGTCATGGGGTATAGGCTCACGACGAAAAATATTCGATGGTGATCGCTTCTAATCTTACTCTTAAAATCTTAAAAATTTGCTCCTCATGTAGCTTGTAGATAAGATGGGGAACAAGCAGACCATCTTCACAGACGAGGAGATAGAGAACTACTTGGTGAGCAATATCAGCAACATGGATAACATCATGCGCCTTCATATTAAGTTTTTTTTACCTATCACATTTTTTGCAAGAAGAAATTATAAATTGTAAACAAATTTTGAAGAAAAGCAAATTTGTTTGTCAGATCATATTTTATATTATATTATTTAAAAAGCTGTCTTTGAAGAGACTTGAGAAAATATGAAAAATCAAAAAACAAGTTTAAAATAAGATATCATCCCAACATTGGAAATTGCACGGTCTGAATAAAATAAATTAACTCACAATTAGAAAAAATGGCAAAGTTATTTCTTGAAAACTGTTTTAGGATACTACATTTCTCAACAGAAAGGAGTTTTTGAGAATTTTGCGGAGATTTTTGGAGCTTCAACCTGGATATAAGAAAGGTATTCTTCAAAATGTATTATTTTTTATTACAATTTCGTTCACTATGTCAAAAACTTTCCTTTATCGAAAATATGTGTCCATGCATCAAGAAAATACCTTTCGTAAAAAATCTAATTTTTTCCCCTAGCGTTTTATTTTTAAAATTAAAATCTAGGCTACGTAAAATATACGTTTTTTATACAGGTTGGTACTTAATAATATCGTAATGAGATATTTTTATTTTACTTCATGCAAAGATTATACTTAAAGCAATTGGTACATATATCTTAGCAACACATTGTCGTAGACCTTAGATATTTCATGATACTAATTCTGTTATATCAAACAGTCAAAATTTAAAATGTATGAGGTTTACACAACCAGGTTGCAAAGCAGCAAGGCTAAGGCGTATACAGAGGGGGGGCAAGGGGGCAGTACCCCAACTCCTGTAACCGGGGTGGGGCGTTGCCCCCCCCCCCAAAAAAAAAACTCAGAGCTTTCACACTATTTTTAAATTTGAAACTGAAGAGTGAAGAACATAAAAAAATTAGTTTGCTGTTTTTTTCTGGTAGTTTTATTTGAAGGAGAGATAAAGTAGTACTTGTAGGGTAAGTGGACTTATGTGTACCTTTAATGTATCCAAGAATTTGTTTTGAATTTACAGTTCAAATAGGGGGGGGGGGGGCGCACCCTTGATTTATTTTTGCATACGCCCTTGCTGCAGGGATTTAAAAATTTGAGTTTGTGATAAAAACTCAATTCCTTTGTATACAGACACTGATGTCCATGTAATTGTGAAATGCCAAGCATATTTCGAGTATTGAATTTCTGATAGTTTTCCTTGATTATTAATGTTTGTCATTTTTTTTGTTATGAAATATTGATATTTGCAAAATAAACTGTCAGTTTTTATACAGATTATATCCTCGGGACAATTTTTTCGATAACCCATTTATTTATGAATCTATTTGAGACCATTTTTTGCCACAGTCAAAAGAAACTGAAACTCTAGTTTTATAATCCATATATTTCTGCAATCTGATGTCGTAGATCTTTTATATTTCAAAATACGAATTCTACAAGATCAATATCAAAATCACCCCCTCAGAGCGCAATGATAGGAGGATTAGAAAATTAGAGTTTGTTGCATATGTTAAGTTATTATGTTAGACAATGGCGCAGATTTTGCTAAAAATAAGTTGTATATAAATATATAAATACTTTAAAGACGAATGTACGGGAACTGGAACTGTGAACTTGTTTTCTTCTTTAAAAAATCATCTAGCATCATTTAAATTCAACCTTTACATCATTAAATTTAAAGATCGTTCTCCAAGTCATATCTTTTGTGGGTAACCCTGCATGTTTTCAATTTAATGCAGCAAAACATTCGTGGATCTATTTTTACTAATACGGTTCTTGAAACTAAAACCATAAATAACTTTGAGTCAGAGCTCTTAAAAAATGTGGTCTGTCTTACTTGCGCTTTCAAAATTACTGGAGGTAAACAAATTTCTTCTAGAAATCTAGATTTCAACTGTTGGACCACATGCTTGGTCTACGTTTAAAATATTTAACATTCTTGCACAATCTGAGCTGAAAACTTTAGAATAGGATATCCTTAATCCCGATCAGTTAACTAAACTGGAGATTAATAACAAGAGAAGAACAAGTATTATTTAATCTCGAGATTAAGAAAAAGAGATGGATCAAGCATTAATCCCGATATCGAGCATTCAAAAGTTCCCAGCTCTGGTTGTGATTAGAAAATTTGAATTTGTTTCGAGCTTTTACTTGCTTTATTTGTAGATATATTCATTGAAACCATGTTTCTTTATAAGTGGGTCTTTTCTGTAAAGCATGGGTTTAAACTTATAACCAATACGGCCGAAATTTGAACCATTCGGAATAGAAAAACTAATTTTACGTAATTGTTTAAATTAAGCTTTGTCATTTTGAGAAAATACTCCAATTTTGAAATTAAAAATACAACAAAACTAATCTTAGTTCTTTGGCCTGAAAAAAAAACGTTTTTTTATTGTCTATGCAAAATGATAGCTATGTCATAATTATTACAAAAACAACTTAAAGATTTGAAAAATACTCAATAGATAATGATCATAAAATACTAAAATTCATTATTTTTATCTTCACTCCTTTCTATTCAATATTTCTTGAACCACGAACTATTTCAGCGCTTTGCTTAATTGCGTAGAAATGAGATCATTTCGTGGAAAATTAAGAACTGGTAATTTAATTTCAAATCTAATCAAATAGAAATATATAATCTACTTCCTGTATCAAAACTTTATATGGAATAAATATGAAATATTGATGGGTATTATATACGTAATAAGTATGCAGGGGGTAGTATATTTTTATCTTTCAATAAATGTATATTGTGAACAAAGTATTAAATAACTGCAATTTAAGTACCACTTTTCATTATTTATATATCAAACATAAAAATTTAATTTAAATAAACCAGATGATCTCTCAGAAGACTAATGTTATATCCATAAAACTAATCTAATGTCAATGAAACTAATATCATATTCATAAGACTAATCTTGTATCCATGAAACTAATCTTGTATCCATGAAACTAATCTTGTATCCACGAAACTAATTTTGTATCCATGAAACTAATTTTGTATCCATGAAACTAATATTGTATCCATGAAACTAATTGTATCCATGAATTCAATATTCTATCCATAAAACTAATCTTGTATCCATGAAACTAATCTTCTATATATAAAACTAATCTTGTATCTATGAATATAATCTTGTATCCATGAAACTAATCTTGTATCCATAAGACTAATCTTCTATCAATAAAACTATCCTTGTATCCATGAAACTAATCTTGTATTCATAAAACTAATCTTGCATCCATGAAACTAATCTTCTATCAATAAAACTATCCTTGTATCCATGAATATAATCTTGTATCCATGAAACTAATCTTGTATCCATAAAACTAATCTTGCATCCATGAAACTAATCTTCTATCTATAAAACTAATCTTGTATCTATGAATATAATCTTGTATCCATGAAACTAATCTTGTATCCATGAATATAATCTTTTATCCATGAAACTAATCTTGTATCAATGAAACTAATCTTCTATCAATAAAACTAATTTTGTATCCATGAAACTAATATTGTATCTATGAAACTAATATTGCATCCATGAAACTAATATTGTATCCATGAAACTAATCTTGTATCCATGAAACTAATCTTGTATCCAAGAAACTAATCTTGTATCCATGAAACTAATCTTGTATCCATGAATATAATCTTGTATCCGTGAGTTTATCCTTGTATCCTGGTAGCGAATATGTCTGGATATCTCTGAACTAAGCAGGTGTCCTGAACTCAGAGAAAATCCGTTCCGGAAACGAATTTGCAAAGTTAGTATTTTATTCTCAATCAATCATCAAAAGATATAAAATATAAATTCAACATTTTTAAATTTAAAAGGAAGGTTCACGGTTTAATGCCATGTATGGGCACACAGCTAAAAAATGTATTGTTTTGGAAACTATCGTGGTCTATTTAAAGGAACTGCACACGTAATTTCAAATGACTCTCTATTTAAAGATTGACATGTCCAATTCACAACGGTACCCTTAAAAGCTAGCTTTGTCTTCTTAAAAATGCATGATATATATATCCATTACCTTCTCTTTGAAAATTGATCATTTTCCACTGTGTGTGAATTGTCCATTTCTGCTTTAGAACCAAAGGATAAAAGCCAAAGGTTAAAATTAGACCTTTCAAGCTAGAAAAATGACAATAGCATCCATATTTTTAACGTTGTAAACCGGGCATGCAGTTCTTTAAATGGAAGGTTACATGAAATTACACGGACAGTCCCTTTAAGCCTCTTAATTACTCTGCTAATTAGTCTGGGTCATCATAACATTCAAACATAATTAAAAATAAGTTCCAACATGATCTTGTATTCTATGCTAGGTGTTCTCTAAGGATGGATCAGGGAACCTGGAGTTTAATGAGTTTGTTCAGATGTTCTCCTGTCTCTGTGAAAACTCGCCGAGGTAGAATACTTTAAAGGGACTGTTAACACAAATAAAATTGACTCTCCATTAAAGGGACTGTGAGCGTAGCTTCAAGGGACCCTCTATACAAAGATGGTAGTGCCCGATTTACAACGGTACTCTTGAAAGCTTTGTCCGATCAATTATGAATTATATATTAATTGTTTTGTTTCTTTAAACCATTTCTTTTCATTTGCGGGTTTCATCTTGTCTAAAAGAGAAACCAAGGAGAAACTCACAGATTAACTTTATAAATAAAGATATATTTCACATGTTTCATCAGATAAAGGTTTAAAGAGTAAATTTTGCGTTGACATCTTTACATGGAGGGTCACTTAACATTACACTTACTGCAGTTTCTTTTAGAACGTTCCATTCTCGTTTTAGAGCGGTATATGCTTTCATTTAAGCAATAATGAGGAAGATATCGTCATTTCTATCTGGAAGATTGTTGATTGACAATCTTTGTCTTTTCTGTAAACATCCGCAATTTTATCGAGAGGCCATTATTGGAACTTATCAAAAATATCTTAGTAATATTTGTCCAAACGAAGTGTATCGAATTGTTAATCGGGTATTCCCTCTTTAAATGGAGAGACACATGAATATACGTGGAACAGTCTCTTTAAAAGACAATAAATTACTCGTGAACTTCCATCAATCAATGTAAGAATGTTATAAAGCTGTAAATGATGGGGTTGGTAAAATTAAATCTAAGAAATGTTTTTGATAGAAAATTTTCACAAACTTTAAGTCCAAAATATAAAATGTATAGTCTACACCCAAAGAGAATAGATTAATATAGAGTGGAATTAACTCGAAAAAACTTCTGGGCTCTGGAACAATTGTGCACGTACAAATTTACAAATTACGTTTTTTTACATTTTGATGTTTTATAAAATAATAATTTTAAGTCACCTATAGCTAATACATACGTTAAAAGTTATTTAACAAATTTTTGAAAAAAAAAATTGAAACGGATATGTCCAGGGATCATACTGTATTAGTGTGAGTCGGATTATTGAATGATTCTAAAGATGATTTTTATATCCCTTTCTCTCTTTTATTCTAACTTGACAATAATACGTTCATCCTTTCCAAAATGTCGTCTTCATTCCTATTTAACATTTTTATCCTCTAAATCACTTATTGTTTTATAGTTTTACACACACGTATTTTATTCTATCTGTATCTTTATACTAAACTTCAATATATTGCTTATTCTCTTTCAATACAGTGGTTCTCAAAAAACATCTATTCCTTTGCCCAATCTTTCCAATCACTCTAACTACCAATATAACAACCCTTATTTTCATCCTAGCTCTCATTAATTCCTAATCCCAAATCTTCCAATCCCAAATTTCTCTACAGCTTAATTCCATCCCAATCCCAACTTCCTCTTTAGTTGATATCCTTTCCAATTCCCAACCTATTTTACCTACTCCCAATTGGTTCTATCTTATTAATATACCTTATTCCCAAACCAAGTCTAATCCCAATATCTTGAACATTAGTTGATAATCGTTTGGGATCCCAATAGTTTGGTTACGACACTATAAACTTTTTAAATCATGCTTTATTTATGACAAATGACAATGGACAAGAAAATATGAATTTTAGAAGTATTAGAAAGAAATAAGCCTGTGCAAAAAAAAACCAGCCTGTGTCAATATTTTGCGCAGTATTATGCTGCCTAGCTAAAGGGGTGTTTAGATCCCTTGAAACAAAAGTTATTAATATGTTTTCATGTTTTCACTTTTATATCTTTTTTAAGCCTAAAAGTGTTTATATTGTCAAATATTACTATCTTTAAATTTGCCCTGCATTTGGCAATCTGCAAAAAGCAGGCTAGACACAGTCGATATAGAACCAGTAAAGAGGAAGGATTCAAGATGTAACTCTACAAAGAAGAAAAGAACTGTTCGACCCGCGTACCACCCTCGCTGTCAAAGCGAGTGCCAAGAACCCTGTATTCTTTATGTGACCAGATCTGATCAATATACTTCTTTAATTTGCAACCACATCGATTCATGAGAGAGAGAGAACATCATATTGCTGGTTAAAGATTAAGAAGTCTTTTATATATTCTTTTATATATTCTACCATCTCAAGCCACCCTCCCCAACTCAACTTCCAAATACTTCCTCGCCAATTCACATCTTTCTCATTTTCTGAGACAAGTGTGATGTCCTGTGTATAATACGTGAACATTTGCAGGAATTCTACACTTTGAATTCCTTTTCAGGCTCAAAGGGACTGACAAAATACACACCGAGAGATTGTCTAATTTCCTTTCTATTCTAGTCTCTGTTCTGTGTCTACGCGCCTTTAGAAGCTTCTTAGATAACCTATAACATTTTGTTGATATCTTTATTTTTCTGTATGGGAGTCGATAATCTAATTTTATGATAGAAGACACACGATATCTGGCTCACTGCTACGTATAGATAGAAGTTTAAGGATACCGAGGTGGATCGAAAATGTATCTCTTCTCTGCAATTTTATAGGAACCTAAAGCATTTTTTTTAAATAATAAAATCCTTCAAGAATTTTAGAGTGTCAATATCTAAGATTTGAAATCAATTTCAAAATTCGTCCGAACTCTCAATTCTCATATTATTTCTAGGAGAGCTATTCTCATATTTCTTACATTGTAAAGGAAGAAATATTTCCTTTTGATTGATTTGATGGAGAGATAACTTTACTATATTTGCATCTTGAAACTCTCAAACAGAACTGCCAAAATTGTTTTTTTATACGTCATATGCATATTATTTTAATTCGATCCATTGATCTTGAGAAGTTAACTGCAGTGTTAGGTGGATTTGGATGTTTTGTACTAGAGCGGAAATTCAAGAAAATTCAAATGTTTAATGACCATAAAACAAACAAAGGAACTTACTTTTTGCCACAAACTCTCATCCTTATATCTTTGCAACATAATGGTGTAAACCTTTGATATTTTAAACTTAAATTATTTGATCCAACAGAATTTACAGTTTGCAATGGTCTATGGTCGATCTATGACCTTAGGTTTGAAAGATAAAGGGATTGGAAAAGCCGAGTTTGCGGCAAAGACTAAGTTCCTTTAGAAGTATAAAGTAGAGAGTGTTCCATATAATATTGAATCATCCGGGCTTTAAATTAAGATAATCCAAGAACACTGTTTTCTGTAACAAAATTTTTGTAAATTATTCTGTAAATTTTTTTAAATGATTATATATTTTAAAAATCATTTTCCCCCCGAAATATCCTGAATGGCTTTGGTTACCCTGCAAGTTGTGCCTGAACTATTTTATTATTGTTTGTATTCAGCAAATCCTATAAATTAAACATAAGGTTATATATGAATAATTTGTAGAAATAAAAATCAATTATCCGGAAATTAACGGAAAATCGGAAAACAGATAAATTCTGCAAAAGGGAACCTTTAAAGGTACGGTCGTAATTTTAAGTGACCCTCATTTTAAAAGGACAGACCGGCTATGAAAGGTAGTTGAACTGAGTATGTAGTGTTGTGGAAAACTTCTTTCGGATTTATTTCAGATATTTAAAACTTTTTAAAGAGCCGTATATCCTGAGTTTGAGCACAAATTTCGACGTTCAAATCTCCTACTTTTGGGGGTGGATACGTTTTCAGAATTAGTTTTTTTTTAATTATTAAATAACGACGACAAAAAATGTAAACAAAACTCTACAGTAAACTAATTATTTCTTTCGGAACCGGTTGAGAAAATAAAAATTAATCTTGTCATCAAAAATAGGTAATCTTATTCAATTATTAGTTTCTATTTTCTCATTATTCTATAGTTCTCATTATTCAAAAAAATTTTCTGCAGATTTTCTTGAATTATTATTGAAAAGAAGACATTTGAAGAATTTGAAGAAATCTGCGAATAAATTCAAAGAAAATAAGAAATTCAATATAATGATGAAAACGAAATAATTGATTCTAGCATTGATTTATTGACAAATTTCTTTTGAGAAATATGTTTTCAACTATCTAGTTTGATCACTGTATGATTTTTACTTTATTTTTCGTCGTCGTTATTTAGTAATTTAGAAAAAAACAGATTCTGAAAACGTATCCACCCCCAAAGAAGGAGTTTTGAACGTCGAATTTGCGCTCAAACTCAGGATTTACAGATCTTTAAAAAGTTTTTTTTATGTCTCAAATGAATCCGAAAGAAGCTTTCAACAACACTGCATACTCAGTTCAACTACCTTACATAGCCGGTCACTCCCTTTAAAGAGGGCAATGCCCAATTCACAACGGTACACTTGAAATCTTAATCTGCAAAGAAATAATGTGAAAGATGACGTCATTTTTCTGGCTTGAAAACGGTTAAATTTTGATAATATCTCCACTCTTTCTAAAGTAAGAAATGCGCAAAAAACAACAAAACTGCAAATGAAAATAACACACACAAAAAAACATAAATATCTACTTCACTCTTTATCATACAAAAATTGAAAGGTTTAAGATTTAAGATTTAAGAGGTTCTCACGTCTCAAGGGACTGGAATTGACATCACCTTTCTTTTAAATTGTTAAAATAAATCCTGTCTAAATTTTCTTTTATGTTTGAAGGGAGCTGAAACTACACTACGCTTTCTCCATATATGATATAGACGGGGACGGGTATATCAGCAAACAGGATATACAGCAGGTAACAGAATACAGAAACGTACTTATATCAACCGATCTAGAGGAGACGAAGTTATAGGGTTTCTGACCTTAAAATTGTTTTTTACATTGTCTATTTGATTGTCTCAAAACCATTAAGTTCGATTTCCCGACTTCCAAAAATCAAAAAATTTGATTGTCCTTAAATTTCGAAAGGATTTACAAGGTAAAGCTTTAGAAAGAACAGCAAAAACTCGGCACAAGCTCTAATTTTCTAATCCTTATCTTTGTAACTTTAATATTTTAAACTACGAATTCTGCTGGATCAAATAGTCAAAGTTTAAAATATCAAAGGGTTTCAACATCAGGTTGCAAAGATATATTAATTGAAAAATTTTAGTTTTTGGCAAAGATTTGTTCCTCTTTCCAACTTTCCATATTTGTTAATCTTGAGGTTGTTCAGCTAGTTTCCCAGGGTGAGTTAAACAGCACTGAACTTGAGGCAGTCTGTCGTCAGGTAAAAGGCACTGTAAACGTATCTACATGTATATCCCAGTCATATAGGGCAAACCAGGCGGATACGAAGAAAAGCCCTCTTCAAAAGTTGTACTTTTAATGGAATATTGAAATATAGCCAATCAGGGGGCGGAATTAATCCCAGTACACTGTACAGTACAAGGATAAAGTCGGAACAGTACACTGTACAGTACAAGGATAAAGTCGGACCAGTACAAATTTGGTAGAGCTTTTTTAATCCCTCACATTCTGACATGACAGTGAAGGTGTAAACTAACATGAAAACTCTAAAATTTGTAACTAAAAGGTACCTGGTACGTAAGCTAAGCCAATTATACCGCTCAAGACATGTCCCTGGGGCCAGATTTATCGGTTATTTTATTTAAATATTTATATAAGACTATCTAAAGGGCAAGGCGTAAAAAAAATTGGGAAAAAAATAATTAAAATTTTTTTTTTTTTTTTATCAATTTTTTTGCCTTTGTTACCCCCGGGCTACCCTTGAGTGCCTACATGTCAGCCCATTCGGTCCAGCCGTTTGGCCGGCCAGTGGGAACATAGAAACAAATGTCTTGTTTTATTATATAGATTAATTCATAGAGTTTCTGTCTAAATCACCAATATTTTCTAATCCCTCCTGCTTTGCAACCTGATGGTTTAAACCTTGGATATTTCTAACGTAAATTATTTGATCTAACGGAATTCATAGTTTAAAATATCTAAAGTATTGAGTTGAAAAGACATATGTTTTAGTAAAGGAATTGAGTTTTTGCCGCAAACTCTAATTTTCTAATTCCTATATCTTTGCAACGAAATGGTATAAACCGACAATATTTCAAGAATAGACTATTTGATCTAACAGAATTCATAGTTTGAAATATCAAAGGTCTACGACATCGGGTGGTTAAGTTATAGGGGGGAAACAGTTAGAATTTGTGACAAAAACTCATTTCCTTTGTGGCAATGGCTGAATTCCTTAATAAGAATCCTTAATATGAATTTCATACCCTATGCTTACTTTGAAAGAAAGTAGAGATGATTCTTGCTCTAATGGACATCTTATAGAGGTTAGACTGACCAAATCATGAATTCCAATCCCTTTAATAGGTCCTAATGTCTCCAATATTAAATATTCCAGGTCCTTGAAGAGTCTGATTTTGATGATGACGAGCAGCTGAGTAAAAATGAGTTTACACATATTGTGGATAAATCCCCAGACTTCTTCACAACATTCAATATTAGGATTTAAACAAGATCAAAATCACTTCAAAATAAAGTGAAGTTAATTTATGATTCATAATCCCTATTTTGAAAAGCTTAAGAGGAGAACAAAACTGTTTTGAAAATTTTATACGTTATGTGACCGGAAACAGTTTCTTATGCGTAAAATCCAAACCAGGGAGCTAGGAGGGCACAAAGTCGTGCTAATATTGTGGCATTTATTTGACCTTCCTCTGTTTGGTTCAGTGTGGAATATAAATCCTTTCAAAACAAAGGTTCGTCTGTTTCAATTTAAACTTTCCTTTGCTTCTAATTAAGCTGCCTGGAGCTTGACATGAGCCTGCAGGATATGACGCTTTGACTGTACATCTGTAGGTTGATCGTTGATTAAAATAATATTAGCTGTTCCTATATAAATGATCTTTAAGTAACTGAATAGTTTCCACTTCTTTAATTGTCTAATTACTATATTTGTACAACTCGATGGTGTAAACCTTAGATATTTCAAACTATGGTTATTAGAGTTCATAGTTTGAAATATCAAAGGTCTACGACAACAGGTTGCATAGATATGAGGTTAAAGAAAATTGTAGCAAGTGTTCAGCTTCTTAGTTTTAGTTAGTTATGTATAAATAGTATCTTATAGTAAATGTAATATGTATGTATATATATATATATATAGACATATATAGTAAAATCTATGGATTTCAGGGGGTTTTCAGGCCCCAACGGGTGCCCCCTCTGAATAGAAAAAAAATGTAAGTCCCCCCATGGACAAATCCATGATTACGCCCCTGAATACAAACAAGCTTATTCCCCTTCTCACCTACCCAAATATTAAAAAAATCTTTTTTTTGCGTTTGTCCCCGATCTTAATATATCTCATTATTTAAATATTTAAAACTCTCTGTGTAAAATATATCTTTGAAAATAAAAGTAAAAATGCCTAGTTGCAAATTATTAGAGTATTTAATTTTATTTTCAGTCTTAACCAATTCATTTTTAATCTCGATAAAACCAATGTTTCAAAGGAAATAATTTGTTTTAAAATTTAAATTTTTTATTTTCTCATTGTTAGGTTAAAAATAGACTTTTAAAACTTAAATTTGTTTATCTAAAAGAATTTTTTTTAGAAATCTCTCTTAAACAATTTGCTAATTTCACCTTGCAAAACAAACAGCAGTGAAAATCTATACCGGAGCTGTTTTTTCTTCGGNGCCAGTCAGAACAATTATTAGAATTGCGCGTTTTCCTTCGCGCTCTATATGTTATTATACATAATGTCTATCCAGGTTTAAAAGTTATGATATTTATTAAATACATGAAAAAAGATATGAAAAAATTCTGATCTGTTCAGTCAGCAAGCTAAATTTTTGAAAAATTATTAATTTCAACCTAATTATTTTAGATGCTTAAACACAACTACTGTTGTAATTAAAAGTTTACATGGATAATTAATTTTGTGTATTTATCAATTAATCTTCCTGTAGTTTTTTGGTAAATAAGTAAATAATTATAATAAATCTTAAAAACTTATTTTTAGTTTAGAGTGAAGCGTTTAAAACTCTAATTTTTCAAATAATATTAGGATTATTTCATTATATATCAGCCAAAGGTATTAATCTGGCAGCACAACCAGAAAAGTGGAACGTTTAATCTGAAATAATTCTGGGGGTTCACATAGACTAAAAAAATTAAATTTATGAAATTAAACGACCAGTGCAGGCCACTTCAGATAAAATCATAATTTAATACCAAGCGAGGGTGAAAGGCTGGAATAATAAAAAACCCTTGACAACGTTGAGTACCCCACTAGTAGGTAATCAAAATCGTCTTTTTTCTAATAAACATTGTCGTCAATAATTCTGAAAAAAAAAGAAACTACAATAAAAGTGATATATTAATATATTTTAAGTTACAGTGCGTTCACAGATTTGATTGGTCCAAACCCAATATGGATTGTACAGTACAATAATAATGTATAATACCGTATATATATATATATAAATATAAAGACGCAAAAAGCAAGATGGCAAAGCAGTAAAATACTGAATAATTCAAGTTAACAATGTTTACGTAACAAACGCAGAAAAGTAACACACAAAATGACCAGTGCTTTGAGAAGATTTTTCTTTCGATTCTTTATAATTCTGTTGATAATTTTCTAGTGAAGTAAAAATACTAAAATACGATTATTGTGTAAAAAACTTCCATTGAGGGATTTTAAAAAAATGTAAATAATGGTTATAAATAATAGTTTGAAGAAATGTAACGGACAATAAACATACCCATCAGATAATGTTAAACAAATAAACTAAATTAACAAAATTAAAAATCTATAAGGTTTACAATTTACTTTAAGTGGCCATACATCTACGGTAGGTGTATTATCAATAATTCATAATTTCACAACTGATTCCGCGACGATGACGTGGCCGAGTATAGCTGAGATTTGCTTACATTCCGACCAATTAGTGTACAGCCTCCTACTCTAAGAGTAACACAAAAAAATCAAAGAAATTGGTTTTTGTCCCTTAACAATTAAAAACAAGTTTTAACTTTATATGATTTACAAATGTTAAATTTGTAAGTAAAATACAGATTGCTTTCCTATCTTAGCAGTTAAAGGGACTGTAAGCTTTATTTCAAGCAGACCTCAATGCAAAGATGACAATGCCCGATTCACAACCGAACCCTGAAAAGCTTTTTCTGAACAATTATGATTTAGATATCAATGTTTATAATTTCAAAAACTAAATATTTTCAATCGTTGTTCTCTAAGGAGTGATTTGCACATTTATATGAGAAATTAACACTATTAAATCTGAAAAAACGACAATATCTTCCAAATTATTTATCAGATACAGGTTTAAAGGTCGCTTTGTGATCCAGCTTTGCCATCTTTGCACGGAAGGTCGCTTAAAATTTCACTTTAAAGTAAAATCTTGATTGTCAAGAGTTAGTGCACTGTGCAATATAAACATTTTGGCACTAAATATGAAATAGTAAATATTGATGTTTTGAGTGAAGATAATTCTAATTTCTAATGTGAAAACTGTCCTATTTTTGTTGTTGTTGATAATGAATATGCTGTATTGGAACTTTAGTTAAGACTAAAAGGGGTAATTTGTATTTATGGACCCATATTTAGGTGTCTAGACGTAGAAGGCACGTCTTTTAAGCTCCGTTGAAAATTACTTTCCACATTTTTAAAAATGTCTTTTGTTCACCCAGGTTAAGAATCAATTTTGTGAAGCGGACTTTGGTGCGCCGACAGATCCCAAAGATGTAGTTGTTCCTCCCGCCTGTCAGGATTATACATGGCCGGTCGCACCGGCGCATACCAGCCCTCCCCGGGCACGGACGTTCGTGAGAGTGCGACGAGTAGGAAGACGACATAAATATTGATTGAGATTAGTTCTACAAGAAGAATAGGACCAACGGAGGAGATACCGAAGGGAAGAGGATCTTTGTGAAACTCCGGGTTCCAGTGAAGGCACAGCTCCAATACTAATCTAGAAATAAATAGATATATCAATAACATAACATTAAAATAACTAATATTAAACTTCCAAAAGATCGGGTTATGGTTTTAACTTATGCTGCTCATCTTTTAACAAAACAAATCAATTTTATATTCATAATTTTCTATATTTTTCAATGAAAACAACAAAGAAATGCAAATTGGTTTTTAAAAACAAGCTTTAAGATAATTAGCTCACGCCCATAGTAGATAACAGGCCCAGTCGCAATTAAATCTTATCCTAGCAATTAAAATTAATCATATCATTACTTACTCAAATAAGGTTGTGGTGAGGGGAAGGGAGGAGAACTAACCTGAAGATGAAGGTTGTGGTGAGGAGAAGGGAGGAGAAAAGGTTGTAAATAAGAACTCCCTTTAATCTCCAGGCTCTACTTGTGGTTGGGTAACTGAAATAAAATTAATTAAGATACCAATTAATTAAATAATTGTGCAAACAAATAAACAAACGTTTTCGTTTTTCTTTCGTTCCCAAATATTTTATTTCTTCTTCTCTAATAATTAAGAATCATCCCCCCCCCTCACCCCTCAAACGAAGTTCGGAGGGGAAGGGGGTTCACTCCCTGTTCTATGGTCTAATCAGTGGATTAATAGTGGTATTCACAATTGTTTCTGATCGATTGATAAAGTATAGTTTCCAGGGGATTAATGGATATATCTAGTAACTATCAACTGTACCTGATACAGTTCACTTTAATCATGCAATATACTTTATCTACAGGGTTACAGGATATCAGACTTTACAGACGACTGCAAGGAACTTTATTTTCTTACATTCAAGGTTCCTTTATGCATCAAACTAATAGTTTCTTTCTTCGCAAAATCTATAAGCATACCATAAAAACTTATTTATGGCAAAGGTACAAATTAGACCTTGAGCTATATTAAGTTTAAATCTTCATTACATTCTTATATTAAGAACCATGTTAACACTTAAACTAAAGAATATCCTTATTAATTTTAACCATCTCACTGATTTTCTTAAATCTAAAAGAAACTGATTTTTTGAATGCCACAAACTTTGATTTTCTTATCCATTTATCTTCGCAACCCAATGTCATGGACCTTATATATTGTAAACTATGTATTCTGTTAGATCAAATGATATAAGTTTAAAATATCAAAGGTTTACACCAACAGCTCTGGTTCCGGTGCTCCTTTAAAAAGGAAATAAAAAGGCAACTAACATTCTCATTATCGTCTTAACTTAAAATTTACTAATAAAAATTACACATTAAGGTTTAAAGGAAATCATTTGGAAATTTTTTTGAATAAAAAAAATTAGGTTGTTCTTAAATTGTTGATAAATAATAATGTAATTAAATAAAATCTTCAATGCAAGTTCCAACTTTCTATTTTGTTTTTTGAATATTCCGCTTCTAAAATATAAGATTGATTTTAATTTTCAATTTTGAGGAATATGCAACAGTTACATCAGGAAAACCCCTATTTAAAACAGGCTTAATATGTTAATTTTGATTAATTTGAGAAATCGAGAATCCATAGGATGGCCATTCTAGGTATTTAAATACGAGATGACTGAAATTTTTGGGAAAAAGCCTGTTAAAGGAAAATGTTAAATTCCTGATAAAAAAGCAAATGGGATACATTGGGTTCAGAAGATGTGTCTGCACTCTGCAGTCAACCAAACAATCCAGAGATGACTTCAAGGATGTACACGGGTTGGAAGATTTAAGCCTCAATAACTTTCCCGAAGAAATTCTGCGCCAATGCATTTTTCGGAGTATATTATTTTTACAAGGAAGATATAGGAATCGGTAATTTGAGTTTGTGGCAAAGACTCAATCAATTCCTTTCACGAAATATTTTTCTAAAACTGATTTAACTAATTTTTAAATTTATTCAATTTTTTCTGGGATAGTGAAAGGTATTCTTTTGTGAAGAATAAATTTATTGACTTAAAGCCAATCTAAATATAATATTGACACGCACCCCCCCCCCCTGGTAACATGGGGCTTCCCCCCCCCATTACAACAACCAAAAAGTCCATATCTTGATTTATTGAAGTATAATCGAGAAATGAAATAACAAAACACCATTAATCATTATATTACGTAAAAAATAAGTATTCAAGAAATTTTTTTTTATATTATTTTAGATAATTTGCAATTAGAGAAAAAACTATTTTTAATATATCTATCAGGGGCGGATACAGGGGGGGGGGCGGGGGGACATTCGCCCCCCCCCTGAGATTTCGAATTTTTGTTCATATTTTCAGAATAGCTTCTCTATAGCATGCTTAAGGGAAAGAACCCCTAGTGCAAAACAGGAAAAATATTTGTCTTAATAAACTATAATGTGTGAAAAGTTAAAAATCTAGTTTTTTAGTCTTCAGTCATTAATTTTGACTCTTTTTGAGCCTTTTAGGTCAAAAAAAAATTTCGCCTGCGCCGCGATTTTTTGTTCCTTATTATGAATTTTTTTGTTCCTAAAAAATCTTGCCCCCCCCCCCCCTCACTTAAATCCTGTATCCGCCCTTGATATCTATCTTTTGGAGTTTATTTTGTATTTAATAAACGTAAAAATGGCTGAACTGATCAGGCCATAATTTTATGTTGTAACTCACTTAACCCCAGGGAAAGTTTATGGCCGGTCAAAATAGAAAAAAGATATGAAGCGCCCTAAAAGAAAAATATATAATTATTCCACAGAAATATCTATTTTTACCTCGATCCTTTACTCTTTTAACTTTTCAAGTTTTCGTAGAGAGTCCGCCTCTTTTAAATTTCTCTTAGTTTCTCTCATATATAATTCAAAATCAATTTGGGAAAAGCACTTTTTCTTTTTACTATTTAGAAAAGTATATTTAACCTGCGAAAACTTAAAGAAAAAGTTTTCCATAACATAAATATTTAATATGACATTATATTACCATAAATTAATTTTAACACGCAGCGTCTAATTTCTGCGACAGATATCCTCAATTTAGAGGATAACACTGATTCACAGCCAAACATTTATATTATCATTCCCTGTTAAATGGGAGGTAATTGTAATTACAAGTGACCCTCCATGCAAAGATGGCAATGCCCAATTCACAACGGTACCCTTGAAACATTTATCTTATCAATTATGTGGAAGATTTGGCCGTTTTTCTAGATTTGAAGTGTTTCGTTCTAATAGTTTCTATATGTTTCTTTCAGCAGTAGAAATTCAAGTCAAGTGTGTAGAAAAACCACAATTGAAAAAATCTTTTTTCAAAAATATTACCAATAATATCTAATTTATGCTTGACCAGACAAAGCTTTAAAGCGTATCTTTCTTAATCAGGCCTTGTCCTCGTTGCGATGAGGGAAATTACGCTTACAGTCCCTTTAAACCTCTACTTATTAAACCAATACGTGCAGTGACAAGAAATCCAGCATGTCTTCAAATTGAAAACGACTAAGGAGAGTTCGATCAATAAAATTTCCTTTTTCAAGAGTCTTTAGCAAACTCTTTTTGCAACTTTGGTTAACATAAAGAAAAAAAATTGTTTAAAGTGAGAATACATTTATGTTTTCCGTTTTGCAATTCAAAGAACATTTTTAGCAATTATAAGAATATGGTCATGTTAGTTATTATAAACATTAAACATAGCTGATTTACGTTAGTAGGCGATTATATCCATTAAATGAAGACAACTTTTGATTTCAATTTTGATTTATATTAAGCTTTTAAACAGCATGAATACACAAAAATATGGAAACAAAGAGAAGCTGCCAATAAAAAAGCTTCTCTTTATTTACTTGTAAACTTGTAATTCGAAAAAAGCTTGTTAACAATTTTAACCTTTATATAAAAAAGTCGTCTTCATTACATTGATATCTAGAAACCAATCAGACCAAGGGGCAATTAAACTGATTACCTTTCATATCAGTTTAAACTAGAATAAACCATAGAAGAATTTCTTTAAAGTTCAATTTGGCAAAGAAGGTTTCCGCTCTTTTAAAAAAATGTTTAATTTATCAACTTAAGTTCTTAGAACGCTAAAAGGTTTACTCTGTTTTTTATCACAAGAAAACAAATATGCCAACCCCTATGTCAAATTTTTTCCCAAAAATTTTTTCTTGACCCTTTAACAATCTCTGAAATTCTTCCATAAAAGGAAAATTAATTTTTGAAAGAAGATGAAAAAGGATTCTAAAAATCAAGAAATAAATCCAAAAGAAAAAATGTCAAAACTACTTTGATAAAAACTTAAAGTTCAACAAGAGAGATCATTTTTTTGAAAATCATAAGATTCATATAAATATTGAAGAAAAACTAAACATTCAATATAACTGCTGAATTTTTTTTGAAAATACTGCTTCTGAGGGAAGAGAAGATATTCTTAAGAGACGAATACTTTTTTTCATTTTTTAAAATTTTTGTTTGACCTCAAAACTCACCAATAGGTTTTTTTGCATTTCTATCAGATTTACAGAAAATTTTGAATTCCAATTTATTTTGGATTGAATGCTTGGTTACTATTGGAAAGGTTCCTAATGAAAACTAAATTGAATCTGAGAAACTTTAAACCAAACCATCAAGATGTAGAGAGAGAAACCCCAACAGAGGAACAACTTATTTATTTAATTTGTCCCTTCTATAAAATGAAATAAATAATCTGGAAATTATCTAACTTTTTATTTTATTAAGGTTTATTTTAATTTTTTTGTTAATTTAATCATTTTTCTCATATTTTACATTAACTCTTTCATTAATCTATCTTTTTTTACTTATCATCGTAAGTGATTATCTTCTTTCCTCTCCTTTAATAATTCTGTTAAATCGTTCGCCATTGTCATCAGTAAACCTAAATTTCTACCATCCATTTTGTACACCAAATGAATGATCCCCTTTTAGTGAATGCACGTGGCCTTGCAAGTTTAATTTTCAAAAGATCTTATTATCTATTTTCCATTTATTTTCAATATAAATTAAATTATTTCCTTTTTTATTTAATTTAGGTTCATTTTATTATGTTTAGATAAGATTAACAATATACTTACTGTATTGATATATCACATATAACTCTGAAGCTGATGATGGCCAGGTAGGACTGGAAACAAGCAACCCCTACAGCCAGGCAGAATATTAACCCTAGGGATACGTAGGTCGTCTTCTCCTGCCAATGATTGTTGAAGGGATTGTGAAGAAAAGGGAAGCAAAGGAATGTAAATGTAGTAAGGGCAAGGACGCATCCCAGGATAACCAAGGTGATACATCTCCAATAGTATCTTGTAGTACGCTCCCAGGGTTCATTATCCGCCAGCTTGTCCAGGGTGAAGATAATCCAGAAGAGGACCAGGACGGAGAAGGTCAGGATCTGTGTAATATACTCCAGGAGAATTAGATGAGGTATAGGAATCTGGGATACAATGAGTTCCAAGGGAATGTTATTGACTACCTGCGCCAATCCTGCAGTAATAACCAACCTATCTGGAATATTTATGTAGAGATCGTTCCTGCACAACCGAACCATAAACCAAACCAGGGAGAAGAGAAGGAGAGGCAGGAACACGCACTTGATGTAGAACCTTATCTCATGGAACCCCTGGCTTTCAGTTATAACGGAGAGATAACTAATCAAGGTTCCGTTCGTCTCAACCAGGTTGATTGCACTGGGTTGTATAAGCTTCTCTATACTAAGAGATGTTATGTAGGTTGAGTTGGATATAGGGAAGAGCTCCAGGAGCGGATATATAACACAGAGGAAGGATAGCTCTGATACTTCTCCAGTATCCGCCTGATCAGGACTTGGAACATTCCTACAGTGCATAGTTCTATTCTTATTTCTTATCCTAGCTTTAGAATGCCAGGCGGAGGAGAATGATTCTGCATCCGAATCCTCTAGGTTAGAGTTTAAGGCGTAATCTATACTGCTTGATATTACAACGGACTGCTTAAATTCTGCAAGGTTGACTAGAGAGGAGTTTTCATTCTGATCCGTTATTAGATCATCTCCGAATACTTTGAAGAAAATACTTAAACTCCCGGTCAGTTTCCAGTTCCATACGTTGAAATTATTCTCACGTGGAAACTTAAAGGACATCATCAGGTTGGACAAGGAGACCATCTCTCCTTCACTTTTAGACACGCACCCGAAGTTCTCACATCCATCGCAGCTGAGTGGTCCTGTCAAGGTTTTAGACTGACAGTGTGATCCTTGGAACCTGTCTGCTTGGAGGAGACCCGGAGAGAACAGGAAAACCAGGATTGAAGTTCCAACATGGAGAACTATTACCAGGATTATCAAAGATATGGATAAACCCTTGCTCCATCTCTGAACCTGAGTTCCCTGAGAGCTAATCATTTTGAAAATATATTATATTTTCATCTTTGTTATTGTTTATATCCTTGATCAGCTGATACTGTATTTGCACAGTGTTTTCTCACTGAATAATGCACTTATCATCACATTTAGTTGCTCTACCTGCCTTTCTTCCATTGTTAATTACAACATCCGGAGACGGTATAAATATAAGGCCGGAAGGGCGGATGAAGGGAGGGATATACCGGAATTGTCTACAGCTGTCAGGTGTTGCCTACCTACGCTGTTCTAGTTGACTGAGTTTTGGAAATATCCAAACCAAACCCTGGAGTCAAACCAAATAATCTGCTTTCACCTGAAAACCGCGAAACCTCGAATATTTGGCGGGAATTTCACTCCTTCGAGCACATAGATTAATGAGATTGAAGGGGTGGCTCTAAGAGAATCGTGTGGGGAATGTGAGTGGTTAATAATAATAATAATAATAATAATAATAATAATAATAATAATAGTAATAATAATAACAATAATGATATAATTTAAATAAAAAAGTATATACACAGAATTTATTCTGGCTACATTTAAAAAAAAATTCAAAATGTACATATATAGAAAATATAGTCATACATTACAAGATTATTAGCTACTGTTTATGCACATATATGGACATATATAAATATATATATATAGAATAGCATTTTCACATGCTTTTACTACTATAAAGAGGGTTTAAACTTCTTCAGCAAGAATCAATCTGTAAAAAATTGGCTTCATACATATATACAAACTAAATACTGGGTACATGATACTAGGTGCATGATACTGGATACTGGATACATGATACAGGGTACATGATACAGGATACAGGATACTGGATACAGGATACTGTGCCTACATAATGTTTCTTGTTTTATATTGATGATACGCATATAAATTTTTGATAAATCAATTTAATAATTTATTTTCAATTTTTTACCTGAAAACTGATGTTATCTTTGCTTTAAACATTAAAACATTAAGATATTTTTTAACACAAATATTATGCGTAATATATATTCATTTACTCCAATGCCTATGTACATTGAACATATATGTACGGCAAATGTTCTAAATTGTAAACATATCAACAAAACAGATGTATAAAATACGGGACATTTTGTTTTTTAACAATTATTTATTCATGACTGAATAATCAATTAAAATCTTAAATAGTTGTTTTCATCTATAAAACCCTAATATCTTTAAAATCTGTAAACCTGTATTCTGTAAACCCCCCCCCCCTGGTGAGGCCAACAATGAACACTATGTGTATGTTCATTCTACAGGTTTCTTCCACAAAAAAAACTCTATCAATATGATTGAATAATCCAGGGGCGGATCCAGAATACATAGTTCACACGGGGATACCGACATTCATCCCCCCCCTCCTCCTCTTTCTGCTTTATGTTGCAGGTTGGAGGGGGGCCTTGCTCCCCCCCCCCCTCCACACCCACATCCACCCACCCAGATGTATGCCGGCATCATTTTGGCGGGAAAATATATAGATAAACATATGCGTGTATAGATAGATAGATAAATAGTTCTCCACAGGTGGTAGAATTCAGATTTAGAGAGAGATAGAGACACTGGGGACATGATGATAGACAGATATGAGAACAAAATATGACATAATAGACATCTTGCCAGGAATTTGACAATATTTTTAAAAAATCACTATTTGCACATTTTTTCTACAGTAAATTACTATTAAACTATTTAAAAAGATGGATTTATTTGAAATGTTTTTATGCTTTCAAACCTTGAAAAATAAGATTTAAAAACAAAGAATTATTCTACAACTTAATAATAATATATTTCATTTGAACATATTTCTCATTTTATAATAAATCTTTTTAGGTTTTAGGATTTAAGGCAGGGGTCTTCTTACAGAATTATATTCAACTATAAACTATATTTTTAACAACAAACTAACCAGGAAGAGAAGGTCAAATTCAATAGACATTACTGTTACGACTTTTAGATTCCGTTGCTCCTCTAGTTCTGATATTATGCATAAGTGTAAATCAAGCTAATTTATTTTAAATTCAAAACATTTTTGTTCTTATCTATAGCTCTTCAATAATTAAAGGAGTAATGATGAAAACATATAAGATAAATCTTCCATGCATTTTACTTCAGTTTGACGTGCACATGTTATATGAGTTTATTCGAAATATCTGTATCATAAAAAAAGTTTTATAATTACATCATTTTTAGCATGAACCCGCATCCCACGTCAAACTATAGTAATTTTATATTAGATTGAAGTTTTATGTTTTCAATCATAACTCCTCTTACTAGAAAGAAATTGGGGAGAAAAAAATGTTTTTGAGTTGCTAACGGAACCGGATAAATAAAAATAAGCTTTTCTCATTCTTTGCTCATCCATAAACCTTACCTGGGGTCATGTGAGACCCCACGAAAACATTTCGGCCCGATTGGTTCAACCGTTTCGACGTTTATTGGACACAAACAGACAGACAAACAGACAGAAAAGCAAAATAAATAGATATATAAGATTATAATTATATCCGATGCCAAAACTTGATCCAGAACCTGAGTCAACATTGTTGATTTGAGGCCAGGAGTTTATACCTATGTATGGAGTATATAATGCAGGGGTGGATTATTAAGGAGTGGGGGGGGGATAATAACCTTTCCTGGAAAATTGTGGCATGTCTTCTCCGTGAGTGAGGTTGCTATATATGTTGCTTTCATAATCTCAGGGATAGGACTCCTTGCATAATCTCAAAGATAGGACTCCTTGCATAATCTCAGGGATTGGACTCCTTGCATAATCTTAGAGATAGGACTCCTTGCATAATCTCAGGGATAGGACGTCAAATTAATTATTTCTCTAGAAAAAAATATAAAAATCTTTTAGTAGTTATTTTCTTTTTCAAAAATTTTATTAATGTCAAGATTGTAAAATGGACAGTGATGATTTAAAATGTTAACAGATATATTTTATATACGTATCCCTAGCCCCCTCCCTTTCTTATTACATTTTCTCCCTCTACTCACAATTTCGTTTTTCTTTTATTTGTTGTAAAATATAAGACTGTATCATTTGTATCAGATTATACATAACGGAAAAGGAATTACTCAGAATTTCTCTATATCTTTGCAACCCAATGTCGTAGACCTTAGATATTTACAACTGTGAATGCTGTTAGATCTAATAATCTAAGTTTGAAATATCAAAGGTTGCAAAGATATAGGGAGTAGAAAAATTGAGTTTGTGACAAAGATATATTTCTGTTCTTCCAAGAAACAAAGAAAAGTTGTCTCTCTTCATTGTTCATCTATATTTAGGAGAAATGTTACAGACACTTTCTACAATGTTGCAGAATAACAAACAGCCGTCACATAAATATAATCTAGTAGACGTAACTTTATTATATTTTTTGAAATTTGGTGTTACCTGGACTATTGTAGCAAATATCTTAGCAATCCCCATATTTGTTAACCTGAGCATACCTAGATAAACATGAGCTAAGTAACATAATTAAAACATGCATTGTATATTGTCCGCATAGCTAAATGTGCCCATTACACGCACCTCTGACCCTTAAATAAAATTAAATTCAACCAAAAGTCTGACAGCGTCAACCTTTGCACCGGCTAGTCCTATTGGGTGTCTGCTTTATTTACCCACTGTCCGGGTGATACAGTACAAACTGGGACTGGAAAGGTTGACCCGGCTTGGAAATTCAAATGTACTACGGCTGCCCGTGATAAGTGAATACGTAAATCTTGTATTGCGACTAACCCATTCAATGTACGTAAATATCTATAACTCCGCCATACCCATCTTATGATTACTTAACTACGTTTTATATATATATATATATATATATATATATATATATATATATATATATAACAACGCATAACTTGTAATTACGCTCTTAGATACCCAATTCTAATATAAACTGAAGAAATATAGGTTAGTTGATACAGAAACTCCGCTGTGATGTTGAGAGTAATAATGTTTTCGTTGAAACATACGAGTTGACTTCGTGTCCTGTTTGAGGCATTGATCAATTAATTGATTGCTATTGTCCAGTTGACATAGCAAACAAGATCGCGCCTATTGGTAGTGGCATTGATAGTTCATGGGATTGTAGCCGTGTGGATCGTGTCCTGTTTGTGACATTGATCAATAGATCGCAATTGTCCGGTTGACATAGCAAACGAGATCGCGCCCATTGGTAGTGTCGTTGATAGTTCATGGGATTGTAGCCGTGTGGATCGTGTCCTGTTTGAGACATTGATCAATAGATCGCGATTATCCAGTTGACATAGCGAACGAGATCACGCCTAGTGTTAGTGGCATTAATAGTTCACAGGATTGTAGTCGTGTGGATCATGTCCTGTTTGAGACATTGATCAATAGATTGCTATTGTCCAGTTGACATAGCAAACAAGATCGCACCCATTGATAGTGGCGTAGATAGTTCATGAGATTGTAGCCGAGTGGATCGTGTCCTGTTTGAGACATTGATCGATAGATCGCAATTGTCCGGTTGACATAGCAAACGAGATCGTGCCCATTGGTAGTGGCGTTGATAGTTCATGGGATTGTAGCCGTGTGGATCGTGTCCAGTTCACGGGATTGTGTGGATCGTTTCCTGTTTGAGACATTGATCAATTTATTGCTAATGTCCATATTGACACCAATAGCTAACAGGATCGGGCCCTTTCCCTTTCATTTGGCATTGATAGTTACGAGCTTCCGATTTATATCGATAGCTAACTAGATTGTATCCAGGTTTAAACACTGATAGCTAAGTGAAACTGAACTCTACCTGAATAGATGCTGGTTCGAGAAATTGTTATGAAGTAGGCGTTTACAACACTATGATCTGGTATTAATGAGGGCATCTGTCCCACAAGACTATTACAAAAAGCTCCGAGTGGTTTCAGTTCTTAATAACGATTCCATAAAAAAATGAGACTTCAGAGACGACTGTAAAGAATTTATTCAAGTTTCTTTCTTAAATTCTTGGTTCCTCCAAGCTTTATAATTTATTTCCATTGCCAAATCATTTAATACACAATTAAAAGACTACTTTAAAGCCAGAAAACCGAATTCAACTTCAGGATCGTTTAATTAAAAGATTTTTAGGTCGACATAGAAGTCTCATCCTTTGTGGGTAACCCTTTATATAATACTGAAGAAAATATGTGTTCTGCTGTAGATCTAGTCAATATATCAGGCATAGCTGGGAATAGAATGGAAGGTAAAGGGGGA